TCACATAAATTATTATTAAATGAAGTAAAAATTAAGTTGAAAGTAAGAAAACAGAGTTTCGACATCGCAATGGTCGGCGATATACTAGAATCCTGAGTATTCGAAAAGATCGTTGTGCAGTGTCCATGGTTTTAAAAGCTCTTCTTAGATAAAAAAAATGTGAGCAATCTCTAGATCTTCTTGTGAAGTCTAGAGATCAATAAAATGGGTCGTCGAATTATCTTTGACTTTATTTAAGGACATCATGTTACTTTCTTAGGATAGAATTTACTTATCAATAAGGTAAACTTACTTTATTTTTGAGGAAATATACCTTTGACTTTATTTAGAAAACATGACTTTTTAATTATAAACTGAAGTCATCACTTATAAAAGTGCATCCAAAGTTCTTAGATATTACTTCACCTCTAATGGAAGATATTAATTACTATGAATGATTATTAAGAAAATTGATATATCTCACTATTACTCATCTTGACATTGTGTATACAATATGTGTTCTCAACTAATTTATGTAGGAGTCTCATCAGGTCTATTGGGAGGGAGCACTATGTGTCATAACTTATATCAAATAAGCTTTAGGGAAGAGACTCATCTACAAACATCATGGTCACTTACGTGTTGAAGCCTACTTCAATGTTGGGTATGTTGGTGACAAAGGAGATTGAAAATCGATAACTAACTATTATACATATGTTGTTGGTGGCAACTTAGTCATTTGACACTTTTAGAAGTAAAAAGTGGTATCTTGTTCAAATGCAGAAATTGAATATCGTGTTATGGTTGAGACAACAAGATGATATAGTTTTGCTCTCTTCTGAAAAACATGGGTGTCACTCCTCAAACACCAATGTTTATACATTGTGACTATCAAGCATCAATTTTCATCGCCAAAAATTTCACATTCTACGAGTGAACCAATCATATCGATATTTAATACCGCTACATCTAGGACAAGGTTATGACATAAGTTATCTTCACACCACATGTCACTTTTTCAATCAACTAATGTACATCTTTACCAAGAGCCTTACAAGGGTGTCCTATGATGTTAATGTATCAATTTGGTCATGTTTGACTTATATGTTCTAGTTTGAGAGAGAGTATTCAAATATCCTCCTCCACATGGCTCACTTGGGCCCATTATCTATCTCTTCTCTCACTTATATAAACATATATACTTCTTTATTTAGAGTTAATCTAATCTTAGGATTTAACCCTTCTTGTCAACAATGTACACTTTCTACAATAGTATGTTGTATAATAATTTCAAATGATGAAATTACTTGAATATATAAAGTCAATATTATTAGTCATAATTATATTCAATAAATTCTCATTTAAATATATAATAATATTATATTACATTATTTATGAACATTATAACATTTAATCTCATATTAAGTATATTTTAAATTAGGTATAATTAGAACTTTTAGTTAACCTTATGAATATTTGTCATCATCAAAACATTATGTATGTAATGCTCTAATATAAATGAAGATTATGATAGAAGAAGTACAATCACTCTATAAAAAGTTATGTCTAGTTGAACTTCTTAAAATAAATAAAACAATTAGATACAAATGGGTTTTCAAGAAAAAGAGGCCACATTAGAAAATAGAAACAAGATTCAAAACTAAGTTAGTAACCAAAAGATATTTATAGAAGAAGTGAATTGGACTTAAACAAAACAAAAACTCCAGTAGTGAAACACACATCATTTAAAATGGTGTTTGCCATTGTAGTCAACAAATATCAGAAAATAGAATAATTAAATAATTCAAAGGAAGTCATTTATGTGAAAAAATATGAAGGATTCAAGGAATTAGGCTTTACTTTGTCTGTCTATTGAAAAAGTTACTTTATATATTAATCAATCTCCAAAACTATGGTGCAATAAATTTGATTTTTTGATGATTGAAATTGACTACATATTCTATGAGTATGATGTTATATTTACATAAAACTCAGTTTTAACCAAGTGAGTCAACTCTACTTTTAAAAATATAAATAGGTACACAAGAGCTTGCTCATGATTGCAAAATCACATAAGACTTCATCAAGGGTCAGAAAATTATTTAGCAAATGTCACTGGCTTGTGATTGGTGGCAGTATGCATAGGAATGGAGGCAAGCACACTAATAAAACTCACTACTAGTAGCATGTTTGTCATAAGAGTTTTATGATATGATGTTATTTATATTTTGACATATACTTAGCATTAATTTGACATTATCAATTACAACTTTACTCATTTTTTTTGTCAATATCAAAAGTAGAGGGGCCCCAAAAGTGAGCAATTTCAACAGCCAAGTTATCTATTATGTGTTTACTTCAAGCATTAGTGAAAACTTGAATAACATGTGATAACATTTAGGCCTTGGAAATGAGGTGTTTGATTAGTGTTTAGATATTGAATATAATTAGATATTTTTGAATCACAAAAATGTATGAACTACAATATTTTGAAAATTTTAAGCCTTACATATCAAACTTACAAAACCTTTAGCAAAAATTGGAATTCTTGAGATTTGTAGAGAGACTACTTAGATATTGAATGAAGTATTCAAGTATTTGTAAGCTATTAAGGTAGCTTCTTAAATTTTCTTTCTCAACTTTATGAAAATAATAATAATCTCACATTAGTTGATCATTGATAATCAACGTAGTTGGACCCAATAAATTAATGTTGATGATCACAAACCTGATTTATTCTACTATTTTTTAGTTTTTTTTACACTAGATCGGGTAAATAAATGAGAATTTTACAAAAATGACAAAAAAATAAAAGCAATAAGATAAGAATTAATCCTCGTAAATTATAAAATGTAGTAGATAGCAAACAAACTATTTTGTGTGTAATGGGAAAATCTGCTTGTGGTTACCAAACTCACGGGGCAAAATGATACTTTGACGACGACCAGAAATTGATCCTGTCCCCATCGGGCCTCACAATTGATTAGTGTTCCGATCCACGCCCAACTAATTTGTTTTTTAAGTCTAACGGTGAAATTCGAACGTGTATCGTACGGTTCCTGCTGCCTCTCCTTCGCAACTGGACGACCTTGTAGAGTGCCTCCATTAAATGGGAATTTAATCACGGACCACAATATCTTCGGCAAATTGGCGTGTCCTTTTCGCGGCATGTCTTGGTGTCGCCGTCCTTGCGGTAATAAGCGAGGGCAGGAGAAGAAGAGAGAGGTGGAGGGAGGGGGAGATCTGGCCGCAGACTAGTGCTCGTGTGCCGGTTCGTCCCTCTCTCTCATCCGATCTCTCGTCTTCTCCGTTGCCCGTGGATCCTCACACGCTGTTGTTCATCTGCGGTTTCTGTGACGGGGCATTTACAGGTATTCGTTCTCTTCAATCTCTCGACTTTTGATTGCTTTATCTTTTTAGTCGTCCTCTTGTTGCTATTTCTGCGCGTGGTCTCTTCCTCGCAATTGCGATTGGTTGTTGTTCCCTTTATTTGTCACATCCTTGCTTGGTTTACTTCACACGCTGGGTGCTCTTCACGTGGGAAGGGTTATTTTTTTCCGGGCTAGATTCGATCCTTCAGTGATGCATTGGCCGATTGGCATAAGTTTGATATTTTCAGGACACGAATTAACTCCGACTTTTTTTTATTCGTTATTCTTCCTGCACAAAAACATACGTCGCCATACTTTTTATCCCCAGAAAAAAGATATGTATCATTCCGTGCAAGCGTATAAAACAAAAGATCCAATTACTTCGTAATTTATCGAATGAAAAATCACATTCTGTACTTCATAGTTTGTAGCATTTACCTCTGACAGAGTACAAGATGCTCCTCCAAGATAGTCCTGATCATTGAGCTTCAATGTCTGCAAAAGGAAATTTCAGAAATTTTCCACGGTCATAATAAAAAAGAATGCAAGAAGACAGGCCTACACAAATTCACCAGGATGTAGTAGATGCAGCTTTCAGTGACACAGCTATAAAAGTTGGGTCTAAGATGTCCGATCCATAAGACCATATCGCTTTAAGTGCGCGAAATGGCACACCCTGTTTGGGATTATTGATGTCCCATGCACCAGCGTCTTTGGTATGCTCATTGAAATGGCAATTCAATAGTTTTTCCTGCACAAAAGAGGCTTCTCGGTTTGTGTTATTTCTTGCTGTTCGTAGGGAAGAGATGAGCATTTAAGGTAATTGAACCCTGACCGTTTGTGAAGCTAGTGATATCGTTGTGGTGGTAGGATTGGGAACATAACCTAGGGCAGAAATACACTTCGTAAAATCTTTCCTCGTTTTCTCAGTTTTAAGTAACCTGTTTGGGGTCACATTGAGTACCTCGACTTTGAATTCAGGTTAGGTTGCATCTGGTTGGGCCGAGTCAATTTCCATCGTTCATCTTTTTGGGTGTTGGAATTGCTTCCGTGTTCATTAGAAACCCATGATGAGAACAAATATGTCAATTTATTCACCTAATTCATGAGATGGCCTTTCTCAATTTCTATCTGTATCTCTGAGGAGTTGAAATTGTTTCCATTTTTATAAAAAATAAATACCGGTACCAATCTCATGGAGTCGTTCATATAATGCATGAAATACGTGACCCTTAGAACCCTGGTTAGTCTAAGCTCCCGAATTGATAGAATGAAAGTCAATTATACCTCATAACTGAACGAATGCCGTTGATTATTGGATCGATAATTATTAGAAACAAAAAATACTCCCATTTTGTAAAATTGCTTTTAGATGGGATTCCTACAAAATTCTGATCCTCTAATAGGTGCAAATCCTGGAATTATGTGTCGCAATTTTTTAGTGCGCTCCTTAATTGTTATTTGCTTCTATGAAGAGTCAGATAATCTTTTCTTGCTTTTTGGTTCCATGTACTCTAAAAATATTTACTTTTGGACGTATTTCTTTTTGCCTTGTATGTCTGAATTAAGGGTCTTGCCAATTAAATTTATCGTGGTCTGTTTTATATAGGCTATCAATCACGGTTTATTGGGCGGGCACAAGTGTACAATATGGGGCATCTCTTGCATGAAGGTGATCGTTCCATTTTATCATCTTCGGGTCAGTCAGACACTGAAGATGACAGAATGATTGCGGTTATTCTTTCAGAGGAGTATGCCAATATAGATAACACAATTGGTAGTCAAGTTTCGAATTTTCCTCCTCCTGTAAGCCTCATTCTCATTTATTCGTTGTTGATGTTTTGACATGGAAAAAATTCAATGTTTAGAGTTTTTTAGGTAATATATTTCTCTCTCTCTCTCTCTCCTCTTCTCTTCCCACCTTTTTTATTGGATTTTTGGAATTCCTTTAGTTTAAGAAGTATAGATTCGTTCAGCGTTAATCTAGAATTCTTTAAATATCAGTTAGTAATCATCATGCTGAATCTCAAGTTAAGAAGTATATTTCCATGTGTGATGTGGGATGCAGGTCATGATTAATCTTCATTTTTTTCAACTTAGGAACCTTGGGTGATGAAATAATGTCTGATTTTATCTATTTTTATGTGTATTTCCTTTTTAAGATTATATTATGTTTGAAAGCAACTAAAGGACTTCAAAATAATGTAGTCAGTTTAAATCTCTATGATTATGTTATTAGTTTTTTCCTCTAGTTTATATATTTAATTAGACTTCTTTTATATTTATGCAGCCCAGTTTGCATATGCTATGCACATATGATATCGTACAGAAAATAAGTGTATAACACTGTCAACTGCTTATAAGGCTTTATTTGTAATGTTGATATAATTGGATATGTGGCCCAGCGGATGTTGTTAGAAATAGAAAACCCAGTCTTCAATCTACAAGGCATGAAATTTGGAGGGGGGGAATGACGAAAATCATACCTTGAATCCACGAGGATTGATTTGGAGATCCTTGAATCCACAAGGTTCAAAATAATGTCCCTTGAATCGAGAATGGTTGCTTGAGTCCACTAGCACTCAGAACTCTCTCAAAGAGGACAAACCTTCGTAAACTAAGATGTTTATAGGGTTATAGTGTGATGGCCTTTATCGAAAATCAGTTGGGGTGCCCCTAAAAAACGGATCAATTTAGGAAAAAAATTCTAACTTCTTTAAAAACAGGACAGTTAAACTAAGACTTTGATGAATTATTCACATGCTTAATTTGGGCCTAATCTGATTTTGGGCTTTTTTGGTCTTCTGATCTTTGTTAACCACACTTTACATTTTCAGAACTCCTGGCCCACTGATTTTTGGGCTTTCCCTGGTTGTGCCAAGTGTTCTACATCACTTATTCTCATTTTGAGCCTTCAAACATTTGTAGTTCACCTGGGTCAAAAAAAATTCACCTGTGTTTTTCTGAAGTGATGTACTACATCAATATGATTCTATTCATAGACCTGAATAAAGTAAGACACAAAGAGTTCTTCGGCAGGCATTGCAATTGATAAATTCCCTGTCATCACACCTACTTTATTCAGCTAATTATATGCCCATAATTAGAAGACAGGTGGGGATGAAGGGCATCTAATTGTTAGGATATCAAATGATTTGGCCATGGACATTACATCCTTTCTTAAGGGAAAAAAAGGTTATAACTCATGAGAGGAATGATCCAGACTGTGAATAAAGTTTAGTTGGTGATATAGCTGCTGGAATACTTTTGCAGGTCAAGATTTTTTAGTTTTTTGTATTCAATTGGATGGGTAATTTTGGATTATGGTTCATTTTGATTTGAGTTTTCAAGATGGCATTGTTTCTCAAAACTTAGTCGGTTATTTTCTGCGATGATTTTACTTTGTGTCTCCATTTCTTATTGAAAGTATTATTTGTTTCTGAAAATATAATAAATATGTTGTATCCATTTTGGATCAAAATAATTGCAGAAAGTATTTATTTTACCTCTTTAAATGATTCTTGTTTGGCTTGGACTAGATGTCCCATTGTTCACTTTTGTACTGAATGAAAAAAATTCTGAATTATTTTACTTAGGTCTCACAATGTGAATGTTTGAACTTCCCTTCTAGTTTTCTCTGAGGTATATATGATAAAATTGACATGGCATCTCTGTTTGAAATTTCGACTATACCATTTCATTGTTTGTGTCATTAGATTATCTTATTTATGGAGCACCAGTGATACTGATTTTTTTTTATATAACCTTAATTTGTATCTGACTCAGAACTTGCTCCTTACTGATGAGAATTTTCTCATGCATATGTTTCTCAGTCTTGCTATTTTCATTTCTGCTATGTATGGCCCTGTATATCATATTCTTATTTGTTTTTGGGACTTTATCTTGTTCAATTTTCTTTAGACTTCTTTTAATTAATAGATTAATTTTGTGCAGTCCCAAGTTTGAACAACTTTTATGTGTTAGGTGTTTTCATTCCAGGATGTTCCTTGGACCGACACATTCATTTCTGTGCACCATAATGGAAGTCATGACCACCAGCGCCTTATCCAAAGGTTATTATGCCATGTTACTTTTAGAAATTAAACTTTTTCTACTCTTCATAAGTATCATGTGATTTAAAAATTTATACGTCCTCTTTTCTGTTGAGTATTCCACATGTGTGAATGGCAGCCTGGCCTAGTGCTTGTTGCGCTGCTTAGCTGAGCAATGCCTGAAAGACCATGATGCAAACTATCAGCCATTACGAATATTTCAGTCCATTTTGTCGGCTATTGTCACTAATGTGGAGTGGATATGATATTCATTATCCCTGAAAATTGGAACAAGATCACCAATAAATTAAGCGGTGTCAGGAAATTGCGTTTATATTAGCGTAGTTTATTTGTAATTGTGAAATTATAGACTTCTCCTTATGTATGACGTGCATGTTTTTTGTGAAACGTCCTACTGAAAGTGGTATCTGTATGATATTTACTAATGTGAACTGTTTACAAAGGTCTGATAGCTGCAATACATCTGAAACATTAAAGCTTCTGGTCTGAGTACTTGCGCATTGAATTTCCTACCGCTATTTGTGGGAATCAATCTCTAATGAACAGATGTCAACTTTTGGATTTTAGCTGTTTGATTTTTATTTCTAAGTGTCAACCTCCGCTCACAGGTTTTAAGACTTCAACGTGGCAGGTCCAGTCCATAAACCATGGGTGCTGATTTCTTAAAATTCAACCTAATGCTTGTCTTGTAGGTGTTGACCCTTTTTCTATAGATACAATTGAAAAATTGGTTCATTACCTACTAGTGTCGAACCTTTATTATGCAGGTGCCAAAACTTTATTACTTTGTATTCTGTTTGCTTGCTAGTGTTGACCCTCTAACTGTAGGTGTCAACACTTGAACCGTTGGTCTTTTGTTTTAAAGTCAGGTGGTTCATTTCTATGTAGGCTTCAACATTTGAACCATTGATCCTTTTTTTCGCTTGCAGGTGACTACCATTTTGCATGTATCAACACTTTTATCTTAGCACCTAAATTTTCGTAATTTTTTGATACCAGGGCTGATACCTTTACCCGTGTGAACATTTTTGACTTAACTAAATTTCAGTTCTTCTCAGATTGTTGTGCTTTGTTATAATTGACCCTTAAAGAAAAATGTAAAATAGGATTGAGCAGCATCAATAAATTTTTGTCATCGTCGTTTATCCAGTTGCTTCTTCAGTGTGGGTTTCACTCTGTCCTTGTCCATGCGCCTTACCCCTGGGGCTACTTTAGAAGATTGCTCCGGGAGCTGAACACACGGGCATCTCTTCATCAAGAAAGATAACCCAGGATCTGTGGTGGACATGTGGGTGGTTTTCTCTGATTTCATTCTTAAATTCCGATGGAGAAAAGGAGAAGAGAGCAACAGAAGGCACAGAATCCCTTGTTTCAGAAAAAACCTAAGGTTATCTGCTTGAAATCGTTTGGGTTCTCTGTAAAAATAATAAACAGCGTAACACCTCATAGAAATTCTTGATCTTCCCAAGCCCTTATCTCATGAAGTTGTGCTTACTTATTTTTCATGGCATAGTTTGTGTTCACCGTTCTCCTATTTCTGTGATAGGTTAAGTGCGTATGGCTTATTTGAAGTAAAAGTCTCTGGAGATGGAAACTGTCAGGTCTGCTTACTTTCAGTCTACAGATTAATAAGTACATTGGGACCATGCGCCATGGTGACATTTATGCTTTCCATTTTAATGCAGTTCCGGGCTCTTTCGGACCAGATTTTCAAATCACCAGAACATCACAGATCTCTGCGAAAGGAGATTGTACAGCAGGTACTTCAATATTTTTAAGCCTAAAAGCCTGCGACAACCCGAGAGGGAGCTAAATTGACACTCTAGACAGTTTCATTTCGCGTCTATATTTAATGGCCTCGATGTGGTTAAGTCGTTCAACCATCCAGTTATCTTTGGCCTGGTCAGGCTTGATTGTCTATGAGACCAGTACAAACCCTAATCATGATGGGCCTGCCTGTTGATCCCTGGGTAGTTTAGTTCAATGCCTGCCCTACATATTCCAATGATCTGATGCACCTTAACACAAGTGACTAATGGTTTGTGGGTCAGGGGTAAAGAAAGGGATCTGCCATGCTTTCTCCTGGCTCGTATAATGGACAGCTCTTGGGGAGCCAAAGTCAGTAACCTGGAAACATGGACGCTTTAACTGCTGTTCAATTCATTATTGAAATGTAGTTTATATTTTCTCCCCTTTTTTCCCCTACCGACGAGCATTCAAATGGCTGTAGGGAACTTGCCCAGGTAAAATGTGGTTGAATTTCTTCGGCAGTATAGTGTTCTACATATTCTTCAGAGCGTATTGTCTCTTTTGTCCACTTTCCTTGCCCCCTTTCATTTTGTTTCGAAGGTACATTTTCTATTTTAGTCCGATTACTGCAACATCAAGAACATTCTGATTACTTGGACATGAAACTAGAGCCACACTGATACCTTCGTGCATCAATTATTTGAATTTCTCCAATTGTCCAGCTTAAAGACCACCGTTCGTTGTATGAGGGATACGTCCCCATGAACTACAAGAAGTATTGCAAGAAGATGACCAAGTAAGAGATGCTTTCTGAGTATTGTTTGGTACATTTCGATTTATTGATCTATCACATTTAGAACTTTACCTGGAAATAGTCCATGCTTTCATCTCTTAACATATGTTCCCTCCGTAGATCTGGTGAATGGGGAGACCACATCACCTTACAAGCTGCAGCTGATAAGGTTGGTACCCTGTATTCGGCTACAACATTGCCAATGGTGCACTATCACGGAATGTTAGAACTCCAGCAAAACCAGTTCAGCTGCATTGCAACCATATGAACCAAATGAGCACTGCTCGAACCAGTCCAAGCTGGTTCCAACTTCTGGGTCAATGCATTCTTCAGCTTTTGAAAATCATGAACCATCATTACTGAAGGGTCACCGACCAACCAACAGTCTCATCCATCATGAATATGGATGGAGTAGATTCATTACAGCGTGACCTCTAGCTTCGTATCTGGCGTCATTTATTTGGATTCTGCCTACCTCATAAATAGAAGCATGTGGATGCCTCATGTTAAGGCAAGGGATACGATAATTATACAACAAAAAAAAGTTTGAGATGCATGATTCTCCTTGAAGGCGATGATGGTTTCGTCAGGGAGTCTATTCTATGTGCTGTGAATATAGAAGTGAATATAGTGAGCTAACCAGTTGCCGGTGTCAATTTGATCTGCAGTTTGGAGCAAAGATTTACCTCGTAACTTCATTCAAGGACACTTGCTTTCTTGAGATCATCCCGCAGTACGAGGCTCCTCAGAGAGGTAGGAATCATACCCCGGGCACTTGTGGCTTCATTTACGTTTTCTACTTGCAGTCTCCTTTCCCTGGGCTCTGAGCTTGATAATCCGCTCTCTCTCTCTCTCTCTCTCTCTCTCTCTCTCTCTCTCTCTCTCTCTCTCTCTCTCTTGTGATGCAGAACTTTGGTTGAGTCTGTGGTCAGAAGTCCATTATAATTCGTTATACGCCTACCGAGGTTGGTTCTTTCTGGTGATTATTTCCTGCTAATTCGATTGGAATGGATTGAAATATCAACAAGAAATGCAATGCTTATATCGACATTATTTATTCATCTTATATATGCAATGTTCAGATGTTCCTCCTGTACGGCAAAAGCCAAAGAAGAAGCATTGGCTATTCTAAAGGATCCAGAGGCCCTCCGAGATCCAGGTGTGTGCACGGGTCCAGTTTCCACCCAACCTCAAGATCTTCAGTTTTTCGCTGTTAAGTATACTGGAAAATATATTATATGTATTTATTCTTACGTTAAAAATTAAGAGTAACCGAATCCGAGATATATTAGTGTACGTACGAGTAGGTTTTTACGCTGAACTTTGCACAACTCTGTATATTACTTTTACGTATAAAAGCACACGGGTGTTGTGAAAACTGGTGCGATTCACCTCGATGCGTCGATAAATGGAAGGACGATAGAGAGCCGAAAATATCTGCAATCTATTGTCCCAATCCGTATGTTTTATGGAAGAGCTTACAAAAAGGTAATTGACGCCCACCAATTGCCAAGCCATTAATCATACAGAGACGTTTGAGAGAAGAGAGAGAGAGGGATCTATGACGGGCGCGGACAATTTTTCATATCGAAAGGCAGTAGGGTATGGCCCCAATGATGGATCTCCGTATCGCAAGCATTAAGAAGGCGGTGAAGAGGTGGGGGTTGGTTCTTGATGGGGGAGCTGCCAAGAACTATTTCATGATGGCGACGATGTGGAGACGAGGAACCGGCGGAGATGGCCGTTCGATCCCACCGGCGGGGGGGGGGAGGGTTAGGGGGAGATATCATTGAATGAGACGCGGATGAACCGCTATTTGGGCTCCTCATGGGCCCAACAGACCCAAACCGACCGTGACCGTCGTGCCAGCGACTTCGACAGCCACCGGGGCCCGCGAAATAAGGTCATGTCACGGCAGTGTCCCGCCGCGTCCATGATCGAATCCACCAGGGCTTTTAATGATACAACGAGAGAAGAGAGAGAGAGAGGGTGCAAATCAAATTGCCAACTCCCCCTCCTCCTCCAGCCGTTCCAACCGCGGGTCTGGACCAATGGCCGGGACGATGAGAAACCAAGATAAAAAAAAGTTCGTCAAGGAGATAAAAAATGAACCCGTCACAGTGCCACGTGGAGAACTTGGCTATTGAGACGGATTGGAGGAAGAAGAGGTGGACGAGTTCGAGGAGCACTATTACGTCGCCCCCAGGTCGTCCACTCTGATCCTCAGCAGCAGGCGGTGGGGTGAAGTGACCCGACACGTGGCTCCGCTCTTGGTCGCGCGGCGGGCCCATACGTTTACAACAGAGCGAGACCCGTCATCTAGAATCGGGACACGTGCGAACCAGACAGGGGCCGAGTGACCAGTCGGCGGGTGGTGCACGGCGGCGTCGGGCTGGCACGGCGAGACGTCACGGGGAAGGCGAGGCCCATCGCGCCCGCGGCACATGGCGGGACGGTGGCGCCGGGTTTTCTCTCCTCTTTACTTCCTGGACCGGCCAGTTCAGGTGGCCCACCGCCCCCGGCGAGAAGGAACGGTGGGAGGGATGGGGTGGGTGGTCCCTAGAGAGAGAGGGAGATGTCAGCGTTGCAGAGGGATCTCCCTCCGGTGACGTCTCGACAGAAGGAAGATGGGTCAGAAGGGAGGTAATTAATGGCGGAGGGGGAGGAGCGTTGGGCGGCATAGAAGAAAGCAACAGGTGCGCCACCATTCCGTACCTTCTTATTCCATCTCCTGCTTACTTTCTGTCCAAAAGGCGATCGACCTGCAGGAAAGATGAAAAGATTCTCCCTCGGGAAGACGACGACGTGTGACTTGAGGACGAGAAATAATTAAATGGCCGGCTTGACCCTCCACCTCTCCAGCGGGGGGCGGCGGGCGGCGACGGCGAGAGGCGGCCACAATGCTCCTTCCTCCACGAGTCGTACGCCGGCTGGCATTAAGCGTCAAAAGTCTGGTTCCTACCCAGTGTTGTCTTCTTCCTTCCTCATTTCCACGGTGAGAAGGAACCCACAAGAGGAGCCTGTTAGAAGAGGACAAGCCGCGCTGACGGGAGGAGAGCGATACCATTGAATGCCCTTGTTCCGGCTCGGGTCATTCCTTCCTCACCTGAAGGCCGATTACCTCAGGCCCAATAAGCGGATTCTTGACGAGCTTCACGTCCCGTCGGTGGGAGGAGGGAGAGAAAGGAGAAGAAGAAGAAGGTCAGAGGGAAGACCTCAGGAAAGAAGGTATTAAGGAGGAGGAAGAAGATGAACACGGAGAGATGGGCGGCTATGGCGGCCGTCAACGGAGGCCAGTGCTCACCGCGGGAGTAGGTGACCGCCGGAGGTTCCGCATGCTGGGGGCCCCCCGATTAGCGATGGTTGGCACTGGTTTCCTTTCTTCAACGTCAATAATGCGGCGAGTAAATAAATATGACAAAACTACGTACTGTAGGTGTCGGGCATCGCTTATCCATTCGACCAAGGCGTTGTCTCCATCGCGTTCACGTATTCATCAGTTAGGTTTGGACCAGAGGCCCCCGCTCTGACTGCTCCTCCTTCCCGCCCCCCCGGCGCCCCCAGCTCTTCCGTCCCCATCGACAGTGGACAAGGCCATTAATAAACAATCCGCGGAGTTATCCTATCGTTTTTGAAAGAAGACCAGACGGCGTCCTCGCCTGTGAGGAAGAGAGGGAAGAAGGGAGGAGTCGTCACTGAGAGAGACATAGACGGGGTGGGAGGGCCGAGATACGGGTCGGATTCGGGGGGCCTTCTCTTGCAACCTGCAAGGGATGCGACTTCAACGCTTCCCAGCCTGATAACTCACTGCATCATCAACGGGGAGAAAAGCGATGGCGACGGCGATGCGAGGAGGAATCCGATCAGCAGCCACTCGCCCTCCCTGCCCAGTCAGAGTCGCGGTCATGAGCCCGCCGGAGGAGCTGATGGCAAGAGCTTCATGCACGGTTTCCATCAATACTAAATGGTAGGATCGTACGCAGAGGCGGACAATACGACCGCGGGGGGGTAGGGGTGTTGGAGAAAGAAGAAGGCGACCTGGTTTTGCCCGTAGATTTTCATCCAGCCACACGTTCTTCCCTTGTCCAGTTACTCCCCCCTCCCCTTTCCACTTGGTCTGTAGTCATGGTGGGCCAGTTGTGCCGTCGTCGTCAATCCCAAGTCGCGTCTACGCGTTGGCCATCGAGTGTGGAATGTCTCCCATCCGTGTCGTTTTCGATGGCTCTTCAAACCAGCCGTAGTTGAATCGGATGGATTCAGAGTGGAGGATGGACTGTCCTGGCCATACAAACATCATGGTGGCGCCGCGGTGGCGTCCAACCGCTACGGCGGCGGCGGCGGCGGCGGGCCCTCGCTTGTCTCCGCGCGGCCGACGAGCGCGGCTCCGCCCACAGCTGGTGGTGGTGGTCCCGACGGCGATGGCACGCCGTTGTACCTTAGGACGGCTCTTCTCGCCGGACTCTTCTCCTCCTCTGAAGAATCTTAGCGGCGCTGGCTTCGGAAGCTGTCGGATGCTCGCCGGAATCCGGGGGAGGGGAATCTTCAACCCCATTGCCGCTGTTAACAGTCCGATGGTAGACGGAGAGAAGTCGGCAAGAGGTTTAGTTATCTCAGGGTTCGGGGTGGCGAATGGGGCGGCAGTCATTGATTGTGGGCGAGGATGAAGTGGGAGGGCGGGCCCATGGGATGCTACTGCCAACTCTGCGATTTTCCCTTCCGACGGCACCTGCTGCGACTTGCTGGGGGCATAGACCGAATGCCCAACAAGAGACAGACGACTTTGGGCAGAGGTTGATGACCCATGATCTGTTGAAGGCGACAGTGTTTGCCTCCCTCCGCAAATTAAAGAAAGCAGGTGGAGAGGGGGAACTCGACAGAAGAAAAAAAATAATCAGGCTTTCTCTCTCTAAAACGGCTAGTGGCTGACTCGTACCCGTCTCCCCAACCTTTTGTTCGTTTTCCTTTCACATGAATCACCGACAAGGACCTTTTGCCCTCCTCATCTTTACCTTGCCCTGCACAAAGGGAACTGCGGCTTTTAATGGCGGAGACTACCGTGCCTGCTTGCGGAGTGCCCAAAACTCTGCGAGGCGCAGGGCGGAAAAGGATGCACATTCACTAGCCCATGTTCCTGGGGGTGGCCGCGAGGGGGCCCCCGACCGAGCTGTAGTCAGGGTATCGTCTAATTAAAGGGGCAAGCCATCATGGCCACCAGTTGTTCACCCGCCGCATCCGCTTCAATCGGCCATCGTTGCTCGACTGATTCCTCCACACCATGCCTGGAATCGGCAGCTCTGCGAGCCCTCTACTCCACCGGGCATGGGCTTCCTTCCATCTTTCTTCTCTGACTGGTTCTCCAAGGGAGGAGGGTTTGATGAGGCTGGTGGGGAGGAGCACGTAAGACACTGAAGATTACCTCGATTTGTTCCAACGCACCGACAGATGGATCAATCATTTGACCGAGACGGCGACGTAACATCTGGAAATCTTCTCTCGGAAGGGGAGAAGTTGATAGCAAGAAATTGAACGCCTCGTCTTCCTCCTTGCGGCGGAGCGAAGGGACGCTTCCTTGGGGAGGAGGTCCCACGCCCGTCAAACGTTGGCTCGACGCAGGCCGTCGCCATCACCGAATCAAGGTGCCTCGAAGGGGCGGAAAAGGGCATCTTTCTGTACTCCAACAGGGACCGCCTCTGGGCACGCCCCACCACCAGCCTCGCGAGCTGCTGGGGCCGGACAGGGACGTCCCACATTCTGATAAAAGTCCGGCTTGAAACCGGCCGACGAGGGGAGAAAAGGCGCCGTGCAGACCGGAGAGCGGAGGCTTGGAGGGGGCGTGGGATTCTCCACCATTGTTCTTTTAATGGAAAAGGTTGTGGGATTCTAAGGAGACGTCGCATTTAATAAGATGAAAGACGCCCCGTCGCCGTCTGCCTGCCTGTGCCCACCACCCGTTCGGAGAAATGAACAAACGAAGCCCGCTACGGGACAAGTCAACTGACATCCACGTTTAAACAAACGCCTGCCCCCATGGTCCCCGTGCTCCCCGCACACGCGCAGTTCATGTGCCGAGCAGGGGCCGCCCGCCGGCCGGCCGGGCGGCGGCCTTTGACGAGGCCCGTTCTCCCGCGGCGTACGTTTCCTACAGCGGAGTCCATATCGAGGTTCCCTATTTCCCATGCAGAGCTGCCCCCACATGCTCCCCCCCCCCTCTCTACGTGCGCCTCCCTCGATCCCATTATCTACGGGGACATTCTGACCAATTAATGGAGAAGACAGGTGCCCTCCCCGATAACTCAGATCATCCGAGTTTGGAGGGGGGAGTAGACGGCGCTACCCAGTGCTCCTCCCATCTATTTTCTGGCAGGTGTGCCGCCGCGGAAGAACCGAACACACGGTGAAATCGAGACATTGACACGAGCGCCTACCTCCCTCTACCTCCTCCCGGCGGAGTTGCAGGGGGGCGCCGCCGAAGGTGACGTCCATTATGTCCGGCCTACAAAATCGGAGTCACTTCGGGACGGTGTGAATGGAGTGGACGGAGTGCGTCTTTCCTTTCGCTGTTCCTTTCTTTCTTTCTTTCTTTCTTCCCCAAATGCCCAAACCCCCTCGGGGCAGTAGACGGCATCAGATGCTGCCGTGATAAAGTCAACATCACGAGCTGTGAATCCTCCCCCTTCCTCCGACGTGTGGAAAAGAAGAAAAGAAAAAGAAAGGTGACAGCGGATGGGGGGGGAGAGGGTTTCGATTCCCACGGCCGACGGGGCATCGCCTGGCCGTCCCGTTCAATTCGATCGCAATCCGGAGTAGACCAGTCCATCGGAACACAGCAGAGCCCGGAAACCAGGGTCTTGAATGACCGATGGAGATAACAGCGACTTTGTGGGGGCGAGAGACGGGGGATATCTCCCTACCCTACCAACCCTACCCAACCGAGAGAGAGTCGCCGACAAGTGACAGCGCGCCACCGCTTCCCTCCACGGCCGGACTCCCCTGTATTCGTCATGTGCCACGGACGAGCAACCCAGTCCGGCATCTGACGCGTCTGCAGAATACTCCGGAACGTGAGAAAGTTTCTAGGTCAAAAACTCAGCAGCCACGGCACTAAATTATAGGACTCTATGCATCCATCCATCTAACCTTTCCCTTCTGGGTTCCGACCGGTCGCCACCAAATTCTACTGTGCGACCCAGATCGATTTCTTCGCGGTGATGAACTCGACCGGGCCTCCCGCGGCGGCATTCATGACGCTTCACGAGGACCGCCCCTAGTGAGAGAAAGAGAGAGAGAGAGAGAGCGAGAGAGAGAGGAGGGGCGGTCCCCCTCGCGCAGGGAGGGCCCGCGGCGCATGCACAGAAAAACTATGCAACAAACAACAAGGCGATCGTCAACCCGTTCCCTCACATCCAACTGCATAAATATGCGTCCCGTTCCCACGACGGAGAATATTAATAATTGCCGCGGCACCAGGGGCCCACAGAGGCTGCGCCACCCATCTTTTTCCTTGGACGACAAAATTAACGCTGCTTATCCACCGCTGTTTCTCCGGCGGTCACCTCAGCGCCCGCCGGGGATGGGGCCGCTGCCGGCGAACACATGGACAGAGAGACGAACAGTCGAGGGAAGAGATATCGGGCGAAATTCTTGGTTTCAAGTGGGATTCTGAGGTAAACCCCCGAGTGGAGAGGGGGAAGAAAAACGAACCAGATTGATTACATGACGGGCCCTTCTATTTATCTACCTGTGGAGCGATCTCTACAGAGGAAGGGAGAATCACAATCCAACCAACCGACCAGATCGTCCGGAAAATACAGATGCGACCGTCAGCAAGGTGTGTCCGGGGGTGGGGGTGCGTACGTCGCGCCGTCCAATATGGCGAATCACGCACAGCTTCGTCGAAGGAGATCACGAGGAACGCCGGATCAGGACATGAAGATTTGGAGACTGGCGTTCTTCGTGGAGTTGCAGACGGGACAGGCGTCGAGACGCGCTTCGCACTGCTTGCAGAGGCAGAGATGCCGACAGGGGAGAAGCAACACCGACACCTCCTGCTCGGCGCAGACCTTGCACATCCTCTTCCGAGGAAGCTCCCTGAGAGTCTCCCGCGCGGCCGCGTTGCTATCGCAAACCTTGGCATCCGCGTTACAGCAGGATTGCGCATCGTCCGCCAGCAAAGTTGGAGCCACGCAGTCGCTGTCCCCGTAGCCCTCCTCGACGTCCTGCGCCTGGGGGACGGCAATGAGCGGGCCCGTCTCATTGGCGTTCTGGAGGGCTTGTTCTAGGCTTGCACGGAGGCTCGAGACGATTGCTTCGTTGTTGCGCGCGACGCTGAACCACATCTGATTCTCGGCAGTCATCTGCCACACTTTCTCTTCCAACTCGGCGTTGCGGCGGCTTACGGTCTCCAACTCTGCCTCCTTCTCACGGAGTCGGCGGAGGACTGCTTCCTCCATTGCCAAAATGAGCGCTCCACAGTGGCGCTTCCGCGTCTCTTCCAGTCCCGACCTAAGCCGATCGTTCTGTTGCAACAACCAAAGATTAGACACAAGATTACTCCAAGAAAAGACTGCGGGCCAGAAAAGCTTCTAAGACGGACAAATTTCCCATCGGAAGCATAGGAAAAAATCAGCACGGAGTGCATAAAAGTACCTGTAGTCGAATGAGCGTATCGACCTCGAGGCTCTGGTGATAGAGTTGAGAAAGGAATTCTTGAACGAGCGGGTTGACAGCCGGCGAGGAAGTCGTTGGGGTAGGAGCGGTGGCAGCCGATCTCCCGCTAGTGGATGACATCGCGGAATCGATTAATCGGCTATTGTCGAGGGAGTTATGAAAGCTAGCGGAAGGCCCCGTGCCAGACACCGGCTGTTTCTCCTGAATGACCTTCCCGATAGCCCCTGCCAGCCAGAGCTGCTGCTGCTGCTGAAGGAGATTGAGGTCTTCGCGACTTCGCTTCCGCGACGCTGACACGTTGCAGGTGAGCTCGCTGTCCTGCTCCCCGCTGAACATGGTGGTGCCATAGAGGGCCTGCCGCTGATAGAGCTGATGTGCGGCGGCGGCCGATGGGAGGAGGAGGGGAGCCTGGTAGGCGGGGTCTTCAATCTGAAGGCCCCTCCCTGTGATGCGGGGCAACCTCCCCGCGTAGTCCGCCGAGAAGAGACCAGAAGTATTGGCCGGGTGCTGCGCCTGCACCGCCATGATTCACCCTTTGGCTTCCTGCACCGCAGCCTCGCTGTACCGTTGAGATGGATGGAGATCACGAGAGTGAAGGGCGAGAGGGGGGAGGGGAAAGGGAAGACAGGAGAGTGGAGAGAAGCCGATGGGGAAGAGGAGTCGGGGGAAAATATATACGAGGGCGGGGGTGGGGGGCCCTAGGGCTGCCACGCTCTGGTGGCTTGCCTCTGGTACCATCGTACTGGTGGGATTAATTATGGCATTTCCTTTATTATGCCGTGGCGCGCAAAGCCGAGTAGGTGGAGCCCACTTCTGCCACGTCGGCGCCAAAATCTCGAAGGCTCGCAGAAAGCCGGTAAGAAATAGAACGGTCCAAATCGTCGGACTAATGACGCGAATCACGCCATGTGGATGCCTCTGCGGGCCCCGCAAACCCCGGTCAAATGCGACGGGAGGGCAGTGGCTGGGTCCACCTCCTCCGCCGCCGCCGCCTCCGCCGTGTGCCCCACCGGCAATTCCACCGACCGTTTCTCCCACTCGGTCGTGGCCGAAGACCACCTCTCTCTCTAAGGAAGTGGGGGCCACGCAGTCAACGTAAACCCCGTGAGACGAGGCGGATAGTTAATTTCCCCACTTACCGGCGTTAAGAGAGGAAATTTCGAGCGGCATGAGGCGATCAGAAAGAGGGTCCGCGTTGGCGCTATTGAAGATGGGCGGGGCCCACTCCGGTGAGGTCTTCCTAAAGGTGAGCAGGAGGAGTGCACGAAGGCAGCATCGGATCGTGGGGCCCAATTCCCTTCTTGTCCCGATGTGCCACCTCCAAGACCCAGTTTGTCGCCATCCCCCCTCGCCTTAATCTCCACGACACTCCCTTCACACCGCCACCTGCCTCCCCGGCGGAGAGCTGCGGCGGCGCCACCTCGGGCCGGGTTCCACGCCACCGTTTTTACTGCGGATGGGATTTGGTTTTACTACCTTTTTCTTCCTCATGGAGACGGCGGGGGACCATGGAGAAAGCAAAGTAGAAGAGATGCGTATTCTAAAGCCGTCTGCTAGCCTGGCCGCCGTGGCCGGACCTCGCCGGACGTGACCGACAGCGCCACCTCCTCCTCGCCGCCTACGTGAAAGGGGGCGGGGAATAATCCGCGGCATAGAGACTCGGTAACAGTGATGGCTAGTAGGACGGGCCGGCAGAGGGAGGAACATGACGTGGGTAATGGGCGGCATTGAATAAAGCGGACGATGACCTCGTGCCTCTCGTTCTGGCATTTACTAGATAGAGGCTTCCTTTTGAGGCAGATCGCCTGCGACGGAGTTTAAGGCTGTACGACGTGTGACTCCCTGTCATGGCGCGGATGATGTTGGCTCTCCCTCCTATGCGATATCGTACGCTCTATCCGGCGTCCACCGCGAGACACCTGCCATCTCGCTTCGTGTGGCCGCGCCACGAACCTCGGGGGATGATGCCCGTGACTGCCAATGGGGTCGGGTCAGCTTTTGCCACGCGGTGGCGCCGCCGCCGCCGCCCTCCTCCGCGGATAGGGCTCAGCGGCGATGGCGATGTCCCACGGTGGCGGGCCGGCGTACGGCCGTCAGCGCGTGGTTCCGAGGGCTACTAATTTCCAGCCTCCGCCAAGCTCATTTATTATCTCGTATCTAGCATAATACGGCAAGGAGCATTGCCCAGCTCGTCAAAAAGGGTGGCTCGTTGTGTCTTCCCCAGCCTCCCCGACCCATCTGTCCTCCCCGATCTTATCTTGATGCGCGCCTCGTTTTCCCTTATTTTAATCAATCCCACTCTGCATCCTTCATGTTAAATCGTCGCAGGACCAGCCGTCGCCATTAAAACTCTTCTCTTTCCCCTCTAAAATATTCATGCCAAGATCTTGGCAGCTCTCATTATCTACCTCCCTTATCTCCCTTGGAAAAATCTCCCACGTTTTAATCATACCCCTGTCGAGCGGCTGTCTGCTTCTCCCCCCCAAAACAATGGCGTCCGTCAGAAGCACGGGAAGGCCGCGCTGGTCCGCTCTCAGCTGGGTTGTCCTTTCCCAGTGACGTCCTCCCTCGCCCACCTCGGCCCCGTCCCATGCGATGCTGTTCAAAGCAAATAGTTCCAGTGCGATGGCGTGTGCTGGGCGAGGAGGTCTCCTCTCCCCCTCCCCCCCTGTCGCCATCCTAACATGAAAAAATAAGAACTCCGGGCTCCCGTGGGAGCGTAGATAAAGCAGGGAGCAGCAAAAAAAATAAGGTAGATCCAGCCTTGCTATTTATTAATGCCCCCGCTTGGCGTGTCTCGGGGGAGGATAAGAATAACAGAGCCACCGCACTCCCGCAACCCCATCGACCACCTTCATCTGTAGAGATAGTCGGGAGGTCAATGGGAGAGGAATGCGATCCACTGCACAGCGGCCGATGGCTTTTGCAGTTTGCCCCGAACGGCGAAAGATGCCTTTACGGGGGCTGAGCTCGGGCCTTGGGAAGAAAGGGGGAACTGGCCGGAAGATAGACGGGCAAAGGGGGTTTGACAAGACGGTGGCCTACGCCCGTGAGGTCGTCACATGTGTTGTCCATTGAAAAGAGTGGACCGGCGGAAGATGGTGGGAAGAAGAGGGTGATGTCCTGTCCTTCGAGAACTGGCGGAGGACGCCGGGGAGGAGGGGATTGGGCAGGTCGACGCCGATACAGCCCCTCTGAATCTCATGTTGACGTCGGCGGCGGGGCTGTTCTGCTCCGCACGCACCTTCAAGCAGCCCAATTGGTCCATTTTTAATCTTATTTATCCAAGGCTTTGCTCAGACCTGCTCCGCTTGAGCTCAGCCATGGCGTGGATGCCCAGAAGGGAATCCACGCCTACAATGTCGTCCACCCGGTCAGCCTCCCCCCAGCGTGGGTAAAAGCGAGACAGAGTCCACAAGGATCAGTGTATGATGAACTAGCCGTTGACGCAGATTCTGAACTGCTTGCTGCACAGAAGTTACGTGCGGGCCCGAGCGTCCCCAGCTAGAGAAAAAATACTCGCCATTACCATTGCAGTACCAGAGGTTTGCGAACCTCTTTGAAGAAATCTCATGGAGATCTTATCAGTTCGTGTCAGCCGGGCCTCTCTTGATATGCGATAGTAAGTATACCAAGGTAGGCCCATGTTGAGGTGGGTAGCCCGAGCTTTATGAGCTCAATATATTTAAAAGCTGTCGCACTTCTGCTAAATCATTAGCTGTTCGAACAAGTAGACCGTGGGGCTGGCTGCCAAAAGGGTAAAGAACCTACCCTCAACGTTCATCTTCGGGAAAGAGGTGGGTGCGGAGTAAGTTTCCAAGATATCTATCTATCCTCTTGCACAGTACTCTCCTCCACTACTCTCCAGATCTTATCGTCTCTCCCACCAGACCTCGCACCTCTTCCCGAGTGCTAATGAATAAAGAGATAAAGGAAAAAGAGAGAGGGGCACCTTTCTTCCTTTCCCGTGAGTCGTTTGACTTGAGGGAGGAAAGGGGGAGGGCGGGGGGAGCGTGCAGTGATGTCCTCCACCCACCCATCCCCATGGGACTTACCAGGTCTTTGTTCTATTTACGGACCCCGTGTTCAACGACGTCGTCATCGGCCGTTGTATTTCTCGACAGGTGGCCGGCCAGTCTCGCGCGCAGCGCGGTGCCGAGACCCGTCACCTCACCGAGCTACCCTCTGTGCCATCGCCATCGATCTCGTTGGATTCAACGACCACAAGATGAGAGAGAGAGAGAGAGAGAGAGAGAGAAGCAATTGATCTTCCTCTTGCCCACGCTGAAGAATCGCGCGGTCACTGTGCAGCTCTCTGTGGGGAGAAAGAGGCCACACTAGGAATAAGTGAAAGACGTACGCTTACCATATGCGAGGCCCGCGTGCCATTCTCTTTCTCTCTCTCTCTCTCTCTCCCGTCAGCTGTATCATTGTGGATCCTCGTCACCTCAGACCAAAGAAAACTGCCAAGTTAGGCGGCTTCCCGGCTCGCCCCCACGGGAATCCACATTCTCTCACGGTGGTTGGCAGGCGCCCTCCCCTCTGTCGTCTTCCCCCCTGGGTCTTCCCTCTTTTGCGTCAAATAACGTCGCGTGGGGATGGTGCGAGATGCACCCACCACCCGCAAACTTCCATGGCCTCCCCGCTCCTGTCCGGCCGCCCGGCGACGATGTGGGCTCACCATCGTAGAGAGAGAGAGAGAGAGAGAGAGAGAGACCGGGCGGGTCGGCGTCTTCTTCCTCCTTGATTGCACCAGCAATAGAGTAATGGTGCAATAATCTCCCCCTGACTTCACCGCGGCATCCCCATGTGCCGGCGCGCTCTGAATCTCTGCACTCACTTGCGGGGCCGCCGGCGCGACCCGCTGCGCCGCCCATCCACCCGCAACGTTTTTATCATCTACATCAATGCGTCACACCACGTCGCAGGGTCCCCTTCCACGGCCCGCACAGCGCCATTTTTATATGGGCATGATCCAGAGGGGAGCACCATCCTCCACGCCCCCGAGATGGGGAAAGAAAACTGAATAAAATCAGAGCCGAGATCCTTCCCCTCCGCCTCCCCGGTCATTGTTGATCGCTGCCCGCTCGTTGACAGGTTTGAATGCTCCGTCAGGGCCAGCGGCGCTGGCCCACCCGCCGCCGCTCGGCCGGACGACCAAACATTATTGTGCCACCGCCGTCGCCATCGCGCCACCGCTGCCAGCCCAAGAATCCTTCTCGGCGGCGCCATGGGTATCCCCTGAGAGACGTGAGGCGATATGCATCCCTGGAATCGCATCTCCGACTGTTATGGTCAATGAATCACACATACGCAAACAGTGATATACGCGGCGAGTTGTGGTGGGTCCCTTGTAGGCCCCACAAGTGGGAAAACGACCGTACAAAAAAAAAGTCCAAAAAAACAGAGGTTGTCCCATCGAGCATGTTCTGGGGCCCGCAACCTCTGGGAGCTTCGAGAGACCGCTATACAATTAACGGTTCAACATGAGGAGGCCCAACTGGGAAGTGGAGAAAAGTACGCGGGCCTTGGGCCGCGAATGTGACCGAAGGAGCCGTGAACAGCCGTGAAAATCTAAAATCACCTAGCGTGGAATCGATTTTGCTGGAGATTCCACAACCAGCTGGCCCGCGCTTTCCTTTCTCTCACCCCAAATCTCCAAGTTGAGGCCATTTGGAGAACTACACTTAATGCAGTCATTATTGGAGTTGTGTCCGTTCTCTCTCTCTCTCTCTCTCTCTCTCCCCGGGTGGTGGGTATAAATTGTTAGAAGGGACTTCGACCTCAAGGGGATGAGGGTGGGCCTCGTAAAAGAGAGGGAGGGGCTCTCTGACGCCTGTCCCCGGCTTGACGCGCCACCTGTTGTATTAACTTCAATTTCTGCCTATTAACATGTCAGTCGGACCAGCTAAGGGGGGCCTGTGTTGGTTCACATGGTTCCCCGGGGGAAATATGACGAGGGGAATGCAACCGTTGTGATTTGCAAGAGTAGCACTATTATGGAACTCTTCAGGGTTTTCTTGCTCCTCGTCGAGGGAAATCAATCCCTTCCTTGTGCTCGAATTGGTGAATTGATCTTTTGTGTCGAACAACTTTATGTTTAACTAGGTTGTAATCTATACGAATGAGATGGACAAGGCATAAATATTATTATGGTAGTGTGGCTCTCATTCTATTTCATTTTTATCGAGTTCACTTTTTACATCTAACCACAATCTATGACCGTAATGTCATCTATTCAGTTCCACCTTGTTCAATCATTAGTAGGCGACATAGTGGATAAGAGAGAGAGTGAGTCAACTTTTAATGTATTGATTCTTCTTTTCTGATTTTTTATTTTCTAAATTCTTTCCTAAAATGACGAATGGGATATGAAACAGAGAGAGAGAGAGAGAGAGAATTGTATAGAGATTTGGTTGATCCTAGGCCTACGTTCACTTCTAGGATCAATATCATAGTTCCATTATTCTGGTCGCAAGAATACATGTGATTTTATTGGATCAATAAATCATTTACATAACAGATTTCACATGTGTGTCGACTCAAATTCTGAATAGAGCTCCCAAGTTTTTCTAGCCTTTTAAGCACATGACAAGTACTCTAAAAGTCTTTTCACATATTTCAAACAAAGGGTAAATAATATAAATATTTAACATAATTTTAATACCAAATGAAGAATGGAGAATCTTGTTATTGAAGAAGACACATGATGAAGAAAGAAGTAATGGGTTATCTCGTCTTGTAGGTGCTTGGAGACAAAGTGGACTCGCTCTCTTGATTTTCTTGTTCCTCTTTTTGATTTTCATCTGCTTGCCGTAATTTGGGAGAAAGCCTTCAATATGTAGTTTGTATATTAAGCCAAATGGCTACTTGATCATACATTGATGTTTGCATGCATACTTGGAAAATCATTGAAAAATATTCATTCACTTTTTTAAATTCAGATTTTTTTTTTGAAGATTTTGGATTATCATGCGTCTTTTGATACATTGAATTCCTTTTTGATTAAACTTTCTAATGGGTACTCATATATATATATATCTATGACCCAATATTAAAGCTAAAAATCATTTTAATCAGATGGATTAAAAATCGTCCATTTTATCTTTTGACGAAAATTCAAATATTTAGTAATATTGCAATAATCATAACTAACCAAATTCTTTGACGCATTCTCTAAATTCACATTGGGAGAAGGTGACTCTTTGCATCATCAATCGCGCCAATGTGAATGGTTGAAACCATTTGGCCAATTCTAGGCGGGCAGTTCATTCCTTGGTTTCGTGTCACAGGGTGGTTGGGGTGGTGTCACATTTCGTCTGTTTTATGTTTAACCCTCCAAATATATTAACGTGCTGGAAGGGTCTCTGCAGGAACGATGTCCCTATTCCGTCCTGTGTTTTTGCGAACAGATTAAGAAACCCTATCCTACCGACCGTTATCTGAGATGAACAATTTAAATTGCCTCCCGCGAAATGTGAGTAGTTGTTCTCGTGGGTGCGTGTGTCTTAGACTTCTCCTCTTTCTATTCTCACGCTTGAGACGGGCACGGTGGGCTTGTGCATGAGCGGGGAAGGAACGAAAACGAGCGAGGGTTGAACGGGGACGTGCTAGCAGAACTTACGCGTCTGATGCAGTTCTCCTCAGCCCTCGCTTGAGCCTCTGAAAGCTGGGCTTCATCGGCTGGCTCAAGCTCGGCCCGGGGACGAGGGGTTCCACGGACTTCCTGCTTGTGAGGATCGTCGGGAGAGCTCCCATGGCCGTCCTCTTTCGCGGCGGCGCCTCCAACCTCTCGAGGATCCTCGAGGTCTTCTCGTCCATGGGTTTGCCACGATGCAACGACGAGCCCGGATCCTCAGACTTGCTGGGTTCGCTCAGCAGGTAGACGGGTGGACGGTTCTCCTTGGCATCGCTAGATAAAAGAAGTTCTTCCCAGTCTTGTGTGGCGGCGCCGTTCCTTTCCTTCCAATTATCATCTGATTGGATTCCTTCGACTCGTGCCCTCAGTTCAGGGCCCCTCTCAGGTTTGTCCGCGGGGATCGATCTGGTGGCCATCGGTTGAAACCATGAATAAATGGGCTCGAACTCGAAGCTTCAGGTGAATAACAATTTAAATGAAAGAGCAAAAGAAAAACCAATCATCCGGACCAATCCTTTTTAGCATTTAAGACGAAATCAGGAGAGAGAATTCTTGATGGCTTCCTGGAACTGGTAGACAAGGGCTCATGTCCTCTATCTAAAACAGGATTTAAGTCGATTTTCTGTGAATCCCTCATCTATGTTAGGAGCATCAGGACGAAAATCACCGAAACATTTTGAAGGGAGCACTGAAAGAAGTTAAGGTGATAGGACTGGGCAGTTACCCGAGCTGAAGACTCTCCTTTACAAGAGAGTTCAGTCTTTGGTGGAAGCCTCTCTCATGCCGGAGAGGGTTGTAATCCCGCAGCTCCACCTTTATATGTGAACAAGTCAGACATACGAGCGTAGGATGAAGCATAGGAGAGTTCTGGGTTTTACTACTCGAAGGAAAATTTACATGGAAACCAAGTTCACCCTGTGGATGTATCCTACTGATAGAATAATTCCAGAGGTCAAGCCATGCAGATATCTGATTATGAACTACTTGCACCTTTGACAATGAACCCTGAATGGAGGTCACCAGCTCCTCTGGCAAGGTTACATCCGTAGCTGAAATGATGTTGGGACTTGGCCAGATTTCCTCTGAAGAAGCGAGCCTCTGAAATTTACACTTATTAGCATGGGTTGTTGGAATGTCTACCGTGCATTTGAGTGAATGGACTTCAACCATGGCAATTAGTGAAAACCTACTACTACTGTCGATCAGTGATATTTGACAGGTCTTCAACCAATTTTTAAGACAATGAAAGAAAAAATCGCAAAATTGCCCCTACATTGTGTGTGGGGTGTGTGTGTGTGAGAGAGAGAGAGAGAGAGAGAAGAAAGAAGCCTGTAGCATAGCTTACAAGAAAAGAACAAAGTAAATCATCCTTATAACCTGACCAATGAGCATTGGCCGTTTCTATGCCTTTCTACACAGAAGGATGGTGTCCAAAGAATCGACGGTGAACATCTCAAAACGAGTTTTCTTCCCCTTGGATTATGAAAATGATGGATTTGAGCAATAGTCGTAGCAACAAAAAGTGAGAAAGATGTACCCGGAGGAGCATCGTTCCTCGGTTTGAAGGCTGAAGTAGATAAAAACATTGGAAGGACACATTCTTCATGCTTTCAGTGTTACAGGTTGAGGAGCATATCAACCCCTGGTCTAAAAGAAAAAGACATCGGCACAAGCCATGGAAAGCTGCATTCATAAGAGAAAAAAAATATTGTTTCAGCAAGAAAGCTACTTCACTGCACAAATCAGGAAAACAACATAAGACTGGTACCTTGAATATTCAACTCTGCTGTATCGAATTCGTCTGAAATCATTTCCATTTCAGGAGATGCTGACGGAATGACGATATGTGATCCACCCATAACTACACCTGTGCATCATCAGCGGGAATATCATGCGCTGTGACAGAAATGAACGATGAAGGTGATGCAATATCTCATTCTTTTTGCAACTATGGAGACTCTGAGGCTTCTATCTGGATCATAGGGATTTCTGCCAAACACAAACTCCACAAGCCAAGAATCTGATTCAAGATCCTAATACATGGAGCCACACTGTCATTCATGGACTAGCTCTCAGAAGTAAGAAGGCCGCAGTTCACTGATGCGGCACGGCCACACATACCCTTGAACAGGTTAGTACTGTCTTCCTCTGAAGAGGGTCGCATTGCACAGCAACTCAATTCATTTCATGGCGCTAGACTTGTTAAGTCTGTTTGTCTTTCACTTACTTTCACTAAACATATAATGCTAAGGAGATAAAAAAAAACTATTTCTCCTGTCAAAGATGACTTATCTATCGAATTTACAAGCTTAAAGAGTTCAAAGCCACATCAGAAGATGGGAATTAGGCAGAATATTCAAATATCGTTGCTTGCTTAGAATACTTCATATCCATTTACTCTTCTCATTCGCCAATGGATGCAGATCGAAGAGAATATATTTTAATTACATTGTAACAGCGTCACTTCATAAATAATTTCCATTTCAAGAAGGGAAAATTAAAAATGGTAAGCCCATATAAAATATGATGCCATAAATCTTGCCATCTACACAATCGTGTTCCAAAAATAATAAATGAGAATCTTATGAAAGCTGAAAAACCGATGGACGTATAAAGTCGATCGTTTCAAATCTCCATAGCTTAAGGAAGCGGGTAGTAGTGATATGACTCATAGTAGGACAGGCGATCAATGACAAGAAATCTGTTTAAGGAAGTACATGAAGAAAACTTAAGTAATACTGATGCGATTCAATAATGGGAGCAGGCAATCAATGACAAGAAAAATGGTAAAAGAAACTCATGAAGGCCACTTGAGTCACGGAGTATTCTATAGACTTGGCCACTTGAGTCACGGAGTATTCCCTGGTCAGTAAAAGCTATCATGATGCATATCAAGCATCATGCATCTAAAAAACCGACTCAGCCCATGCAACACAGCATAAGCCAAGAAACATTACATCCATATAATCTTATCTTCACCTACAGACGTCAAGGAAACCGAATCAACTCATGCAACTCACCATATGTTACCAGATATTCTATCAATGTAATGCTTACCTTCGTCCAGAGAAGTTAAGTTTGTACGCTCGATGACATTCAAGACAATAGGGCCTGTGATTCTTTGATTTAACCCTGAAAAATTCTGGAAAGAAGGCATAATCAAGACTGTTTGATCCCCAACCATCAAAGCATTTTCAATCAACTCGCATGCTCCGAGCTCGCGAGTCGTGACTCGACAAAAGAACGCTCTCTTTGTCATACTCCCAGCTGTGTTTGTAATTGGGTAGCCATGACATCTGCAAGCCTGCAAAAACAGTCAAAGAGTAGAATTTTCCATTAACTAAGACCCATCAAAGTATGTCTTCGCAATCATGTCATATGAAGAATTTATATCATATCACCATCTGAAATCTGTTTTTCTAGAAAATGATTGTGCCGTTTCTTCAATAACTCCAGAACTCATACATCGCAAAATATATATGGGCTCATATTAGCACAAAATCAATATCAAATTGAGCTATAAAATACTAAATTAAACCGATACAAATTCAGGAGAAACTTTCGTGTTTGACACTTGCTGCACTCACTCATAGTTATGAGAGATTGAAATTTCTGATGTGTACCTGGCAGTGCTTTAAACCATCAAGGATGTCGCTGCAGGGAGAAGACATAGAGCAAAAAATCTGATTTGTAGTTCCCATGATAGAATTCTTAAAACGGAGGATGATTTGTATGGGCTCCTCCACATCATTCTTTATGTCTTGAAACCACCTTTTTACAAACCCGCAAAAGATAGAAGAGCCTGGAGAAAGAAAAGAATTAACGACCTTGAGGCAATATACGTTAAGAGATCAAAAATTATAACGAAATAATAAAGGGAACATTTATAATTATTCCTCCCGCACAGCGTGGGGGTTGCATCTATTAATATAAAATTGGCCATTAAACTGCATATGACCTGATTTTCTAGAGTCTGTATCCAAAGTTTCCTCTTCAGTAAGTTCATCTAACAATACGGAGATATTTTTATTAGTTTCGGTTTCAAAAAGATCACTTGAAAAAGGTTGATTAATCATAAACCTCATCTTTTTCAGAAATATTTCTATGAACTATCTAACCATCCGGCTCGAGCTGTGGCTCGAATCAATAAAAACATTATATCTTAAGCGAAACAGAAGTCACTTACTAGGAACAAATGTTTGTATAATGCAGTTCTCCATGTCAGTAATGCTATTTACAAACTTATCCAGTTTCTCTGAGAAACCTTGAAATTGATCTTGCTCAAACACTACGAAATCCACTGAGATACATCGCTCAGCTGCTTCCTGGCAGAGAAGTTCGGAGAAGTAAAAGAATGTAAATACCAAACTTGTAGTTATTCTAGATTGTCGATTCAAATAAACTCGCTGGGGAAAACTTCTAATATTTTCATTGTGCAACTATACCATGAGGTTCCTCCTCAGGCTTTCCCTGTCTGAGGCCAAGGAACAGCCTACACAGATCACCTTCTTTAAAATGTCCCTCTCACCCCACGAGTATAATGTTTCATCGTTCATAAGCCTTGCCAATGGTACATCTACATAAGCATGTTCCAATGCAAACCGTTAGAAATGTTCAATTTCCTCTTTGATAAAAACGGCATAATGCCCATGAGAAAGTGCATCATCGAGAAAAATGGCATATGAAGATTGCTGAGAAGAATTGGAATATGACCTCTGACAGGGTCACTCAATGTTCCTCATTACAAAAAAGGAAAAAACATTGTAAATTTAAAAAATACATAAGTTATTCTTAACACGAGTTCTTCACTAACATTAAATTGCTTACCTGGATCTAACCTTTCAGCATGAACATAATCACTTGATTCTATCAGAAAGCAATCCGTGGGTAAGTTGTCCACGGAATGATGGAAATTGCGAAGATTGAAATTTCCCCTTGGACTATATGCAATCTTCAGCTGTTTTGTGGCATCCATGTATCATCACTTTCTCATCAGAGGGCAAAAGATGATGAAAAATATGGCATTGAGTTGATAGAAGTAAGTCAGGTAGATTCGTGAGAACCAAGTGAAGTTATAGAATTTTGGCAGAAACTAGACATGAGGATACCGACCTGATTACCTGTCTACCTGACTACCAGAAGAAAAAGATACTAGGGGCTAATGTATCGCTGTTTTAGGTCCCATTTGCTCTTGAAAATATTTAGCATCTCTCACGCCCCCTACATAAATGCCCTTCACACAGGTTATACACTCCTTTTTGCCTACGCCAAGATACCCTCATCTGCTGCACGGTCCATATAGTCGCACTGCGAGCTCAAATAACGTCAAGTCGGCTCGGAGATTTATAGACTGCCAAAAGGATCAAATTTTCACTTCTATGTACATATTCTCTTAAGCGATGGCTAAGCTGATCAATTCAGACGATCATAGTGCAATGGATGTTCAGTAAATCTAAGGAGATCCGGAGATAAGGCAATGGAGTTCAACAGCATTACCTATAGGTCTCATTCATCCGTTATAAGGTAATGGAGTTCAACAGCATTACCTGTAGGTCTCTTAAGCGGATTTAACTGAAGGTCTCATTTATCCGTTATAAGGTGATGGAGTTCAACAGCAGGACTCTGTAGTACCTCGTCCGGTTTTCTCTCGATAAGCTTTTAATATATCTTTTCATTGTGTTTAAATTGACGTGTAATTTAAGCATTTCGGCTTATAAAACAGAAGAAACTTCGTCTACAATAACCATCCAGAGGAGATTTCAGCAACCTCATCGGAGAGTAGTGTCCTGTTCCTATGGATGTAGCATAGGCCGATCCTATCTGGGAGGGTCTGGTGCTCCTCTCCGACAGGTTCCCTCTCCCTCATTCTACAGCTCAAGACGGCATACAGATTTGCTAGTTGGAGCAGACTCTGAACCTCAAACAGAAAAGAGAGGAACTAGTGTTAGAACACATCAACCACCCAAACTCCCTACCAGCCGTGAGAATGAATACGACGATGATGATATGGAGTGTATTGAGCGAAATGACTGAGAGAGGACACCTGCTTCAGATCGCGGAGCAGAGATGGATTGAGAGTCCGGAGATCGAGGAGAAAGCAGAGCAGCGTCATGGCTCAAAGGGGGAACCACGCCCTCTCTCTCTCTCTCTCTCTCTCTCTCTCTCTCTCTCTCTTGTTACCCCTCAAGCTGTGTCCCCGACTCTCCGTGGCGCGAACACTCTGGAAGAGTAGCCCGAGTCGGATTTAAAAGACGAGAGCTATCAACCGTCTAACCGTATGGCCCATGTTACAGTCACCGTAGTGAACGTAAGCTGCTCTCACCCACACCTGGGTCTCCGTACAGCGGAAACCAGTGAAACCAACTAATGTGTTTCAAATGATGATGAGGTCAATCTCTCATTGTCCTTCTTTCAACACTACAATTATCAGATCTAAGATAATATTTTTTAAAATGAATAAATAAATTCTGTGTATTTTCAAAGGATAATTATTTGTACTATTTTTTATAATCAAATAATCCCCATATTAATAACTTAATTTTTCTTCGAATGTAAATTTTGAAAAAGTTCTCAAAATAGAGAAAATGGCGAGATGCAGGCTCGCAGAGCTCTGATAATGGGCTACCCATACAGGCTCGTAGCGCCTTATGAGGCCAATTAGCCCATGAATAAACCCTTCTAGACTGGGCCATCGATTTGAAGGGTAAAGCTGTCCGGTTATCTAGTTCAATCTGGCGTGCCGCTAAGTTTTATCTTCGGGGTTTTAGGGTTCGTCTCCTCCCCCCGAAGGACTTCCCCAACTAGGCGTCTTCCTTTCCAGAGGGAAAGGACATTGCGGAAGCGATGGAGACGAGTTCAGCGCCGGCGCCCGTTGATGGGGAGGTAAAGCATCAGGTGGACCTGGGGAACCTCATGGCCTTCGACTCGGGGCACCATTTCCGGTCCATCCCGTCGGACAGGTCTCCTCGGCCTCCCTGCTTCTCTTTGCCCGCGTTTCATTATGGATTCGAATCGTGAATGTTGCCTATGAAAAGGTATTCTTGTTCCGTCGTGTTCTATCATGGCCGGGGTTGTGATTTTTGTGTGGTTTGGGCTACAGGCAAGAGTTGAAGAGGGAGTGCCTAGAGAAGGCGACCGAGCTTGTTCAGGCGGTGGCCAACGAGCTCTTCGGATTGCCTGCCACAGAGGACCGTGACGGTCCTATTGTTACCCTCCCGAAGCCCACCACCAAGCTGCCGAGGGAGAAACACGTAAGCTTTCAATCGCCTTAATTTACTTCCTTTCTCTCTGCTCCCTTTTTTTATTTACTTTTTTCTTCTTCCTTTGGGTATGAAAGATATATACATAATCTCATCCTGAAATTGGAATTCATGGTTCTTCTCCAAGCATAATTTATACGCTCTTTCATTCGAAGAAGCAAGACGGGAAAATGTCTTCTTATTGATTATATTTCCTTCCCTAGTTTAATTCCATGCTTTTTTCTACATCTTACTAGATGTGCATAATTGTTGGTCTTTTTGCAGCTCCCAAAACCCAAGCCTCCTACGAAGTGGGAAGAGTTTGCCAAAATGAAGGGTGCGCAATCTGATTTTTCCTGTTATGAAATTTGGATTGAGTCGTTTCTTCATGTGGTCTCCACGGTTGCTAATACTGTTGTTCTGGTATGTTTGGATTCTCATATTATGCGATTTTGTTTCCAGGAATAAAGAACAGAAAGAAGGACAAGCGTGTGTTTGATGAACAAACAGGCACTTGGAAACGCCGCCATGGTTATGATCGTGTGAATGACGACAAAGATATTCCAATTATTGACGCTAAATTAACAGATGGTAATTTTGGCCCCTGAATTTTCCCTTTGCAGAAATTTCCTAGTTGATGGTTTATTGTCATCTTAGATTTTAAGGGAAAAAAAAAGCACCGAGTAACACATGGCAACCCAAGATTTGGTGGGACATATTTTTCCCTAGTAACGATTTGACTTAATTTTGATGGTTTATATCCTAAATTTGACGCCATGATTGTCTTTTTTGTCCTGGTTGTATGATATTTCTTGAAAATATCATCTAGTTGGCCTATCATTATATCTCAATCATTCACCAGGAAGTTGGTATTTATCACAACTTTGAATTTCTGATATGTGCAGGGATGATGCTGAAATTTCGGTACATATTTTATGGTTATTTTTGGCGGCACACATATCACTGTGATAATGTTTGACATTAAGTTTCTGTGATTCAAATCTTAGAAACCATATGCCCGTCAATTCTCTTTTACTACCGAGTATTTCTCCATGGCTTCATTTATTTGTGGCTTGTATCCTCTCAAGTACAAGATCGCTTTCTAGAGAGGATTGCTCCTGAAGTCAGGATTCTCTTTCTTCTTATGAACAAAAAATTTCTAATTCTGGCGCGGAAGCACGATTATCTTGTCGGAATAGGGGAAGTTTGAACGGTGCTGTCTTCGTGATAGACTACTTTCAACACATTCATCCTCGTTGTTACAGAGCCGGGAGAGGATCCTTTCAGTAAGCGGAACGCTGAGAAGAAGCAACGAATTGAGAAGCAAGAAAAGAACCGACTGAAGAATTTGAAGAATGCCTCAAAAGCTGATGCCTTGCCCAGGTTAGTCTTGCGTTGGCCCATGCTTTGATCAATGATTCCTTCGAATTCAGAGCTCCAATTGGATGCATTGAGTCTCAGAATTCACTATTTCTATGAATGGGGTCCCTTTTCTGTGGCAGTCACATACAACTGGCAGCGACAGCATTGCCAATCACAGGAACCCAGAAAGACCTACCCAAGAAGGCCAGCAAAAAGGAGCTGGAGAACGTAGCTGGGATGGCAGCATCTTCGACAGCCAGTATTGGCAAATTCGACAAGAAGCTACCAGGAGAGAAGCCTCCGAAGCATCCTGGGAAGTACCGGAAGGTTCTTTCTTGCCCAACCCTCCTTGCTTTGAAAATACTAGAACTTTTACATGATTGATGAGAGTGATGATAAAATATGCTTCTCCGACGCTGCGTTCTCTCTAGTTTCTCCCAGTTGTAGAAGGAAAAGGGATGGGGACACAAGAAAAACAGCAGACTGATAAGATTCTGAACAAGCTCCTTTCAAGAGATGCCAGTGAGATACTTGATGTCAACAAGGCGAGTCTGCTTTTCAGTTTGCACTTTTCTTCATGAATGCCCTTTCAGTGCGAATTATGAACAAATGAAAGTTACTGATTCTTCCATCCTGGACAGGCCGTAAAGGTGTTCAACTTACAAGGTGACAAGAACAGGAAGGATAAATACTCCAATTCTAGCAAGCTGAAAGCCAGGAAGAAACCACTGAAGAAATCTTCAAAAAAGGGCAATTAGGTAACCTATCAATATCTCTATCAGGATTGTCTCTGCTGTTGATTCCTATTGGTCATGGATCTCAGGCGATTTTCTTGCTTATCCTCCCCTGGGATTTATGAATAATATTCTCCAATCTCATTGACAAATGACGCTGGGTGATTGATCTCCCAGCCCTCAAGAACTGGGTGTGGGGTCTCATCCTGGATTGATTCCTCTTAGGAACTTGTTTTGCCAATTATTTCGTCCATAAGGTGAGCCCTTCCCATTGGTGGACGCAGGCAGATCTTGTCACAGGAGGTTTGGTGTTGGCGGCCTGTAGTGGTTCACAATACCGGCAGAAGAAGACTTACTTCATCACTGCGAGGATACTGCTGTTGGGATTTGACAGGACGGCTGGCACTGTCCGCATCGGGCCCTCGGATGAAGTAGAATTGCACTGGTGAGGTTTTCTCATATGGGTGGCTCCCGTTTTCAGTGCGGATCCTCGGAGATTTGAGGGGTTTACCTGTGGCGAGCATTGTCATCACCCCTAGAAGATGATATCAGTTGGTTGAACTTAGTCCGTTTACACCAGAAAGCTGAAGAAAATTTTGGCTTCTTTTTTGGTATTCTTAGTTTCTGTATGGTGTGGTTAGTCTCGACGGAGCTACTCCCCTTTGCAGTTGTTATTATCACTTCAGCTCCAAGTAAACGGAACCATTTTCGTAGAGATGTTCTTTTTCTCGCTCTCCCTCTCTATATATACCCTTCTGAATTTGTATTGGGCTTTTGCTGAGGGATGGAAGGATTCTGCAAGTGCATGAGATGGGAAATCCATTGAAACTGAGAGCACAGGCCACTCGCTAGTTTATTATTGGGAAATCACACCTCACGACGGAGGAGGTTGCTGAGTCGCGGGTGTTCTCTCGCTTAGGCGAAGTCGAAGTGGTCGGCGGGGGGAAGGGTGCCGTTCTGGAGGCAGAACTTGCGGAGGCGGTGGATGCGGCGGGGGGTGACCTCCCAGAAGATGTTGAACATGTCGGGCCAGCAGTGGGGGTGCAGCCGATTCACGCCGTCGCAGGTGTTGCTTGACGGCACCGTTCCGTTCACCAGGAAGTTGCGCATATCGCGCACCGCCTTCCCTCGCGCCAGGTACCCCCAGCACCGGTACAACTTGTGCGAGTCGTCCACCGGCTCAGGCATGTAGTACGGTCGGTTCAGCGGGTCCGGCAGCGCCGTCCAGTTGTACACCGGCGGCGAAGATATGCTGTAGTTCCTCGGCGCCACAATCTCCCCCAACGCTCCCGCCGCCACCATCGCCAGCACCACCACCGCCACTGCCACCACCGCCGCCGTTGTCGCCGCCATCTGTGAAGAAGCTCTCCTCTACTCCTCTTTCCCCCAAGAAGCTCTCCTCTTCTCCGGTGCCGGTGGAGCCCAAGGGATGGGCGGGGGGCGGAATTTATAGGGAGAGAGGGAGAAGAGCTGAGGAGGGTACTCCACCCCTCCGGGGTGACAGCGGTTCTGTAGAGTTAGAGAGAGTAAGAGAAACGGCCGAGCACCAGGTATCCGTTGTCTGGCTTGTAAGAGGAGGAGGAGGAACTGATCTCTTCGTTGAAGTAACCGTTAAATAATATTCAAAGGGGATTGATTCATTATATATAGTCCCGAGGGCGGTGGGAATACACCTTCATAGCCACGATGTACGCAGGAGGGAGGGGGAAGGGGGTTCCAACTCTCGGTACAAAAATAGCAAATTGGAAACACGAGGAAGGATTGCAGCGGGGGGGCCTTGACCGATCACTTACACTTTTTGGCGACGATGCCGGCGAGATCGACGACCCTCTGGGAGTAGCCCCACTCGTTGTCGTACCAGGCGATGACCATGACCATGTCGTCGCCCATGACCATGGTCAGGGAGGAGCCCACAGTGGAGGAGACGTCGCTGCAGCGGAAGTCGACGGAGACGAGGGGCTCGTCGCAGACGGAGAGGATCCCGTTGAGCTCCTTCTCCGCGCTCTCCCTGAAGGCGGCGCTGACCTCCTCCGCGAAGGTCTTCTTGGAGACCTGGACGACGAGGTCGACCACGGAGACGTTGGGAGTAGGCACGCGGAGGGCGATCCCGTTGAGCTTCCCTTGAGCGACGGCAGGACGAGCGCCACCGCCTTGGCGGCGCCGGTGGAGGTGGGGACGATGTTGAGGGCGGCGGCCCGCGCTCGCTGGAGGTCGCGGTGGCTGGCGTCGAGCAGCCTCTGGTCGCCGGTGTATGAGTGGGTTGTGGTCATGGTGCCCGTGATGATTCCTGCCGTCGGATAGATAAACTCTTACTTGCTAAACAACAACCACAGTCTCCCTCCCGTCCATCGCTGGCGATCGACGAGGGGAGGTGAAGAGGTGCGGAGGGGCTCACCGAACTTCTGGTCAAGGACCTTGACGAAGGGGGCGAGGCAGTTTATGGTGCAGGAGGCGTTGCTGATGATGGGCTCGTCGGGGTTGTAGCCGTCGTCGTTAGCTCCGACGACGTAGGTAGGGATGTTCCCCTTCTCGGGGACGGTGATGAGCACCTTCTTCGCCCCAGCTTCGATGTGCTTCCCGACGCCCTCTCTGTCGACGAACACTCCCGTCCCCTCGATCACCAGGTAAATTCCCAGATCCCTGCCATCACACCATGCATATCCTTCAAAGAGCTGGAGAGAGAGAGAGAGAGAGAGAGAGAGAGAGAGAGAGAGAGAGGGAGGGGGGAGGGGGCTCACTTCCAGGGGAGATTTCGGGGGTTGTGGCAGGAGACGACTTGGATGACCTTGCCGTCGACGGAGATGGCGGCAGCGCCATCTCCGTCGACGACGACGATGATGCCGATGGTGGAGTCGTACTTAAGCAGGTGTAGGGCCTGTTTAACGCCACCGGTGTCGTTGATGGCGATCACATACAGCGGCGAGCCATGTGCCAATGCCGTAGGAAGTTCCACCCGATCCGTTCCAACCTGTTTGTTGGCTTTGAAAGCCCGGAAACGCTCCAAGGAAAAGCCACACACACACTCACGGAAGTAACAGGAACGAAGAAGAATGTATATGAATGAATATATACCTCACTAAGTAAGGTTCATTGAACACATAGCCCTTTATATAGGGCAGCCAATCGCTTGAAGGGAGAGAGTGCATCTAACTGACTAACGATGACATGGCTAGATGTGAAATGTGGCCGCACCACCACCGTTATAACTCGTAGTGATGTGCGGCTGCGATTGATCCTGCAAAAACAAACATAACGAATATAACAGAACAAAAAACGCCCAAATTGTCTGTTTCAAGACACCGTTGTCTGTAATTGATGACGGAGCAGAAGCAATTCCCCATCACTGTTGATGACCACCTTATCTTCGCCTCCGCCAGCTGCCGCCACTCACAACTGCTGGAGAAATAGTCAATGAGGAGGTTCGATCGCCCTCCTGTTGAAGATTTTGAAGACTTACAAGCGCTAAAAGGTGAAATCCAGTGAAAAGAAACTGATTTGAAATTAAGAAATAAATTCTGGCTTGAAAAAAAATCTGATTCGTTTGATCTCTGGATTCCAGCCAATAAGATCCTCATGTTCTTACCGCTCCACCTGTCGATCTCCCTTGTTGTTCTTCCAAGAAAAGTCAACTCTAATTTCCCTTGTTTGTGTCTCCAAGAACAGCCTTAGTCCAACTAATCTTTTTCATGAGATCTATAGGAAGAGATGGCGCAATCTTACCTTGCATGAGAGAGGAGAGGAGGCGAGAACCACCAAAACCAGACCACACAAGAAAGAGGGTAAAAATGGGAAATCTAGGTTTTGTTCGAATGTCCTAAATTGGGGTTTAGAAAGACTATTTTTATATCCCTTTCTTTTGACCAGAATACTCCTTTGAAACGTATAAAATATATGCCACATTTTAGAGCTTCCAGCACTTTCGTTATTAGACGAATATGTACCTCATCAAACCTTGAATAGTTTGCTCCATTTGAGCCTCATTTGCGATTTCAGCCTATTTGTTATATCTCAACAATTTTCACGGTAAATATTTCAGCCAACCTTGAAAAATGTTATATCCTGATTTTTACCAAGAAGATTCTTTACCTTCTCAGCAAGTTGATACTTGAATTAAATTCTAGCAATGCTTCTTACAAGAGGAGATACATAATATGAGTTGGATCTTTGATTATCTAAATCACCTACAAAATTGGTATAAAAAAAATGACTCTTTCATTTGGAACATAATCCGAATTTCATTTGGAACATTAATTTTTCAATACTCATTTCTTTGAGCAGCACAAATATGCACACTAAACTAATAATATGTACAATCTTTGGTCTTGTGTAAATCATGACGTACATCAAGTTATGTACAATATTTGCATAAATTATCTTTTAATCTCTTCAATTCTCCCTTTTAGTTTTTGGGCTTTCAGTGGTTGATGATTTGAAGTGATTTGTCTAAGGAGTAATTACATTTTTGGCATCACCCATATGAAACAATTCAACTATCTTTTTAATGAAGTTCTTTTGTAACATTCATAGTGCTATGCCCTTCTTATTTTTGTTGATTTTCATCTCAATATTCTTCTTAGTTGTACTAAGATATTTCATCTAAAGCTCTTTAATTGATAAATATTTAAAATTTATAATATCTTTATATCTTTGATAGTAATTAATGTCATCCATATAAAATATTAAAAATATATGAGATCCATCTTCAAGTAATTTAATATAGATATTCTCATGGAGTGTAGCCCATATGTATTATAAAAGAGCCAAGTTTCTTGTGCCATTATCTTAGTATTACTATAAATTATAAAATGATTTCTTCAACCTACAAACAAGATGTTTTGACCTTGATTTTTGAACCCTTCTAACTGATCTATATAAAATGATTTCCTTCAAATCACACTATGAAGAAATAAAATCTTTTCATCAAAGTGCGCCAACTCCAAATCTTTTTGTGCAAAATGGCTAGCACCATATTTATTAATGAGTATTCTACAATTGGAAATAAGACTTCATTTTAATCTACTCCTTCATGTAAGTATTTTTTACTTAATCTAATTTCATATTTTGATTATTTATTTTCAGATGTAGCTTCTTTCTTCTTGAATATCAACTTGCATCTAGTAGCTCTCTTCCATTTAGTGAGTTCAATTACATCCCATGTTTTGTTTTTATACAAAGATTCTATATCTTCTATCATTCCTTCATCTAATTGATAATTCTCCTTGCAATTAATTACTTCTTGAAGTGATGTAGGTTTTCTTTGTCTTGTAGACAATGCAAAAGAAATAGAATTTTCAAAATCATATCTCACTAATGATTTGATGGTATGTCTACTCTAGCCCTTACAATGTCAATTTCATTATCTTTTTCTTCATTTGAATCAATTACTTCAATTGTGACAAAAGAATTGAGTTTCTTCAATCTCCACTTGAATGCTCTCTTTTTGTAATTCCTATTCTCATAATGTAATATCATATTCTTCATCTAGAGATTTTAACTTATAACTTTCATCAAAAAATATATCTCCACTAATTATAGTTCCTTTAGTTGATAGATCTCAAAACTTACACCATTTCACTCTATATAACTCAAGAAATTACAAATATTTGATTTTGAAATATGCACATATGTTAGAGATATAAATACTCAAAAAATTTAATAGCTTACTTTTCAATATGTTTGTACATCAACAAATCTTTCATCACAAACAAAGTTAGGCATTCTATTAAGTACATAGCATGTCTCCTTAACCACCTTTGTTGAGAATTCTTTAGATAATTTTACATTCAATCTTAAACATATTTCTCTCTCAAAAATTGTTCTATCCATCCTTTTCACAATTCCATTGTGTTGTAGTATTTTTCTAAAAATAAAATGTCTTTTAATCTTGTGCTCTTCATAATACTTGAAAAATTTAGAATTTGTGTATTTTGACCTACCATCAGTTTTCAAAACTTTTATTTTATGAGTACCATCAATAAAACTGACAAAATAACAAGAGTCTCCTTTAAAATGACATTTAGATGCACTAAATGCTCATTTACTATTATGAATAGCTGTCTTGAATTCTACCTTCCATTATTTTCTCATGACACAGTACATGTCAATATTCAATTTTCAAGTCTTGACTCCCTTAAATAGTCTTAGCTTATAAGTTACTTCATATCATTCTCATTAATATAAATATTTATTTATAACATTATACTTTAATCATGATCATTTATAGACTTTTGACAGTCTTTTTTTACCTTTGAATGTATAACTATTTGAATATAATATTCCTAAAGAAATTAGATTCCTTCTTTGATCAATAACACATCTCACATTCCCTAAAGTTATCATGATTACATATCTCTTCTATCCAAATTTGTGTTTGAACGAAATTTGAGGTATGGTAGAGAAAACTCTTTCATATTCTTGAGTGCAAGCACCAACATTGACAAGAGTGCAAAATAGGTCTATGCCATGAACCGTTATTCAATGCACTTAAAACTTCTCAACAAAGCCAAGCTAACATACAGAATCTATGGAGCGTATTTGTATCTAAACAATAATGGGTAAGACATTTGGAAGTTGATGTACATTTGCAACTGAATTAGTATAATATCTGTTGTGATAATTGAACTATGTGAAAATAAACTAGTTCAATGATATAGATTGAGAATATATCAAGTTAATAAGAAGATTAAATCAAACAGTCAATAGTAAAGATATCTGAGAAGTAATCTTGTTTTAGCTCATGATCTTTTACCAATTTAGTCCCCTCTTGGTGATAAGTGAAGCCATACCAATACCAATAGATCCATATTAATACATACATTGTGATATTTTTAGAGATGAATTAAGAAATTCGAATCAATTGCTATTACAAAGATAAAAAAAACTTACCAAAAAAGATTAAGCATGTTGACCTATGGGTTTGGAGAGAAAAGTAAGGCACCATAACTTTTTCTCAAAGGCATTCAATAATATTTTTTCTCCAAGGCAACAGTGGTGTCAACCCACTAGGGTTAAGATTAAGTGTGTCAGAACAGATTCAACATTATTTTTTCTCTAACAAATCATAACTTTTTTATCTTAAAAATATGGTTCATTTTTTAATATCCAATTGAAGAGAATCTAGAACTATTATGTGCCCATTTAAATAGTCACATAGTATAGAATCATACACTTTTTAGTATTGTTAAAAAACTTCTTCCAAATCTCCTCAAGGAATCAAGATGCTCTTCTCTTTATAGATTCATGGTACAATTCCGCTCTCATTTCTACCGCATCAATATCACGATCCATAAATGTTAATGCAAATGATTTCTCATTTACATTGTCCAAGAACTAAAGGAAACTAACATCAATGTACTATCTCCTTACAATGTACTAAAGAAAACAGTGTGTATTACCTCACTAGCATTTGTTGGAAGCATGTTCCTACATATTTCAAGAAGAAAGAATCAACCAACTTGACCTTCTGTAAGGTGCATTGTGAAGGAGAGAGCAAGAGCAAGAGTGACTGATTGTGTGTGTGTGTGTGTGTGTGTGTGTGAGAGAGAGAGAGAGAGAGAGAGAGAGAGAGAGAGAGAGAGAGAGAGAGAGAGAGAGAGAGAGAGAGAGAGCATAGATAAGACTAGAATGACCAAGAGTGAAAGGTGACCCAGAGCATGGGAGTTGCTATGCTCGTGTACATATCCAATGAGCTACACGATGATCAATGTGGACTTCTATTGGAGTACACCGGTCTAATTTCCCAAACCAGCAGTAAACATAGGATCAAACACATTTCAGCAGGGCAAAGATTGCAAAAGCGCATCAAGCATCTGATCATGGAATCAATCTCATGCCAGCCCAGATAATCACTCCTTCAGCAGTTCATCTTTCTGAGAAGACTCGGGCTGAACCATCAAGATGGAGCCACTAACATAGTATGTGAGCAGAAACAAGGGCTCAATAATCCACCACTTACCCATGACAGTACACCCAAAAAGATGAGAAATTTAAGAAGGGGAATAAATGCTCTATGGATACTCATCTTGTTGTGTAAATCAAGCTTGACACATTTTCCGGGTAAAACATTGAACCCCTTTGAGGGCATTTCAAACAAAACCAAACTTAGAGATCAACAAGCCCCATTTATCTGAAGATGAACCGCGAGGGTAAGGAGTGCTTATGGTGAATATCGAATTCATGACTACACAAATAAGAGAAGAAATTCGAGAAAGAATGCCGATTCCACAAGGAAATGCATATTTGGGAGAAGGTAGAAAATATTAGAGCAAAATCTCAGCTGAGAAGTTGAACTTTCCATGCTAGGGAGGCTGGATCTTACCCCGGCCTGTGGTTTCCACTCGAACCAGGGTAAGAAGATGAAGCTCATTAATGGGTATGGCGAGATCAAAATTGATAAGACCAGACTTATCTCTGTTGCGTCTTCCGTATCCAGTCGAGAATCCGAGAACAGTCCTCTCCATTAACGAAGATCCTCTTCTCAGGACGGTAGGACTTGAGTTCGTAGTTTTCCTGGCGGCTGGAGACATCCTTTCTCATTCTGAGAGGTCCGGGCACCGTCAACTTCCCAGACGGGTCATGGAATGAGTCGCAGATGAAGCTGAGCACGTCCTCCATGGGTTTCGAAGCATCGAGCCACTGGTAAATCTGCTCGCTGCGGAACCAAGTGATCTGCCTCTTGGAGAAGTTCCGAGAGGCTTTCTGGAATTCTCCAAGAAAGGCGTAGAAGTCTCCTGGGGAGCACTGGCCCCTCAGGTGCCTACAATGGAGGAGGTAGTCCATGGCTTGACGATACCCGATCGCCCGAGTTGCAGAGGTGGTATTCGGAAGGAGACCCTGGTCGAGGAGCCACGAGGCTTCCGACAAGATCCCGGGGCACTCCACGATCATCTCCTCGCACCTCAGGTCGATTGATCTGTAGAGGTCCAGCCGAGGCGTCGAAAGGAAGAAGCATATGAAATCGTAGTCGAGACTTCGGAGAGCATCAGCAGCGCCGTCGCTCCTCTGGCTCGACGGACTCGAGATCAGCTGCTTCTTGAAGGATTCGTATGGGACGGGGAAGGCCGATGGTGGCGACCCAGAGGACTTGATAATCTCCAGGCTTCGTCTCAACCTGTACCAGTCGTTCTGAGGCAGAGAGCGAACATTAGGGTCGCCAGCCTCCGCCACCAGGTCCACGGCTTCCTCCCATCGCCCGGACTCCTGCAAGTGCATGATCTGCGAGCTCGCTTCGCCGGATATCTCCTTCGTGGCGACGGGAACATCGGGTTTTCCGTAGATGTACCAGCGCAGATACAGTCCCGTCCCTCCGACGACGATGGGCACTCCACCGCGCTCAAGAATCTCCTCTGTTGTGCCTCTCGCGTCGTCGAAGAACTGACCGACGGAGTATTCCTCAGAAGGATCCATGATGTCGATCAGATGATGGGGCACCTCTTCCCTCTCACTGATCAGAGACTTCGCCGAGCCGACATCAAGCCCGCGGTAAACCTGTATAGAGTCGGCGCTGATGATCTCCCCGCCGACCCTCTTGGCTAGTTCCAACGCAAGCCTGCTCTTGCCCGCCCCAGTTGGGCCAGATATGACAACGACCTTGCTCCTCCCCCTCGCCGTCCGCCCAGAATCAGCAGAGGCGGCCGCAAACAGTTTCCTCTGCCGAGAAGAAGGCGGAATGCGTCTTCTCTTCCTGAGACCAGAAAAAAATGGCGTCCACCCCGTGCTCGAAGCAAATCTGAAGCTCCATGTACGCAATCCAGAGGCAGTGCTCATCAGGGGAATCTCCCAATTCGAGGATCCCTGCGGAGAAACGACGCGTATAAGCGATCTGGGCAGTAGATAAGCTCCTAATTCATCAGCTACCCGCCCGAATTTCGCCGACCCTGAGCCAGAATGGAGAGACAGCAACACATTTTGAACCCAAAACATTACATCAGAAAGGAACCACGAAACAAAGCACAGACCCATCCAAAATGTGCCCTCCGGCGGGGGAGGAAGAAGGTGATGGCATTACAGGCAAACATGCTAATTCCTACATCACACCGAGACGCTACCCCACCCTCGCGCTCTTATCCCTGCAGCGGGGGGGAGAAGCCATCCCTCTCCCCGTCAGATAGGGATACGAGTGGAGGAGCGGCGACGGAACGAGGGCAGGGACACAGCGCGGGAGTGCGGGAAAATGAAGATATCTACCTGTTCTGCTACCTCGTCTTCGACCCCGTGGGAGAGAGGACACAACCACTCAAGTAGAAGTGGGCAGCTGAGGGAAGGAGAGAGGGGGAGAGAGGGGGAGGGAGGGGTTTAAGGATGAAGCAGGCTCGCAGCCCATCTGAAGCAGGCCCAAAGCCATCAACCCTGCCCTAGAATGGGCCTCAAAGCCATTTTTTCTCATGCCGCAGTGAACCCCACTTTGGGCCCGCTTCGTGGAACTCTCGAGAGAAAGCCTTCTCCGAGATTACTCTTGATTTTCCCGGACTAAAGTTTAAGGTAAATCACACTGCAATCAATCTTATTAGCCGAATAAAATTTATCTCAAAGAGAATGATTCCCATCACCATGCTCAATGAAAAACTTGTTGCATTAAAAAAAAAAAATGCAACTTGCTGCATACGATATGGTCTTCGATTAATATCAAGGGGTTCCAGGGTTTATGCAAAAAATTTACCAGAGAGATTTCTGTACCGCGCATAGAGGGAAAGAATCTGCGGGGAAGGGACGGGAAGGGGGAGGAGGATTGGGAGGGCGCAAAGCACCCATCACTAGTGTTACATCCTTCTGTGCTTGTAGAAAGATACATGAGAGCGGCGGCCTATCAGTGGCCTCTTTTACAAAGGGGGAAGGTATGCTAATAGCTTATTCGTCAGGGCATTCCTTGCAAAGGATGCTGTACAACACTTGAAAGCAGCGTAAGCGAAAATATATACGGTTGCTCTTTGAGGCACATTAACAGGTTGACTGTGCTCATAATTTCATCTGGAACTCTGAGAACCAAAACTCCAAGTCCCTTTGGAGGTAGAATGCCTGTGATAATTTCATGGAGCTCGTTTTTATATCTGAGCTGCAACGAGGGGCTCCAATGTATGATTGCATTCCCGCTGGGGGAAAGGAACCCTTGCAGAGGGGGAGCGCTGATTTGTCGGCAGATTTCCAGCAAGGTCAGGAAATCATGAAGGATTTGATATGCTCCGATGAGTTTCCGCAAAGTCGCGGATGATCCGCTTCAAGGTCCGACCACCTTTCCCTTGCATGTGACCGTTGTCATGTTCCTCAGAGATGGAAGTTTTGTTTGTAAGGTAATCTGAGGCTGCACTAGCGAGGGCTTTCAGCCACAGGGGTACGAGTGTTTCCGCTTCCCCCTTCTTCAAATACTCGGCAGGCAGCGTCTGCACCTGATAAATGGTATAGTTATTTATCACTGAAGATCAAAGTAAATGTCAAACAGCCGCGATATAATGCATTCAAAAACATAAATCGATGCGTCCTAAAAGCTAAGATGATCCACTCAAGTAAAGATGAAGATGCTATTTTGGTCTAGTTATCAGGTGGGATCATCAATGGAGGAGATAGCCTCAAAAAGCATTAATAACAGTTCGGAGGGAATTCAGAATGGTCACAATGCCAATCTTTCAGCAGGGGCAGGCATTAAGAAATCGTCAGTACCCAGGCCTCAAGGCACTCCAGTGACTGAAGGTTCTCATGACCTCCATGGTTCTCCATCAGATTAAGTCAAGAAGCATCTATTTTTTATCTATGCACGCAAAATCATGAAACCATCCAAAGAAAATGTCCATCCATCTATACCTAATCCCTTTTACTTTTCATGTGGTGGCTCGGCTTTCTAACGTGATGAGATCAATTCCCACACCTTTAATCTGCAGGATACATGGGTCAAGAGAAGATCGTTCTTCTCCATGCAGATATGTATCCTACTTGTTTTATGTTTGTCTACTCCTATCAAACCGAACTCCATCCATCCTAAATGATGACGGTTCTACCATTAAGGGAAAAATTAATTTATCCGACCCCCAGTTAAAAGATATTTTCTATAATGTTGCCATGATCTAGCGTGCCAAGGGTACCTTCAAAGAGACTAGATTAAACAAAAAACCCAACGAATGTCCATTGTATTCACTGGTTAAATGAAAGAAATGATCAAGATATCCACACAGAAGAGCGACTATCAGAGAGGAAAAGGCCACAAACATTGAAACTATTGAAACTACTAAAACATGAGCAGAAAGGAAATGGGGGAAAACCATTGAAACTAGCCATGCATGTAGAGATTCCCAACATAGGAGTGCTTTGCACGTTGTCCGCTCACAAAGACTGCAAACTGCCGCTAACTGCTGCAAGATTGTTGCCGACTTGTGAACCTATTTACAAGCAAGTTACCATTAGTTTGCGCTACTCCTATAGAGCACAAAAATATGCAAAATAAGCTGAACGTTGAAAATGAACGTAAATAACTGAAAGCATGATTATAGTGATATCAGTTTCAACTAATAAAACAATGAAGCCTGATCATATTTACCTCCAAGAATAAAGCTAGATAAACAGAGGAGATAGCTCAGAGGGCAAAAATACATAAATCAAAAATTTTCATACATCTCTCTAAGAAAAATCTGATCATAACCTAGAAAGTCACCTGAGATAGGTCCATTACGGAAGCCTAAATTGTGAAACTATAAAGGTAATTTTCCTACCAACAAAACAGTCTTGGAGGATGCTAATTGAATATGATAATGCCCTAAGGTATGTCCATCATTCTGGAGTGATTGACTGCTATGCAGAGCTACAGTGCTGCGACCGGTCTTTTCACAGAAAGCAGCCTGAGCCTTTAGCTGTGAGCATATTTTACGTACGATTTGGATTGCAGATGCTGGAATTTGTCGTGGACCAGAGTGCGAAAGTAGGAGGGAGGCTTGTGAGTTTTCTTTCGGGCCATTCCCAAGTGCCAGTGACTCTCACGTCAGGTTTTGGGCTTCTCACAGTTTGCACATATATCACTTAAAACAACTGAAAAGGCACCAAAGATCCTGGAAAAAATGGAGCCCCTCACAAAAGGAACAAGATTTTTATAAGTATCAACAACAATGAGGGTTCCAGAGAAGGAGACAAATAAGATGTAATTGGGTAACATGAGGACGGATGAGCCACTATTTACACATATATCTTGTTTTCCTCACATAATGAATAAGGATGAAGGACCCCAACAGCTGGTGGAGTTCATTACAGCGTAAGCTGGAGACCCTAGAAATAAAAAGGCAAGAAGGTAAAGAAATAATGGTGAATATGGAGAAAATATGAAGATATACCATACTAATATTCGGGGGTAGCTCATTTAATGGACGACTCCAGGAGAGGGGCTGTTCTCCTGGTTTCCCATAAATCAGTGGAAAATTTGAACACTGAAATAGAACATCGGCAGATTTAGAGACCCATATGTTGACAACAGGGTATATCTGTTCTGACAAGCTATGGGGTTCCCATGAATCTGAGAACTGACCACACAACGGCCCTATTGACCCCGGAGCTATTATCCTGATGCCAGAAGAAAAACTGCCACGGAGGCTTGTTACGAGCATAGAGTAAATAGCAGGGGACTTAAGGGTGTGAAGATTCTCTTGCATCAAATTGGGAATTTCAATGAGTAAAATAGATGTCAGTAGTAAAAAGATGACGCCCGAGTACTATCCAGGCATTGTCATGGGTTTCACCAAGCAACCTTCAGAGAGGAATGCTTTCAAGAAAGTTCGGATGGCTTGTGCTTCAGGTTTGTTCGCCCATATGGCTTTTTGAATCAATCAGAAGGGTGCACGGGATGGTTCCAGAGTCACAGATAAAACCTAATGTATGGTTTAAGATTCAATATCAGTTGAACTCAGTCTCTGAGAAGCTTAGGTTGAACTTGTTCTCAAGCATAGTATTTAAGCCTGCAAAAGTTTGACAAAGTTGTTCCTTATTCGACATTGTTTAGAGGTGGAATTGGTCATGTGTATGCATTCTGTCATTGAAATTGGCATAGGAGTTCTAGAAATCGTGGTATTTTACCTTCACACCATTTTTTTACCTGGCATGTCATGTTGAAAGGTAGCCTAATTTTATGATTCCTGCTGAATTATGTTTTGCCAAGCATTTATTGTACGAGGACAGATGACACTAAAGGTAATCCGACTCATGCTCTTTGCCGTTTTTAAAGCACAAGTTATTATAAAGCATCAACATAAACTGTACTCAAAGAAAGCACAAACTGTAAAAAAGAATGGTTCCCATCAAATTTATTGATGATGACGTTGCCTGTTACTCTGAAAGGTCATTCGAAATGTAATTACCCTTGACATTGCTGATACACCTAGCAGCGCATACACCAGATTGGATATAAGTCCTTCGCCACAACGGGCAATAACCTGAATTAAAACTCCCATCAAGGAACCTTCAGCAGGAGAGGCCATACACTCCAACAGACAAGTAAGGCTTACGTCTAAAAAACCTACAAGCAACAACAAACGGCAATTGCATCAGGGAAGAGATTTCTATTTACTTGATACAAAAACGGGATACCGAACATATATATTTTTTAACTGCTTCAAAGTTTCTAAAATATATCTGCAATTTCTAGTCAACAGACTTCAGACAATCTGAAAAAAATTAGGTTCATCACAGATATACTTAAGCCAAAAATGATGAAACCTTGGCTAAACCAAGACATGATTTCAAGACTCAGTCAATCAAATAGAGAACTTTCCTAGTAAGGCTGACTGATCTCATTCAGGAATACAGACATGCATGCTAGGATGAAGAACAATAACCTATTCAGTTCACCCAAACAGCAAGTGAACAAAATCATGAGACTATTGCAATTTTGAGATCAGTTTGTTGACAACGTAGTTAACTCACTCAATATGGCATTCCATGACTTGGCACACTCACAATTCAAATCCTCCGCACAGTTACTGAACTAGTATGAAAGTTACAAGAAGGTGTGATTTTACGATATTATCAAAAAAAAGAAAGAAAAAAAACTGAATTGGTCCATAGTCATAATAATTCACAGAATGTTTTGTGGGCAGATATCCTTCTGACCCAAGTCACAGGACCTAAGAAACCTAACTTGTAGAATGCTTTGTTTCTCCTATTCCTATTTTAACCTCGAACTAAGAAAACTGTGGTATGTCCTCTACTTTATGTTATACCTATGAAAAGAAGGAGGGGTTTTTTTAGTAACCCACATGCAACAAAGTCAGTCTCCTCAGTTTTTATTAACTCAGGGCTCAAACATATACTATTGACATTTTTTAGTTATACTCGTCATTATTTCATTGATCTACATATCCATTTGTTTATTCTTGAAACCATCAATCCAATTTATTTCCAAGGAAAAAATTGCAGTTGCTACAACTACATCATGAATACCTCATATAGCAATTATTTTTGGGATCTTGACAAGAGGAAGCCATTAGTTTGCTTTCATTTCTACAATTGTGTGTTTGTATGCCTATTAGTCCAATGTAAGAGTACAAAATCCTAGAGTGAGGCTCCTTCATGCAACAGCCTTCAATCCACCATCTTCTCTTCATGGATTAGAGTACTTAGATCCGATTTTCTCTCCTCTTCTTTCCTCTCTGAGGCCATAACTGCTGATGCAGTCCTTGTGTTGCGAGCCCAAAACCAGAAGACAACGTGTATCAACATTGGAGTAGCCTGGCTGGAGAGAAGAGCTATGTGGTGTCCTCCCAATTCCCATCGTCAACACTTACATCAGTCCAGAGAGGAGCATAGAAATTCCCGTCATCTACAACCGCAGTGAGGCCTGTGATGGCCAGTAGATCTACTCACAGTCGCTCTCCCCTGCGAGAAGCAGCTTCTGGGATGCTCATAGTCTCTCCAGGTACTCTCAACTTATGCTGTGTTCCTCTGCAATACACGTCACTGAGTCCAGTATCTTGACAGCCACAGGAGCATTCTCTTCAGGCGCCTTCTTCTATCTTAGAGCCACAGAAATCTTACAGCCTGGCTGATTAGTAGCAGTACCGTTCACATCAAGAAGAAACCTAATCAAGTAATTGGGATGCTAACAATTCGTTAACATCTCAGAGGACTATGACCATGGCATTATATGAAAATTTGTTACTACAGAGTGAACTTTAATATCTGATTATGATAATCAGTCGACCAGAAGTTCGTCAATGGATGCAGTGAATCAATATATATATTGAAGGAAGTCTCCGAGCACCAGATGTGACAGAGAGCAAGTTTGAAAATTTAATGTTAGATAAATATCGTCAATGTCATCGAAAAGCAATTTACTGAATGCAGGAATTCAACAGACGAGTCTGCTAAAGTAGACTTTCAGGGACCATAGGTGTTCCTTGAAGAACCACACCACAATCACTCTGAATCATGGTTTACACTTATCCTGGCCATGCCACTTAGGTCATAGGCTCAGCGGCTACAGATCACATTACATGCATCCACAATTTACTCTACTTCTTGAGTTCAAGACATGATAAAGTGACCACAGAAAATGACTCCTCAGCCACTATCACTAGAAAAGATAATATGACACTATGAATCTTCTTTCAGCTACAACTCAAAACTGTTTCATAAACCTTTTTTCATCATCATATCTTTCAGAAGTTGAAGATGAAGTAAACGATTGGAAGTAGTCATGAAGTGGGAGGACTGAACTGATTTATACCAGATGTAACGCATTACCAACCTAGTCCGGTGGATCACATGTAGCAATTATTGAAGGAGATCAGTCTGTAGTACCCGATTGCTTAGACATTTTACCTTTTCGGTCTAAGTATTATTTTCTTCATTTTTTAGTTAAATACACCCAGTGTTACGTCAATGTCATATATCTCAATTATCAAAACATTATAGAACTCTTTTCCTTGATACAAAAGCTTCTGCTGCTTTTCAAAATTTTCAGTCAAATGCAGGGAGGGCCTGCCCTATTAATTCTATGGATGGCTATAGATTTTTCATCAACTACATTCCTGAATATAGTCATACTGCATTGCGCATTGGATTTCGAACGGTTCCTCACATCGTTTAAGTTTTCTTCAAGATGATTGAAGATCAATTAGAAACCAAAGATTTTTCAGTTCTGAAATGCAAAAGAACATCTTGCAAGTCATTTGAATGCATCCTTAGAAAAAGACGGTACCATCCTGTAGAATTCTGTCTATAAGGCACAATAAAATGCATTTGCCACAGAAAAAATAGACAAATCGAAGCAACCATACTCTCTTGGTTCACTACAGTCTTCACAAAAGGTTTTCAGCAGAAGCAATGCCCATTGTTGTCTACATCATAAATAAGAAATCATTCGAAAATCTTGTGCATAAATCACTTCTCTCTTATTTATTTCTCTCATGTTTTTTAATGTCTATCTCTCATTCGCGACCTATCCACTGGATTATCTGATCTTGATCCTCGCACTACCAAAGGAGATTTTCTGTTCAGGCAGATATTGTCTTAAAATTAAGGGGTGCATAGAATCTGTTCAGGCAAATATCTCTGGATGATAGAAGATCAACCAAAAGATATTGTATCTTTTTGGCTGATAATATTATGATGTCAGACTATGTTAGCAAGGTCAAGTACAGAAGCACAGCACAAGGAAAAGGCACATGCACAAACTGAGTTTCAATGGCTGACAAGCCTCAGTCAAGATTTGAATCTGAAAGTTTGACTTTCCCCGGTAGTATTGTGATAATAAGGTTGCCATCAACATTGCCAACTATCCGGTGCCAACTCATAACACCAGACAAATTGAGCGTGATCCATTAGGACAAAGTTGTGCATGAAAGATTTATCCCTTCCATATGTTCGTTCAAAGGACCAGTTGACTATACCCATTAGGCCTAAGATAGTGATAAGGTTCCGGTGAAGACTTATAAACGAAGACAGAAACATAGGGCAGAGGGGTAGGAAAGTAAGGGAGCGAGAGGAACAGATAGGTCATTGTATGGGTAGGTTATTAAGAACCCTCAAACGTACGATGGGGGAATCTTTTAGTGAACAGTACTCTAGGACTCGGTGGAGCTGAAGAAAGGACGGGAAGCCTCTCGAACTACTTCTCATAGTCTGTTAGGGTTCCGCGGAACCCTGACTATTGTCCACTCCTGAATATCCATCCAGTTCATTCTCTTTTTCCGTCCCACAGCCCTTCTCCTGGTAGCGGGAGGAAGGAATCTTACCAGATACCTGATCACTTGAGTTCTCTGTCTAATCTCTTCTTAAGTCATCTCTAATACTACGGAAACATGGGTATATCCCGTACTTTTTCTGTAATGAAATGGAAGAGCAAGGGGCTCAAGACCAAAACCCGTGTAATCCCAGGATGCAGCGTCCTCTGATTTATTTTTTCCCCCTAAAAAACCTAATCACCTCTGTCATTTGACTTTTCATATCTCAGTTCAATAGGGAGTCTAATAACAAAGTCAGATATGCATGTTGACAATTGTTTTACATATTTTTTTCCATTATCTTTGATCATAGTTTAGAATTGTGGGATCTTTTGTCCGAGGATAGTAAGACAATATGGTTGGTCTTACCTCATGGACGTCATTGCAAATGTGGATTTGTAAACTCGGGCTCAGACTGTTACAAGAAATTAGCCACACTTGGTAAAGTCGAGGGAATGAATGCTACTTTTGATGCTTGTCACATCAAGCGTTAGAATAATTAAACGTTATGATTTTCACTAAGGTAGTGGCAGGAAAGCCAAGGATGTGATCGGGAGGATGCAGGTCTGGGGGATAATATCATCAGACCAAGTTTACCAACTCATGTGGATGAAGGCACCTTATAGAAGAAGAGAACAAAAAATAGTGTTCGTACTGTTTGGCTTATTCACGAGGTGCAAAAACCATTCTCAACAGACGCATCTATTAGTCACACTCAAGAAAATTTAAGGGAAAGAAATTTTTGGCGCTAAGCTGCATTTAACTTACTCGATCTGGCACGTAATTTTCTGTCCATAGTCCGCTGTAGTTTTACATGTATAAAAAAAATGTAAATTTACTAAAAGGATGAAACATTGATAAATATTTCAGACAATTAGATCTCTCTTGCAATCATCAAAAGCGTACAGAATTCACAAAATCTAAATGGGAGATAAACACGTTCATGCGAATTGATAACACTCAATATGATTGATGCACACATTCTGGTCATTTAGAGTTTATTTTCAGAAGGCTTTTTGTGCTTTTTTCTGCATGTCTTTACCATCAACCTTTGGTCCAAGAAACAAACAAAAAATTTCTTGCCTAACCCAAAATGACATTAGCATGATGCAAAAACAAAAACTTGTAAAGGCTTTGATATTCGCATGATATTATAAGAGACAGTGAATTAAATATTGTTAAAACTAGAAAAAAATATATCAAATTTAATAGATTTTCAAAGGTGCAGGACGTATGATCCCTAAGCCCAATACTGTCTAGGAATAAAGCTCTAAGTTCAAAGAATCAGCAAACTATTAAATCAAGGTGAATTATAATTGCTTACAAGACATATAGGACATTGCTGATAGTGCTGCTCCACGGTGCATTGCTGTGCAGCATATGGCGGCCTTCTGGAGGGATAGCTCAAGGAGTGAAGCAGACGCTGCAACCACTTCCTGAAAAAACATTCTGGTATTAGCAAACATCTTCACTTCGCTGCTTCCACACATTGCAAGATCCTTAGAGTTTGATTTTTAAAGATCAAACCTTGGGACAGCAGCGAACAAATGAAGAAGTGAAGTTAGTGTAGGCTTCAACTAGGTCAGGCTCTTGATCACATATATAAGAAGAACTGAGAGCCATCACTGAGGCAGTAGAAGTAAATCTCTCAAATGTGCTGATATATAAAGAGCCATATTCCTCTCTGTGACCAAATTCTTCAATGACAACGGTAGCTGAACAATATTTTAGCAAAAGAGCAATTAGAAATTGAACAACTTCAGAAACCGAAATATAAAACTGTTAAGGAAAAAGAAACATTTTAGGAATTAGAACCACTGTGAAATCAATGATGGATAAATGTAATTTTTGGGAAACGAAATCAGAAGCAACTTTTATGAAGAATGTCAATATAGTCTTTCTGTGTTTCTTATATTTAGTTGTTTGCATAATCAAGGGAAAGTTCATCACCTCAGTCATGTACCCAATGTGCACTGAAAGTTCTCAAACAGCCCCAGTTATCGCAAGATCATGAAGCATCACCATCAAACATCTGTACATTAGCACCTGAACTAGGTTTTATTTAATAACTAAAAATTTATGAGATTCCTTCAAAGACATGTTTCTTGATCACATATCCGAGCTGAGTGTTTCTATGACTATCTAGAAAATTCACAATACATAAATCCTTATTTCGGTACCACTAATCCCAGCTTTCTACTTTTGCGCATCTTTAATCGGATGGTGAACCACCTAAAAGGAACTTATTATGTTTAATCTTTTTAATAGACTTCGGGTGATCTTTTCATGAGTTGTACAGCCCATTTCTAGACTCGGCTTTCTGGGTATGTGAGAAGCCGAATCCTTTCCACTAACTAAACTCAGATGGAGCACCCTTGAATGATTGCTAGAAAAGGGACGTGACAACTAAATTAAAATTCGTTGCAGGAACAGTAATGTATATTTTCGAACATGAGCTGGGGTGTCTTTATGAATTGACATGAAAAATTATGCTCAAGGACACAGAAAGGACAAGCCCAAAGGCTCACTAGGGAAGCTCATTGGAGATGCACATTCTCGTTGTATGTTTTTTGTCTGATATCTTGGCATTCTTTATCGTCTTGTCTAAAGACGTCGGAAAAAAGTATAACTTGGGCGGTTAGTTTATCAGCCGGTTTCCTAATTTGGTTAGGTTGTTGATCAGTTTCCTAATATTCATCGGTTTCCTAATGAGGGTCGATTTCCCCACTTGGTAAGGTTGTTGATCAGTTTCCTAAGTTGGTTGAGTATGCCACAAATCGTTGGATTCAACCAAGGTAGTTTTCCTTTTTTTGAGACCAGGGTAATTGTATATAACCAGCAACAGTTCTATGAATTGATGTGACAGATTTTTTTTCCTCACTGTTTGCTCTTGGTTGGTTTGCGTCAAGATACCATAACTCCATCTAAAAAAAACCCAGAGCTATTGTAGCAATCTTCTTCATACTTCTCAACTACACATTTGCCTTGTCTGGCATGCTTACTTCTCAAGTTTCTTTTAATTGTCAACATACTCTCTTTGAAAGGTCAAAATTTCACACTACACCAAATACATGGTGACACGAGCATGTACTTGACAGAAAGGAAAGATATCAGTCTCAAAACCAGCTATGATCTTCAAAAGTTTCTTAACATTAATAGCCTAGGTGACTCAAGATTGATGAATTAACATTTCTTTATTAGTGATTGATCACATCCTGCTACGAAAACGGAACTCTACAAAGTACATATGAATGAGATGAAACAAGATAAATAGAATAATCAAGAAAAGGTGATTGATGCAACTTTCTATTCAAACAGCAGAGAAGCATCCAACCATACAAAATATCCAAATTTCCAGATTCTGATCTGCATCGTGCTTATCCAAACATTTCATATTTTAAATAGTCATAAAAGTGAAGAAATAACACACCTGTTCTTATATAGCACTCATGGTTTTGAAATGATACAAAATTAGTTGATAAACTGCTCAACACAGTAGGCAACAATAAGAGAAAGTGGTCGCCTGCAAAGAGCAGAGGTTCAGCCTATAAGAATTATCTGGCCCCGGAAATAGTCAGGAAATGAATCCAGCCCGTACGTACTGTTATGATACCTGAAGACTTGAGTGCCAGTGAAAGAGACCGGCATGCAGCAGCGGACAAGCTACCACTCTCCATATGGACAGATCTGAACAATTTCTCAAGGAGTGGCCAAAGTACACCCAGCAGACTAAGAATAGTGTCATCTTCTACATCAGTTGAAGGATTTCCCAGGTTACTGAATACCGCCCCCATCCTGAGAGAATGAAATCACAATCTCAGTTCAGATAAAAGAATATATGTTAATGTTTATCAAAGGACATCAATAGAAAATTTGTTCATATAGGAACATGTTATTGCTCTTCTTTTGAAAGGAAAAAAACATGCTAGAAGGGGCAAATGATCCATTTTGAATAGGCCAGTTAAAATTTAAAAGTGATTCTTTGCAATATTATATGTTTCTCTCTAGATGCAATATTTTATTTTATCCTTCTCTCTATGGTGAGACCTTTAGCCAACATGTTAAAATAAAGAACTTTTACCGACTTACATAGGAACTAAGTTTAAGAACATTACTTGACTTTGGTGAGACCTTTAGCAAACATGTTAAAATAAAGAACTTTTACCGACTTACATAGGAAATAAGTTTAAAAACATTACTTGACTTTATATCACCTTGATGTAATGCTTAATCAACATTTAACTAAGTAACGATTTCCGTCTTATTTTTTTTAGCTGACATCAAGGTGATATAATGTCAATTAAGCATTAATCAATGGGGGAGCGATAAATCAGCCACCCCTCCTCCTATTTCTCCCCCATCTATCACGCTCTTTCTCTTTCTTTCTCTGGCCACCAGTTGCTTGTGGTTGGCGAGCCAGCACAGCAGAGTTGTCAGGATTCAGGTAAGTGTTCAACTCTGTCCTCTTCATAGAGAGGGAGGATGGACTGTCAGTTGAATGAGTTAGTCTACTAAGCCCGAGGGAATTGATGGCCCAGTACGTGGACTACATTATAGTGCATCAACCCTGTCCCAAGGAAAAAAAGGTTACTCGAGTGAGCCCAAGGCCCAATAGGTCAAGGTGATAGACCCAATTAGGATCAGGGAGAGGCTAGACCCTGGGCCTAAGCAATACATTATTGGGCTGTCTTTTGGAAAGGTGTGAGCAGGATATTGGCTAGGCCCACTAGCCTAGCTCTTTGGCATTCATGTGCAATAATTACTTTTAATGTACTGGCTACAGGCTATGTCTAGTCCAAGCCCTACATCAAGTAGACATGATGAGACCGTACTAGAAAATCAAGGATATAATTTATGTTATCCAATCATTAAACCTTATATGTTTCATCTAGGAAAGAGAATAATCGGTCAACAATGGTTAGCAGGGTTGCTTCTTTAAGTAGGTGCCTGTTCTCATATGACTGCCTCCCAGTTGTCATGCTCCAATTTAAGGTTTCCATTATGTTATATATCCACTATTGTCTTATTAAATGCCATGTGCAATTTTTTTATTTTACATATGGGAGTACAATGATGTAATGTTATGGAAGTTTTGATGTTTTTACTATGAATGGAGAGTTATAAACATAGAAATGGAATTAACAGATTGGGATGTGTTAGTGTCATTATAGGAAGGATAATGGGCTTATCCTCGAAGTATCTGTAAGGATAAGGAAATGAAACGTCTACATTAAGGTAAAAACTATTCCAAAGGCCAATGCAGCAAAATCAGAGCTCCGAACAGTGATCTCAATGATTTCTAGATTGAAACTAAGTTCACACATTGATCATGCCCAAGTAAAACGAGAATGTCCTGGCCTCTTCCTGATGTCGTGGCTGGAAACATATCATTGAAGTCCATAATCACAGGAGAATGTAATTTCCTGATGATGTTGTATCACAATAAGTCTCTCTTTAATAGAGCATAAATGCATGTAATTGCCTACATGACTATGACATGTTTATAATATGATTTACATTAAATGCTTGATTTTCATATTGTGAGGTATGCAAAGAGGAGAATCCTCCGGTTGCGTCAAAAAACTCGCCCGCTCTTTTTCCTCTCTTTCAAGTGGGGAAGAGTATGGGTGGTCCTAATGGACTCTATTTAGAAAAAGCTATATTTTGTAGTTGCTTTTAAGAATGCCTTCATAGCCTTGTTTTTTCATGACTACGTTTATGTAAGAAGGTCCAGACTTGGGAGTCTGTAAATCCAAGATAACTTCGGGGATGCTGTGCTTAATGATATATCTGATCCCATGTTAATGTATGATATTAGCTAATTCATATATCGTCCTTGAGCATGTAATGTTGCCTTAGTTGGAATTATTCCAGTCGTACTGTCAATGGAATACAGCTGAGTGGACCAAAACAGGTAGGATGTCACAAGATTCCTTCTCGCAATACTATCGACGTGTCTTTAAGGAATCGTAAAAGGATTCAAAATTTAAAAGAAAAACACTCAGAAAAGTCAGCATAGAAAAAACTCATTAACCTTATTGAAAACTAATTTTGGTTCAACGCTACTGTATATTTCATCGCATAAGGCCATATACATGAATTTCAAAGATAGGAAATAGACATGACAGACAACCTAAGCACGATATTTGGTCCGTACTAAAGAGGGGAGTAAGCCATACATTTTCTAGACATCAAGGAACTCATTACTAAGTAAAGAACAAGAATGAGAGCAATGGCAGCGTTATCAATGATTTGCCTAAGCTAATTAGTATCCACCAAGGTATAGCTGGCAAAAGTTTCAACCCAACGGTGTTGTTTATGGATGACAGACGAAAAGGGAACACACCGCCCACATTGGGGAACCAATAAGTTTCAACCCTAGCATCGTCCTCTTCTTGCAAAGATAAGATATTCCAATTTTTTAAAAAATAATCATGTAGAATTCTTGGCATCATGTATAAACAAAGATAAAAAATAAATCATACTTTTTTAAGATTAATTGTTTTTTTAGTAGATGCAGTCACTGACTGTATCCTCCAGCTACACCTTTAACATCCTTCACTAGTATTCCTACCATGGACATCAACTTGTAACCAATTTCTGCCTCAACGTATGCAGGGTTTATGTTCAGTCATCTGATAAGTAAATGACCTATGTGGGATTTGATCTTGAGTCACAGTAGTGTCAGATTGTTACAGTAAAATATGATAGTGATGACAAATAATGACAGATACCTAGATAAAGAAACAGAAAGCAGATCAGTAGTGTCAGAATCATTGTCACAATCATCATGCACTTCCAACTACTAACAACAGGCAACATGGATTCTATCTCCCCATTGTACAGTATCCAATGTCTACTTTCCATTCAGAATACATAATTTCAGTACTCTTTAGAATAGAAACAAATATTTACAGGAAAATAGTAGAAGGATATTTCAGTAATGCAAACAATATGAAAACAGTCAAAATACTCAAGCAGATGCCTTTCGCGTAATAATGTCCAAATTTCAATTTTTAAATAAGGAATGATCCGAATACTATTCAATTATACTGGTCCTGATTACAGGCAATCTATCATCTCAGAACTCAGTTGGCAGAAGAAAAAACCTGACCTGTAGAGTCCCCTGACAGCAGCATTCAAAGCAAGAATATAGGCAGCTGGGTTCTGTCGAAGAGATTGAACACTTTCTGCATCAAGCTGAAGAAATGCAGCGCCAAAGTTTTAGGCAGGGAAGGAAGCAAAACATGTCTAATGCAATATAAGGAATAATATCTGGACTACTGAACTACGACAATCAAATTGAATTGGACAAAATATTATGATGCATATTTGTTCCTGGCATCGATAGACAGTGCATAAGAATATTCCAACACAATAAACTATGGCGAACAACTAATACTCAAGCATGTCCTGAAAATTAGGAAAGCCGTAACAAACAAAATAATAGGCCCAAATTTTATATTTCAGAGTAGAATCCCTGTATCAAAAAATATAGCCCAAAAAAACTATAATACGCTCTATAAATTTTAAAAAGAATGACATGATCGTATAAAGGTAGTAAACTGAGTATATAAACATATAGGCTTAACTAGGCAACTGCTATATCAATAATTGACGACATTACTCATACTCTAGTGAATGATACCGAAATAAAAAGACTGAATCATAAACTATAAGGTATGAGGGTGATGATTGGAGTAGGCTTACAAGTTTCTCAATGGCTCTGCAACCTGAAGAAAGAAGCCTCGCTAATGTGTTATTCTTCAATTCTTTATCGGGGACAGTACTAAGAACAAGGGCTATTGCACTAACAACCTCTTCTTCTTCTTCTAAAGGGAGATGCCTTTTCTCCAATGCCTAAGCTCAAATGATTTCCAATCACGTAATTAATAACAAGAAATAAATCATCTATATAAAAAGAAAAGGAACAAGAATAATGGAAAGCATGAAATAAGCCAATTTTCTCACTGGTATCGTCTGAGAGTTTATGTATCATCACGTATTTTCCATTTATGTGGTAGACGATCTAACTAATAACAGAAGTTAACTACAAAAAATCCAACAAGACCTCTTGTAATGGCATCATAACATTGCTCGAGCAAAAGAGCAAGAACAAACTGATGTGTTCAGATGATATGGAAGGCAACCTACACCACTCTATTAGAGATTATAGCTAGAAACCGAAAATTTTAGTTATACAAAAGAGACTACAATGGGAGTCCAGACAATTTTTAAGAGATATTTACCCTCCAATCCCTCACTCGAATTGATTATGTTGTAACAAAAGCATTAATATAATACTCCTAGCAAAGAAATTAGCCTTTTTTCTGGTGGATATATGCTCGTTCTAGATGTTGGATTCAGCAAGGAGAAGTATAAGATCCTGTATCCACCAGCATGCTATTGAGAAACTCTCTTCATTGATTATTTGGTTTCAAAATCTCTGTTTGCACTGAAAAAGTCCAACAGTACATAAAAAGAAAATTAATATCTTCATGTAAGCAATAGTGATAACAGTTGCCTTGCATTAGCAGGAAGAAAGGGAAAGGAAATATCATTGCCTCCACACTGCAGCAGGTGCTGCTATATACCTGATCAAAGAAAATTAGAAAAAAAAGAAGAGAAGAAGGATCAAATGGGAATGTGTTTGGCCCAATTTATGTTTTAACGTAAATGCTAATTCCTGAGCACTGATATGAATACCTAAAATATCCAAGTCATTTATCCTTAAGTCATATTTATCCTTAACTCAATCAGAGTCTAGCCAAGACCCAATATCCATTTTTCCATGATTTTACTTCTAAATCATTTTCCCTTCCTTAATACAGTGAAGAGAATTCGACCAACCCCCAGGTTGACCAGAGCATTAAATTAAGGTAATCTACATTCTGCTCTTACCACCAAAATAAACACAGACGATGTGACAAGTTAACAAACGGTTGCCTAAGGATAAACAGTCTAGGAGGGAAAGCATGTTTCAGCTTTGGGCTAGGAACAAACTAGTCAATGAACCATCAAAGCAATTCTAAAAAATACTGCGTAACTCCAGCAAATTTCTATTTTGAAGCAAGCTATATAAAATGGTACTCTTAGAACGGAAGGAATTGGCAAGCATTAGAATGAAACTGAAAACTCTGGATACAATGATAATAGTTGACAAAAATCAAATGGTCAGATATTTCTCCTTTAAGGACATTTTCTAAACACAGGTTGCGGAAAGACATTAGATTCTCCATTACCAACAGAATCTAGTCATTACTAATTCACCGTGATTTAAAACAAGTACAGCTGCTTTATTGGAAAATGCAGTCGAAAATTAGCAAGGATGAACGACCATTAATTTCGATGTAATTAAGTGACTTATTGATTCTACACGAAAATATAACTATATATGGGTCAGGGGAAAATTACCTCACAAATCCAAATCAGAATGTCCAGATTGGAAGATTCATAGATTGCAGCAGAAGCATCTTCACAAAGTTTCCGAAAGGCTAAGGAACAAGCATTCGAGGATATGGATTCTGTTATTCCAGACGCACAGAATAATCTGAAAGAGCATATTAAATCTAAATACTCTTCACTTATGCATTTGTAGATCAAAAGAAAATTGGAGATATGACCCTTACAGTAGCTGCCCAATATTATTCTGAAAGGAAGATATCCACTTGGAATAAGAACCAATAACATCCGCTATTGATTTATATACCTAAGAAGAAAAAAAAGAAAATCATTAAGAAAACAAAATACAGGTGCATAACATTATCTGAAAAACATTCAGGAATTCAACTTACAAGCCACGTGAAGCCTCCGAATTCATCAGGTGCGCTGTTTGATAGAATTGTAGCCAACTGCAGAATAACTGCAAAATCAAATCGATGCCCATCCTGTAGTACTATTTCAGCAACCTGTATCAAACATTGAATCCATTATTAAAAGGAATAATGGGAGAGGGAAAATAGTGAGTAGGCATAGAGGCTTGTTGTCACAAGCACATAAGCGAGGCATTTGGAAACATAAAAATTCAAAATATAGGTAAGAACGAGGGGAAGAGGGAGGATCTTTCAAAGTTACACAAATTTCATGTAAAATTTGGAGTCTACATGCCTCGGTGATTAAGACAGTTAAATTAGAACATTCTGTGAATAGATCTTGTGGAAAAAGGGAAAATAACGGTATAGTACAGACTATCTTGAAGAACACAAGCTTTTCCACAAAGTCTAGATTAGGGATAGGGATTCCGTGAATAGAACTTTAGTGTCCGTTCTCAATCAAAGCTTCCCACAATCGTAAAAATTCTGAACACCATCCAACAGTTTGCAAAGATCACGAACCCTTCAATATCACTTCAAGGGAAGATGGAATACAAAATTTCGGGAGATCTGATATGGATTATTAGGTCTATTAAACCATCAATGGTTACAAGAAGAAACCAGTCCCCATACATCCATACTCAGGACCTCATTTACTTCTGCCAAAAAGTAGGGTTCAAAGAAGATCAGAGGCAAAAAAATCCACCGATTTTTTTTTACAAGGATTGTAACACACAATCAAGGAACACGACTGTCGAGGTAGGTCTCAAGCCATCGCTCACCGGAAAACTTGCCCCAGCTTAGTGATGTTGAGATAAAAGTTCTCTTTAACGGAAAATATTCCCAGCATTATAAGAATTCAAATGCTCCTTTCAAAATCGCTTCACCTTCGACCTAGCCTCTCTGGGCGTCAATAACTTAGTTCGAATCCGAGTTCCCACACGTCAAAACGCAACTTATGCAATAACCATCGTCGTTGCTAACATCTGGGAAGCACTAATTACTCATTATTCTCAGGTCAGAAGAAACAAACCATGCAGTGATGATTTATTGAACCATTGTGTCCAAGATGTAAAAGATCCTATGAGGTTTTCCGATTTCAAGGGAAAACATTGACGAAAATGGCCAAAACCAATGCAGATTAAAAGTAGAAATTCAGAACGGATGATAGTAGCCTGAAAAAATCTCCCAACAAAAAAATCAAGTGATGAAAAGATTGTCACAACACAAGACAGTTAACAATCAATACAAATATGTCAAACGCTGTTCACAGACAGTGATAAAAGAATTCAGGGAGAAAAATTAGTTGATTAATCAGCAATTAAATATGGATTCCCGGCTGATAAATATAAATTACTGGTTTGATCAGAGAATGACTCCTGAGTGTTCCATCTCTATTATAACCACTAGAGCATAGCAGAAAACGCTGGAGAAATAGCAGGAAAGAGAGAAGGCAGAATGATATAAATCATACTTTTTGGACTAATGTTCACTTCTTTTAATGATTTAAACCTTGGGTCTTTCTGGAAGTTTTTCTACAACTACTGCAGAAAGGAACCTTGAAAGAAGAAAACAAAGGATAGCAAGTAGATGAAAAGACCAAATCCCCTCTGCAAAGGAAGAGAAAAGAAAGGAGGGTAGAAAAGAAAAGGAAGAAGAGGAACATGGTCTAAGTACAACCCTCACTCTCCCAATCAACCAGATACTTCTTCTCTCCATCCTCTCTCTCTCTCTCTCTCTCTCTACACTCCCATGCAGTCTCTTGATCTCCCAAAGGCCACTTCTTTTTCTTTTCCAGCTGCCAGCAAAGATTAAAAGGTTTCCTTTTCTACTTAAATCCATGTTGTAAAACGTTTATTTATTTTACTAAAAGTGTTGAAATTCGATGTTCCACATTTTATTTTTAATTGAGTCAAAGTTCACATAGAGTAAATCATTTGTTATCGCAGAATTTGCATCTAGATCACAAGTCAATTTGGTATGGACTGAGCAAAATGAACAAGCAGTCCAGCAAATTCCCGTTTCGATTACCACTCAGGTGGTTGGAATCAAAGCAAACAGTTAAAAAAATAAAAGTCAACTTTATATATGGATACAAATGAGTTCGTAATTGCAAGACACTATCTGTAACATTAGATCATGCTAGAGAGACCCACAAAAACAACTGAATTAGGATCGGCCATAAATAACAGCTAGAAATGGTACCTTTTTAAAAGTTACATGGGTTTCTGAATATAGTTTTAATAAAATAACTAGCTTTCAAAATGATTGCAACCAGATAAAATAATGCCTACTTATACCACTTCACCATCCTCATTCCCCCATATCAATGGGCCACAGACTTCAGGAACCAGGAGAAGAAAGTACTCAAATTGTGGCAACAGCAGTTGATAGTTGTTTTCTCTCTTCTCTGCTTCCTTTTTTCTGATGTTTCTGCTGATGTTTTGTACTTTCCTCTTTTCCTCTTCTGTTGGCAATAATAACTTATGTACCTCTTTTATTATTGTCTTCCCTCTTCTCTTTCTCAATTTCTTATCTGCATTATCTTTATTAATGTTAGCATTAGAATAGACCAATCTGAGCGACATCAGATAATTTCAGATCAATTCCCTTATTTTATATATTGATGCCAAAGAAAACTCAAGATTCCTCCCGTGATATTGGATTAAAAATCGCCCTTTGTGAACAATGATCAATAAAAGATATTTAAAAAGGAAAAAAACTGAGTGCCAAAACAACATATTTACAAAACAGCTTTTCAAGAAAAAATTATTCACGAATTTTTTTTTAAAAAACAAATGGCTGCTTCTATAACGAAAGGGCGGTTTAAAATACAATTTTCCGAATTCCGTACATTGACTGTGAAGATAATTGCAATCTAATCTTGAAACATCCTGAGTAGCACTAACAATCCCTTGATGTAACCAAAAAATAAAAAAGTTATGAAAGTTAATCCAAATTTTTCTTTCCTACAATAATAACGACTCATATGGATGCATTTTTCAAATTTGCACTATCGAAAAAAATATTCACACTCACGTCTCCTCACTTCAGCTAGGTTAGGATGGAAAAAAAATCCCCTCAAACAGCATTATTCAATCATTCTTATGCGTAAACAGTGAATCTAATGATAAAGTTGGGCATAGGCATCCAATAGACCATTGAAGACAAAAGAAAACCCAAGGTATGCTCACTGTGTTAAGAGCAAACAGTCTAGTTTCCACTTCCACCCAAGGGATTGATACATCTGTGTTGGCCCATATTCCACAAAAAATCTGTAGAAAAAACATTTAGCATTAATATCTTCTTGTGAAAAGGAAAGTAAAAACACATGCTAGCTAACTAGAGATAAATATAATAAAGCAAGTCAATAGAAATCAAAATGTTGCAACAAAAGATGTACAAAACTGAAACAGAAAGTGATAATACTCCATTTACCAAAAACAATCAAATTGTGGTCCTTGAAAAGCATAGAACAACTACTACAACTGTCATGACCAAGCATCTATAAAAATCCCACTTCAATAACATAACGCTTTCAAATGAACCCCAGAAATTAATTTTCAATTTTCTACATTTTTTTCCCCTTGCCTTCCTTGTAGATAAATGGTGCCTGACGAAATTTGAAATTGCCTAGCTACAAAAAAATATCAAAGACTTAAGAAAGAGCAAAAAAAATCAGACAGGTAACTGGATTGACCTGATTGAGGAAATATATGTGTGCACTAATAACTCTTGTAGGTTTGAATACATTTTTACAAGAAAAAAATAACAGTCAGAGGAGAATTTTTGCGATTTGATTTAGCTTTTCAGAACGAAGAACTGTCAATTTCAAAAGAAATATGCACCCCAGATGAAAAAGCAGCATACCAACTCATTGAAAATACTACCAGTGTATTCTCAACCACAGCTTTCCACAAAAAAAGGCTTGGACTGCTAAAAGTATTCCCACCGTGGTTATTTATCTTCAAATCTCATATCTTCGTAGAGGAGGTCATCATATTCAAGGTTAAATTATAAGTTTTGGGTGATAGTCATAGGCGTGGAGACTTTGACCTACAATCAGTGCCAGCTACATGGAACTAGGCGTGTCTCTGCATCCGTCATTTGTGAGGACATTCTCATTCCTTAAAACCTTTAGTCTATAGATCTCACTGATGGCATGTATTTTGAGCGAAAAAGTAAAGAGGAAAATACATGGTTCGTAAGATAACGTAATCTTAAAAAAAATGTATACAGTTTTAGCTGTCAAAACGTAAATTAAGACAAAAAACCTTTTGCAAAAAGGTGGAAGGCCCTAAAATCTGGCAAATGTCCACCAAAAGCTCCTCTAAATTCGTTCTGAACTGGAATAGGTCATCTGGTATGCCAGTGCGTCCATTTTCGTTGTTGACATTAGGACCATTAACCTATAAAATGGTCAAATATGCAAGACAGTCAACAAAATGCATATGACCGGAATGCATGTAAAAGACAACTGATCACAGAAAGATACTATGAACAGGAAAATTACACTAGTCAGCCAGAATGTCAGATAAAATCAAGTTCGATAATGCTTTCTTTCTTATTGTTTAGAACAAAAAAATGTTACGAGATTATTAAAAAGATGAAAACAAGAATGTTCCCAATGGAAACTACGAACAAGAACTTTAATGTGCACGATAAATGGAGAGTGCAGCTTCAAACTCATGTCACTTTGCCTTGGAGGAGGTTTATAAGATGAATAAAGACAAGAAAAAGAAGAGAATCTATGTCAAAAAAACAATCTAAAGCCTCAAACAAATCCAGAAATAAGCTGGCTATATTATTTTCGTGAGCCAAATAAGTATTTACATATATCAAAGCTGACTATATTTTTTCCAGAAGAAACACTAAATATTTTCTGGCACTTATCAGTTTTATGTTGGATAACTGTCAGTCCATACGAGAAAGTGTATCAGCCATTAAATATATCTAAATATTGTGAAAGCCTTTACCTTTTCTGAAAATTTCTCAGTTCGTGGTGTAACCATTCATTCCATGTGCAAATACAATTTTCGGAAGATACATCAAAACCACAGTTCTATCATTTAGCGAAAGCTGCTTCAAGCGTTACAACCTTAGCGACTGAAGGAAAGAAGAAAAACCTGAGCAGATAAAAGAAGAGCGTCTAACAATGCCAAAAAAACAGGAGAAAACACATCCTTTGCAGATTTCTGGTTGCTTTCCCTGTTCACATCTAGTCCAAGCAGATAATTTGCTAGACAACACCTAGAGAAGAGTATTACCAAATAAAAAGATCAGTCTCCGAATAATGAAAGTACATTCAACCAAATGATAAGATCTAAAAACAGCAAAGAAAGGATATTATTTTGAAATTAAATGCAGATGCCAGGTAAGAAAACATAATAAACTCCAAGTTACGTTGATACAAGAAATAGTGATGGGATGAACCCAAGATAGAAGCACACGTTCAAATAACTCAGTATTTAAAAACAGATTATAATACCAGAACACATTCTCAGGCAGCCCAACTCAAAGTTTAAAAAGCACTTCAAAATTGGCAACATCAGACAAATTCTACAAAGTCAACAGAGATGTAAAGCAAAACGACAAACTTTTGATCTTTTAATAACTTTGTACCTCGGATACATAAATTATGAGACAAGAGTAATTTACAAAACAGATGTTTGAATGCCAAAGTTTATACCTAACTATGATGCACAATTTCAGAACAGATGCTGTAGTTCCAACATGACTGCCATACTCAAGTTGAAACATTCAAGAAAACAAAAAAAGAAACGTAATTCTTATTGTAGAACTATGGTGTAGAAATTAGCTTGGGAACGCAGTGGAAATAGAACCAAATCATTGTCTAATTGCCTATTATTCGCACTAAGGTCAACTTTGACCTTATTATGACGAGCAGATTGTGCATATTCAATGTGTTAAAGTATTTCTTGTTTTCATGTTAGGAGGGCAGGCCAAAACGAAATTTGATAGAAGTTGAAACTGTTAAAAAACTGAGAGGTATTAGGGCAAGGGAAGTTCCATTAAAGGGCGTTTCCACGTGGTAGAACCTCCTCGGAGAATATAAGATTTTCATGAGGCTGCTCCTGAGCCGCCATCCAAGCACGAATACCTTTGTTTAAGAGAATATTTTGGTGAGACTCTGGCATCACAAGGACAAGAGAGCTCAAGAGAATCTTGAGAAATCAGCAGGCACGAAGACACAGGAAGAAGAGGAACCCAATCACAACGAACCTAAAGATATCTCAAAACTGTTGGAGGCAACAATGAGAGAACTGCTGTGTGAATTTGACTGCAAGGTAGAGATATCAATTGGCAAACTAGACGATGATGTGCAAGTTATAGCTACAAAAATTGGGAAAAGATGGCATCTCGGTGTTCCAAGAAATGCTAGAAAAGCAACATAGAAAGATCACAATGCAAATAAGAGAGATAAGTTATATGGGCAAATCGGGCTTATTGTATAGAACATTAAAGAAGTGTGCGAAGATAATAAGAGGTCAGTGAGAGAGCAAATAAAAAGGTGCAATCTATATTATCCACCAGCCAGAAACAAAGTGAGAAGAAGGAAGAGGCCTCATTAAAGGATATCAGATGAGCTCTCTTAATGAGGGTATAGAGACACAGCAATCGGGATGTCTAGAGGAACAATCATCAGAGAGGAAGGGAGAGATGATTATCTCACACTATTAAGAACCTTTCAGCTGGTTTTGTCTCGACGTCACTAAGGTATTTGGCAGCTAAATAGGAAGGAGAAGAGACACCAATTCCATCACCCGCCAGAGGTCAATCGGATTTCAAGTTGGCAAGGTGTGTCAAGGGAGATTTCCATGACCTCTCTAGCATGGAGGAGGGGAAAGGGAAACATAGACATTATGCAGAAAAGAAAAAAAATCCGATTTCATTGCTGCTGCACTGGTTAATGTTTGTAAACTTAATCGTACTTATGCCTGATCAAACTTGAGAGCAAACATCTCTCACCAAAGGTTGGATATGTTCCTAGTTTCAGTTGAAGAGGAGGCTAGTTTTCCCAAAATGAAAACTATCTGCTAACGTAGAACAACTTTAGACCATAAGCCTATCTCACTAAAGGCAAGAAGAGAACGCAAAAAAACGCATCTTTCAATTTGAGAAGAAGCAATCACAGGACAAGGTCCTGCACGAACTAATTAGCAGAGTATGAGTCGCTACTAAAAGAGGCTTTTCAGCAATGACCATTTGATCATGAAGCTGAAAAAGGTCAGGAACTCACTACATGGTAGGCTAGCAAGACCCCCTTCGGATAGAACTGAAAAGGACAAGCTTCTATGACAGATTCAGAGCCATAATATGCTTGATGATACATGTTCTCAATGATGAGGATAGAGAGCATTGAGAGTTGAGTGGAGAGTGAATTTTACGAAAAAGTAACCTTAATGCAAAATGAAGACCAAGGGATAGATGGATTCAAGAAAGGCACAACAGCACAAACTGCTTCCACATGATTTTATCACATAGGTGAAGCACAATTCGCTTTAGAATTCTGTGCTAGATTATTCACTAGCAACGCGGACGGGGTCTCTCTATTAAATGCCATATAACTCCCACTCTCTTTGAGAGGACTTGTGAAATGTCTTGACCCTTGTGGAATAAGAATCGAGAGGAACTGTAGTTTTGTAAAAATAGGATAAGGCTTTTGGAGTGGATGGTTTTCCGGTCCTTCTTTCAAAACTAATAACTAAGCGTGATCTAATGAAGGCTGTGGTAGAATTCGAGAAAGGGAAGAGATCATCTGAGAGCCTTTAATGAAAACCTTCTTAACAATGATCCTAAAACCAGAAGTTGCATATTGGCTGAAAGACTTTAGGCCCAATAGCTTCTTGAATAGCTGAATAAAATCATGGCAAGCATGATTACTTCACGGCTAGAGCAATGTTTGAATGGCTCAATCAGCAAAAATTTAAATACAATGACCTATACAAAACCAACTCACAAAAATATTGAAAGGAAACCTGAAAGATATATACTATCTCAATGAAGGAACTCGCTCAACAACTTCCATAATTCTACAGAACCTTTTTTTAAAAAAATTATGAAATCCATTTTATGCATTGAAGAAATGTCGTAGCCTTCTCCTCGTTGGATCTTCTGCAAGAAACTGACAAACAGATGCGAAACCAAAGTTCATTGACTCATAACTAATTTTAAAGCCACTGCCACGTACAATATGTAAATTCGACTAAAATATGCCAATGATGTTCTTCCATGGAAAGGCGATCATGGAAATTAAGAATCCAGTGCAGTGATCCTTCAAATTTTCAGGAAAAAAAAATATTTGATGACAAGGGATTGCATTATCTAGCCCAAAAAGGAATGATCAATGGCCTACCAGAATGAAGAATGCAGAAAATGTATCAGTAACATAAGGCTTGAAAACCATTCAGATGCGTCACTAACGAAAACAAAAAATGAATTTCAAGTATTCTAAAGAAATGGGGTAACATGTGCTGAAAATTAAAATTACCAAAACTGAACCGTTGAATCTGCAATATCCCAACCTGCGCTTGGGTAACCAGTGCAACTGCCAAAGCAAAACACCATAACTATTGAAAATGGTGAAAGAACTATTAAAATTCACAAATAGAAACGGAGCAGAAAACATTTACTGATTATCATTGTTGTGGAATTATGCTGTCCAAAAGAATAGAGGAGCACCTGAAGAAACATTTTCCATTCTCAAATTTTCTTCATCTAGGTTGTTCATATACAATGGATTGTTTCTACATCCTTACACACAAGGAGGCCTTCTTCTAGTTGGGAGAGGATCTCTCTCTCTCTAGTTGGGAGGATTGGAGGCCCTCTTCTTTTTCATTAATTTCTATAGAAGGGTGAATTTATGCTTCATAAAAAGATTTTTCATAGACAGAACTTATCCTTCGTACATTAATAAATGAATCGTCTCAAGGAAAAAGATGGATGTAAAATGGACATTCGCATCAATTTTGATAGGATTAAGTGACAACCACCTCAGAAGTGCATCAACAAGCAAAAGTGCTTCGGGGCTCCCTTCTGCAATCAATGCCGGTGCCTGTTACACAAATAGAGAAAAGAACTCATGAGTACACTATGAGAATAAGAAAATTTAACAATCATATGAAATATCATGCCACGTAATAATTTTGATACATACTGCTTGCCCAACTTCTGCCAGCAAGCATGCAAGACCACCAATTACTTTCTCATCTCTACTTTTCACTGCTGGAATCAGGAGTACTTCTTTCAGGTAATGTATTCTATACAACAAAACTTGGGGTAATCCCTGCAAAAGAAAGGTAACTCAAAACCACCAAAAATATATTTTTCAACTTTTAAATGTAAACAAGAAAATAATTCAATAACTATAATATTAGATACAGAATTTACTTCTGTGATCGATTATCAATCCAATGATGAGAAGTTTTTCCTTCACTTTCCTCTTATTTAATATACGTTTCTCCTAAGAGTAGCCAATATATGGTGGTATGAAATTGATTGTATCTCCAACCTATTGTTGAATAGGACACTTCTGTTTCCATCATTCTTTGTTAACAGTATACAACAGGTGGAAAGTCAGTTATAGTTCATTTACTGCCAAAAGCTGAGTAAGGTTGTAAAATATCAAACGAGTATGAATGAGCAGGGAACATTAAAAAAAACCAAAATGTATTATCCTCAATATTTCATTGTTTTGCTCTGAAATAAAGTTGCATTGCTTTGAAAAAGTCTATACCTAAGGAGAATAGATCCTATTAATATATTACAATGGAATAGCTCACTTATTCCAATCAGAAATGCTCACCAGAAGCATTATACTTTCATGAGGGGAATTTTTTTTCCATACAGACTCTTTCCAAGGATGCCTACCTCATAACGACTTACAAGCTCAATTAGAACTTCAATTGCCACATCAAATGAGGATGGAACCTGTAATCATGAAATAGATGCCAAGACAATCCAGTTTTAGAGACAGTGCAATAATAAATTAAAATAAAGAGAAGCCATACCTGCAGAGAGTTGAATACAAAATTTAAGAGCGGATGAGGTGGCATTGAAGGAAGAGCCTCTGAGAAGCAACCAGCCCGAACCTGACATACACCATAGTTAATAATATGATGAGTTTGTAAGCTCGACAGATTTAGAAGTTGACTAAATTACGAGATGTATTGCATTTTTTTGTCAGCATTAGCACATGCCATATAAACAATAATATAAAGCAGGCATCTCACTTGAAAAATCCAAAAAAACAATTGGATAAAAATATGGGAGATATTAACAACATGTATAATTGGAGAAGGATATTGTGACGAGAAACCAACAAAATGACCTTTATTGTATGTTAGAATAAACAAGCTACCTCACTCTACTCTTGACGAATATCCCACCATCCAGTGGATGTATCATTAATCTCATGGCGAGAAAGAAAAATCATAAGCTGATGTCCTCATAAAATAAATAGAGTCACCATCATTTCAATAATATGAAGATAGACTAAATACAAGTATTGTCCACTTTTTTTAATTAAAACATGGAAGCATAGTTCCTTTTTTTAGAGAGGCACAACAATAAAAGAATAGAATTTCAAAAACCTTAAACGAAATGGAAAAAAATCGTTGGAAAAGTCCATATGTGCCAAACTTAAAGCTCCCCACTAAAGGCAAGTTTCACAAGCAAACACCCTACAGATTTTTGTCTATCCTACATGCTTAAGCTTCATATCGACGGTAAGATACCAAATCAATCATTCACAGAGCATAGTTGATACCAATGTCCTGTCAAGGACACTAAGCAGACTACTAAGTCAATATGTCAAATATGCATTGACAGAATGAAGTTTACCACACTGAACAAATGATAAAGATAGAATTTTTGTAAGAAGATTTGGGACTTTCAGTGAATAATTTTCAAACACGAACGTACTGCATCCATATCCTTTCAAATAAAATTTCAACACGAAGTTCACTTACCCAGCTTAGAAGACATCTCAGTACTTTTCGATTTCTAACATGAAGTTGATTCCCATCATCCATGCTATGTTCAGATTGTTGCAACAAAAATTCTATAACTTCAGGAGTGTGAGAAAGAAGCTGAGAAGACATAAGACACTAGTAAGCACAATTACAATAGAATAAAGAAATTTACTGCAAAGAAAGCAAAAAAATACGTAATCAACTATATTACAAAACTAGCGAAGAAGACATATTTACCTCCCGCGTAAACTGCGACCTGCTGGTAAAATCAATGCTGCGGTCCACATTTTGATCCTCAACTACCTCCTCTGGGAGCACCGTAAGCAACTCAAGCACTGCGACGTTCTCATTCTCCTGGCTCTCCAATTTGTGAAGGCTTGCGAAGAGCTGATCGACAGGCTTCTTGTGCTCAACTGCCCGAAGCACAAGCCCTGACAGAGCCAGGCATATCTGAGTCAAGAGCTGCAGGAAAATCAAAACGTCAAGCAAGCCAAAAACACCAAAACAAACAGAAGAATTGTACTTTAAATGCATACCAAAGAGCCAGATTCAGAAAAGGAACCAGGGTCACCTAAGTACCTGATGTGGGCCTGCGCTAAATCTCTTCGCTGCAAGTAGGAGGGCGTTGATTAGGGCATCCTTGGTCCCCAGCTGCAGGTAGTAGCCCTCATTCTGGATCTGCTGGCGGCATCAGATTCAGGCATGGCGAGAGACAGGACGAGCCAATGCGAAACGAAAAAGAAAAGCCAATGACACATGCCACAAGGGATTGGTTTTTCTTCATCACCACATGATGCGCTTACCTTGCGGCGAAGGATCTGAGCAGCAAAGAACTCGACCTCAAATCCCAGCTGGGCAGGAAAGTTCAAAGACGAAGCGGCGGCTGCAGCGGAAGAAGACGTCGGAGAGAGCAATCCGGACGTTGAAGGCCCAGGGGACAATGGCGGGGGGGGAGACAGGAGGAGGGACGTGGCCACCTCCCAGGCAGCGTCGCTCAGCTGGAACTGGACGAGCCACTGGTTGGCCGCCACGCGGTTGCAGGACTGGGCATCGTGGTTGAGCACTCGCACTGCCTCTGCCACCTTCGCCCTTTGCTGTTCCAGCTCCGCCGCGGCGGCTGCTCCCGCCACATCCATTGTCCCTCCCCCAGCTGCTCCGTCAATCAAGGAAAAAGGAACAATAACATAATACGAATCATCCGATATAATCCCACCGGAGGAGAGATACAGAGAAACTATTTGAATGAGAGAAGTGAGAAGGGGCGGCGGCGCTCGCGGAAAGAGAGAGAGATCCCTCCGCCCCTCATCTGAGAGCGAGAGGGAGAGACAGAAGCTGAGAGAGAGCGAGAGAGAGAGGGGGGAGGGAGGTGGGAAGGAAGGAAGGAAGGAACGAACTTAACTGCCCGCGGTGGATTTCGTTTGAAATCCGAGACGGAGCACGTCGGAAGACGCCGCCGAGGATCGGACGGCTGAGGAGTGAGCAGGTGGTGGCGTGGAAGTGGGAGGAGAGGGTCTGCAATGAGGGAGGAAGAGACGGCCAGGAGGCCTGCGATTGGGGCCGTAGAGGAAGAGGGTTTTGTTTCTTACACTGTAGAGAGAGAGAGACAGATGAGTGAGAGAGAAGGACAAATAATTGAGAGCCTAGTTAATGTGCTTCTGACAACTGGCCGACTCTCCTTAAGCGAGGAAGCCAGAGACCGCATCTGTTCTGGTCACCGCTGGACGGAGCCGGCACACAGTCGCCCTCGGCCACCCCCCAGCGGCGGAGTTCTGGACACCGCCGGCACAGCCGCAACGCGTGGGGTCTTACTGCCCAAGCCAAACACGGCCGAACTCTAGTACTAGAGAGTGCAACAATACCTTCCTGAACACCAAAATTGGGCCAAAACGATCGCCTATTTTTAAATTATCCATGATTTTACTCTATCAAAAATGTTATTTATTAACTCGGTACGGATTTTCTGATATCTAGTGATGCCATTTTTTTAAAAAAATTAACCGGCAAAAATAATCAGCAGCTTTCGATAATGTAATAAATTATTTATTTTAATAAACAAAAAATTACCCATTTTCTTGTTTCACGAAGTGGTGTCCTCTCCAAATATGGTATCCTCCATACTTTCTACTCTCATGTGGGCTCAGATGATTCCCCCTTCAAGCTCTTGAGCTCTGTCTGCTCTAGCTTTTGTTGTGGGTTCTCTGGTTGGTCTCCATGAGTGAACGATCAACGTGCTAAATGCTGTCAGATGGTGATGCTGATTCTCTGTTGATCTTCGTCGTAGAGTGAGGATCGAAACCATACAAGACCACGGGGCCGGTACCCATCCTAAGAGTGCGATAGGGATGTGGTCATCACTTTGTTTTGGGTAGATTACCACCATGGTAAGCAAGGGCTAGCATTAGTGTGAATCATGGATACTGGGATAGTCTTCTATTGGATTAATTATTACCTCGGTGGGATGTATGGAGAGAGAAACTGGTAAGTTATCTACTGAATTATCCGAGTAGAAAAAAAAAATGTTACTTTTTTCTTGCGAGGATTGCTTCGTTATTGACCGAGGGGACGAGGGGCGGGGGGCTAGGTTAGGGTTTGGGGAGCTTGGGTGAGGGGGAGGAGACGATGGGAAACGGCTGGCCCTGACCAATTGGAATATGTCCCCCCGGTGACGGGCTCTACGTGGCGAGAGGTTCCTCTTGGTCGTGACCGGTCTCGACATCCCTGGGGCTCCGGACGATGAAGGGTGCCATGGGCCCGTCCCGCGTGGCAGGGAGATCGCGCTACCGTCTCAACCTCACTGGAGCGTCAGGGGAATCGAACTCTAGGAGTATTCCCATGGTCGCCGGGGGGTCGAAAAAACGGCCGGACAGTGGGTTGGAATCCGGTGTCACGGGGGGCGGCAAAGAGGCCAAGCAGCACGACCACCAGTTCCACGGCCAGCCACCCCCAGCAGGTATTGTCGTCGAGCCGAAGTCCTGTCTCCAGAAAATTTCGTGTGTCGAGGGCCGAATTCACACTGTCAGTCAATGCCTCAAATCCAAACAGCGGAGGAGGCTTGTGTTTCGGGCGGTCTGTACTGCACCCAAGTGGGCTCGTTTTTCTCTAGGAAACATCTCCCCATATTGACTTATCTATCATTGTGATTACTGCTTTCGGATAATAGACTAATACGACAATAGTCTCTTAAGTATAGTCAACGTGCTGCGTTAGATGCTCCTCCCTCACCTCAAAATATTTCAGTGGCATATTTTAATAGCCAAAGAAGTTTGTGATTGGACATGACCTAATCACAGATCTGACCTGACTCTACCATCCGCGCTCTGCTTTCGTGCTTTTGATAGTCACTTCAGGATGCCGAGGACTTAATATTCTGTGCTTGTTTATCATATGTTTTGCTGGCGGTTCATTCAGATTATCATTTAATCCCTTCCTGGACTTAGTTTCGTTCATGTCCATTTTTTCTTTCAAAGACATTATAAACACAGTTAACTTGTAGCGGTGTAGACGAATTGTGATAAGATTTGATGATAGGAAGACTTGATGCCAGTAGGTAACGAGGTTGTTGATGTGCGCTCCAAAACACTGGTTAGAACCCCCATGATTGAGTTGCGACGCTTCTGGATATGTATCCTACACCGGAACTGAATTCCTTTCAAAATGGAATATGTGCCAAACATACATGCCTTGATTCCTTATTTCGACAGGTGCAAATATCTGAATTTCACCTTTTTAGATGCTTTTTAAGTCTCATACCATCACTAACTCGCATTCAGAAATATGTATCCATTTTTATGGTAGTTTCTTTTCTTATCCTCCTATATCACTAATAGTCTACTTGAACGCCAGGGTTTTCATTTGTAAATAAACGATATGCTGTCTTCTCTTAGAAAACAACCACGTTTCTCACTTCTCCATTGCCATAGGTCTACTCGAATCCGACTATAGGCGCCTTTATTTCGTAGACTCCGAAGATAGTCAGTGTAGCCAGCTATTGGATCTCTTCTCTCCAAGATTTCTCCTGAAACGTAGGTACCGACCTCCTACCCTGGAGCAGTGATCAAATGCTTGTTAAAACCTGCCATTAGGATCAAAGAGGATCTGCAATAGTTTTGTAAAGCTCAGGTTGTGCACTATTTGTGTCTCCTGAAAAAAAGTCTTATTGTCCATTACCCGTGCAAATCTATGAGGTTGCTGCCACAACATACCTAGGATGTTGAGTGTCTCTCCACACCCTAGAAATAGTTTTAATTTTGCCCTGGAAAACATCTCATGGTCTACCATTTCTGTTGTACTCTTGCTTAACCATTCCCATCCACAACCTGCCTTCCTTCTGTATCAGCTTCCATAGCCACTTCATTAGGAAAGCCCATTCCAGACTCTCAACCTAATGATGCAAATTCCTCAAGTGTCTTTGTGCTGACAATTCCGCCCCCCAATTTGTTGTCATGCCACCTTAGTTCCTGCTCCATTACCATGACAGAAAATTTCTCTGCTAGATTGTTTCTATTTACTGTGCTGCTACTGTTGATATTCTGAAGATAGAGAGATGATAAGTTGACAAGTTGCACGGTACACGGTTACTCAACGGAAGTCCCCCTTTTTAACAGAATGCACATTTTTTGACCAATCCCGTTGGTGCACAATGCCAGCGGTGAGGGTCAACATGATATAAGATGCAGATAATTTTCCCACCTCATACCCTGGAAGAACTTCTGCCCCCTTCATCTTCTCTCTGCATTCAGGCTCACAAACAAAATGGTGTCTTCCTTGGCGGATTTGTTTTCGGTTTCATATGCATTCTTGTATTAATTTCCTTGATTGATGAAGTTAAGCTTTCGATGATTCATGGATTAATGTACATATTTAATGCAAAAATTGGAAAAAAAATTGTTCCCTCGTTTGTTGGCATTTTTGGTATCTTTTTATTGAGGTTCAAATTTTCTGCTGCTGCTGATGCCATGATTTACATTTATACACCATGATGACTTCCATTCTAGCTTCCGAAATATCTGCTTTTGCAACTTTTTCACCCTAAATCCATTTACACATATAGAGCAGTAAACGTTTGAAAGGTATCTCTGATGCCATCGGGTTGTGTGGGGGAGTTGCTGATGCCTTGTGGCTGAACCCAGTAACTGGGAAAGGTTACATATTAGAAATTTTGTGCATTTGAGAAATTGTTCTCCTTTTGGCTTTCATACGATATCATGTAGTTATGCTTTATGGTGGACTGTTATGCAATTGATAGAGCTGTTGGATTCAGAAAGTGAAGAAATTGAGCTCAGCACGTCTGAGGGTGAAGACTCATCGTGGGTCTCATGGTTCTGTGGGCTAAGAGGCAACGAGCTCCTCTGTAAAGTTGACGAGGATTATATTAAGGACGATTTTAACTTATGCGGACTTCAGGGGCAGGTTCCATACTACGATTATGCCTTGGACATGATTTTGGATAATGATTCATTCAGTGGTACGTTTTGCAGAGTAATTTGCCTCAATCAAGTAAAAATCTTGATGCTATTTGTTCTCATATTTGTAAGCAATCGAGTAATTCTGTTGCCTAGTAAATTCTATTGTGTTTTCCTTTTACCCAGGTGAGATAAATGGGGAAGAACTCGTTGAAGTTGAACATGCCGCAGAGTTGCTGTACGGCCTCATTCATGCACGTTTTATCCTCACAATCAAAGGGCTAAATTCCATGGTAAGCTCTGTCGGAGCTGACTATAGTGCTTTCTGAATTCTTATGCTCGTGGGTAATCATTCTCTTTATTGACCTTTGCTTCAGCATGTGAAGTACAAGAGGGCAGATTTTGGACGGTGCCCTCGTGTTTTTTGTACAGGGCAGCCGTGCTTGCCAGTGGGTATCTCTGACAGCCCCCGAAATGGATTGGTGAAGGTCTTTTGCCCAAAATGTGAAGATCTGTACCTCCCAAGGTGCAAGTACCAGAGTGGTATCCTTCTTTCTGGTTCTCTTTCCTTTTCATCAAGTAGTGACGATTTTGCAGTATATTCTTGCTCCATTGGTTTGCTCCACGTCAATCTTCTTATTTTATAGCATCAGTTTCATCTTCTGGTTTCTGCCATTTCCCCTTCCGAAACAGTTATCATGTTCGAATGATTCACACATATTTGGGTTGGTCAAAAAATTCTAACTGTGGGGAGAAAAGATTTATGCAATGCTTCCTCTATGGTTCCAGGACAAGAGAAATATTAGGTTCTTACATATTGGAAAGCATCAAGCGAGTGCTCCTCCTCTGTGCGTGTTCTTCCTTGACATTTTGCTCCCTCCCCAGACATGGATGGCGCCTACGTGGGGACAACCTTTCCTCATCTTTATCTGATGACCTTTCCTTCCATAAAACCAGCCAAGCCTGCTCAGTGCCACGTCCCCAGGGTCTTTGGATTCAAGCTCCACAAGAACTCCTCCAGGTGAGCTTCACACTCTCCTTCCCTCACTTCAAGTGGGCCTACCCAGTGGGTGAGAAGGGGGAGGGAGCGGGTGGATGTTCCAATTCTAAGTGCCACTTCGTCATGTAGACTGGCTATTCCCATTTGAGTTCTCCCTTTGGCAAGTGCTGCTGCATTTGGTTGTATATGCTATACTTGACTCTGATTCTTCGTGCTCGCAGATAAGATGGTCTCTGTAGTGACTCTTCTTATTCCAGCCACTTCATCTCCGAAGGAGACAATAGTGGCATGACAGTGGTCGGTTCTCTCTTTCTCTTTCCCTCTCCCTCTCTCACTCTCTCATCTTCAGACCAGATTCCCTTTATCTCTTGCTTCTGGAAATCAGTCTATATAGTTCAAAAATGTGAAAGTGTGTCACAGAAAGATGTATGGATATATCTGATTCCCACAGCAACTATGAGTGTGGATGTCCACCTGGGGCACACGTTGCCATTTTTTGATGACCTGGCAAATTGGCCAGCTGATGTGCAGCTCCTCTTTCTCTCTCTCTCTGGCTGGTGCATCTGACCATCCCTCTGGAGAGAGGTTCTGCCTGAGAGATGGAGGGAGGGGTGCTGGAAGAAGAGAGAAACATGGGGTGTTCCAGCTACTCGTCTCTGCCACACCAACACATGATTCTAACTGGGTTTGCCATGCAGCTGTCTGTTACCATAGAAACAGGATGTATTCATCAACAGAGCGGACTAACTACATTTATAGGGTGAGACACAAGTGACATGTGTCAAAAAGCGAGAGAGTCAAGCTGAGTAGAGAAAGATTATGGAAGCAGTGCAGAAATGGAGAAGGAAAATGGATAGAGAGAGAGAGAGAGAGAGAGAGAGAGAGAGAGAGAGAGAGAGAGAGGAATCCCCATCTTTGAATTGTCATCTTCCTTTTTCTCTCCTCTTTCCCTCTTTCAAAGCCTTTTAATCTACTACCTCTCAAACTTTTCTCCCCATTCCATCTTTCTTAGGGAGAGGGGTGTATGAGGTGGTAATGTTGCCCAAGCCCACATTATAGGATCTTCTTCTCTAGTGTGCTCTTCCCAGGAGTGCATGATCTCCAAAGTTAACTTACATTGTGGGCTCAATAGTGACTATTCAAGTTTTCATCAATTGCCAATTATATAGTGACCTTGACATGACAAGTTGGTAAATGTGTTCTCAAGTGGGGAGAATAAAGACTACATGTGAAGGAAGAGAAAATTCTCACTATAGAAAAATTAGAAACATCAAAGCTTGGTTAGGGTTTTCTTTCTTTTATTATATTGACACATCTTGAGCACTTCCATATGGGAGTTTGCAACTTTTGTGTTAAGTTGTTCTATGTGCATGTACATGCCATGGATTGTGGAGTTTCTTCACAAATATCTCAAATATGAATGCTCCAATATTTTCATCAAATTCTTAGCTAAGAATAGTTCGACCAAGAGAATGTGTTACCATGAGGACATGCTTCATTCTCATGTGGAATTTTCTTTGGTTTACCCCTTCTATTTTGCTCGGTGCTGATGCCTTCCATGATGGCAAGAATATCTTGACGATGATTTCAATTGTAGTTGGATGGTTATTGGAGCTATCGTCCTTGGAAGGAATTGTATTGGTTTTATATTGTTTGTGGAGATAGACATAAAATATCAAGTTAAGTTTTAACAAAGGTGGGAGGGCTAGGGCAATGTCTCGTAATCAAGTTGGTTTGTGTCATCTTGAGTGAATGATCATATCATCTCATGAGACTTAATGTATTAGTCTCGTAACTTCAGCACATCGTGAGTGAAGTCAATGCTAACTTGGAATTAGATTGTCTTTATTTTATTTTTGGAATTTTTTTCCTGCTTTCTTGGCTTGTGGAAGCACTCTTGTGCCTTGGTCGCCTTGTCTTATTAGGCCCTCAGGAGCATGTAATCTTAAAGATACCCACACTACATCCCTTATTTATGAACATTGTGCAACATTCAAAATTATTAACTTGTGGCTAGCTCAAGAGTAACTATCTTAATGTCAAATTATGTTGTAAGTTATAAGATAATCAATATATGTTTAGTAGGCTAGTTAAATATACTGGAACATGATATATATGATATTTTAATGATGACAAACAAGTAATATGCATGCTATGAAGATAAATGTAAAATACTTGTATATAATTTAATATAGTAGTATTAAATTAACATTTCATCACATAAAATTATTGTATTACATATTGATGTAGAAATTATTAATATTTATAGAATATATTATTATAAGAAAATAATAATTCGCATATTAGAATCGCTAAGATTTTGAAAAGTAAAGTAAGGGTATAAAGGCTTACTCAATTTGTCATATACTTGTGATATCATATCATTACTTTCAAATTATTTATATATTAATTTAATTTAGTGCACAAGGTTTTTGATATAGTATATTTTTACTTTAGATTATATTATTAATATTTTAAATCACGAAAACTATCTATAAATATCAAAATCACAATTCAATATGTTAACTTGAAGTTGATCCTTTTAGTGTGACACATGTTATCAATTATGTGTTTGATATTATTGGGGTCTTTATCAAGTTGATTTAAATTGACATGGATCAAATATGAATGTTATGTTTAACAAGACTATGTGTTGGTTTTATGTAAGGATATTAGAACTAATTAACATATATGTTATATTGAATTCTCACTCATTTGAATTTATGTTTATTATAAAAAACTTGACATTAGCTAATGGAGGACATCTAGAAAAATATTCACACATGATTTATCCATAAATATTAAGGATTTCTAATAGATAATCACAAAAGTAAAAATGTCTTTATTTCCCTTAAAATATCAAGCTTTGGACTTATAATTCTACGTAGAAAATCTTGACAATGAGAGAGGCTTTAGTGAGATGACTAAACTTGTAGAAGTTTTAAGTTGAAGATCAATCATCAAGTTCTCAACAATCTTCTTTAACCTATTCTAAGTTATTGTTTAATTCACCTTCAGCCCACATCTTTACATTAAAAAAATAATAAAGTTAAGATCTTCATCCTCTTCATTAGAACTTTTGACAAACTCCAAGTTAACATTATCCATAATGCTTGTAGTGGAATAAATGTAAAACTAAATATTCATTTGATCACATGTAGGAGTTGTTTCTATAAACATATATTGGCCACTTACAGTTGTAAATCTGTAAATAAATTTCTAGATGAAATTTCAAAAGATTTGGATGTGATAATTAGTAATTGTGATTAGATGATCATAGTAAAATTTAATGACAATTTTTTTTTTTAGAGAATGGACTTAGATAGTGAGCTCAACTATTATAAAATTAATAATGTCATATTAAGTAATATAAGAACATTAATAATGTCATATTAAGTTAAGAAGACTATTAATTTAAATATGTTTTTGTGGACAAATAAAAAAAGATCAATTTAATCTTCTCTTGTGACCTTAGACGTGATAGAGCTTATATTCTAATTGTCTATATATTTTAGAGTAGTAGCTAACGACTTTAGCTATACCCCACATAGCATTAGTAATATAATAAAAAGGAATCAATAAAGTGAGTATTTCAACAATGTTTTTCATAAATCCTCTTGTCTAAATTTTTTATTGTCTTGGCAAAATACACAAAGTTCTATCATCTAGAGATGGAAGTTCATGGAGAAAATGTATAAATACATGTTTTAACATATTTCCTCATTTTTGCTAGTTTGATTTCTTGTTGGCATGATGATAATAGATTTATCATAATTCCATGTCAAGCTTTACGTCTGACTAATTGTATTTGGGGAAGAACAGCAACATACATGCTTGTCTTATCATGACCTACGTATAACAAGTATGATCAACAAGTGTTTGCACAAGCCCTCACATCTCATCATGTACAGCTGATGCCCATTGATCTAAAGGATGCCACATTCATCAAGTTAGTGGTGCATCATGTCTCTAGCTACTTGTTCTAATGGTTGGGTTGCTAGCAGATTGCAATATACCTTTGAGTGAATCACCTAAAATATGTTGCTTAAGACAGCTGATACAATTGACACAAATAATCCATGCCTCATCTAACTCAATGCATTCAAAGTGGCAGTAAAACATTTGGGCTAGTGGACCAACTTGACATCATATTTCGTCCATAAATCTTGCCAATAAGAATGTCCAACGTAAGCTTCTTCTAGGTGCCAACCTCAAAAATAATCAGAGCCTTTTTCACTTGGCACTAGCCCAAATGTAAGGGGGGATAGCCTTTTCAGCTTAGAATATGTTATGCTTATTGGCAGTCATGTTTTCATATAATAGTTGCCATGTTATCTATCACCATTTTTGTTCTAGTGGCCCTTGGGGACAACACCTTAGTTTACTAAATTTCCAACCACATTGTTGTATGTGATGAGGCTTTGATGTATTTTTCCATCCACTATTGAAGCTTGTCTTTTGCCTAGTTCTATAGTCCATCCATTGAGTTTAGAATTGTCTTCTCCAGACATTTTCATTATCAAGGAAGAGAAACGATAACATTATAACATAATCTTGTATTGTGCCATTATTTAAGTCCTCTCAAGCCCAAAACAAATCTGAAGGAAAACTCTTTCTTCTAATTTTTTTGTAAGATTTCGTTCTTAAGTTTTGATCCCTAGATGGGTCTTGTGTATGGACATGGTTTGGCAGACTGTCACTGAATAACTCTCAGTCTTAGACACATTTCATACCTCCAAAACCAGGCAGACAAACCATAGGGGACCAATTCATAACCATCTTGATCATGTGCAAGCTCGTCGATAGTCCGATCATTCACTTCTCGACTCAGAGGATCCTGTGACTTTCAGTGATGCTTTCGATTGTCGTAACTAAGAACTCTGATACCCATCGTCAAGGGTGCTCCACCAATTAGTGATTAAAAAGACACTTGCCACGGTAAGAGACGACTCTCTGCTCCGCGCCTGCCCCGGCATTGGAGACGCACGAACTCGTCATGGGTCTTATAGACGAAGGCGTTCCTTACGTCTACTTAGCCGGAAACATACCTCTAGTGGGAGAGAAAGAGAGGTCTCGTCAATGGCCGCACACGAGGCCCTGCGGACTGCCGCGGCGGAGACGGTAGCGGCGAGACAGCTTAGCCGAGCGCTGCTCTCGGCCGCCGGCACTTGCCAGTCGTGGACTGCGCCCCATGAGGAGGCAGTCCATCGCTTTCTAGTTTCCTGCAGGCGGCACCAGGACGGCGGCGACAGCTCCTCCCCGTTCCTGGCGCCGTCTCTGGTGGCCGCCACCATCGACCCCCACCTTCTCCCCCACCAGCCCCTCGCTCTGGGTCTCTTCCACTGGGCCTCCCATCAACCCGGCTTCGCCCACACCGCTCAGACCTACCACTCCGTCCTCCGCTCCCTCTCCACCTCCCGCCGCCCTACCGCCGTACAGCGCATCCTCGAGCAGGCGCGGGCCAAGGGAGTCGCGCTGCCGCCGTCCTCCACCTACTTGGCCGCGAAGTCTCTCCTGGTCTGCAACCGGACTCTGGAGGCCTTCAGGCTCGTCGATGGGGTACGAGCCAGGTCGGGCATCTCACCCAGTGACGGTTCTGCCGGTGAGGTCTGCAATTCCGTCCTCGCCGCCGCCTCAGACGATGGGCACTGGGACCTGTCCAGGAAGCTGTTCGACGGAATGACTCTGGGCGGTGTTGGCTTCAACGACGTCGGCTTCGGAGTTTTCATTCATGGGATCTGCAGGAGCTCAGGGCTGGGAGATGCCCTGAGGCTGGTGGACAGGATGAAAACCCAAGCCGGGAAGGTCGACGGGTCCCTAATGGCGGCCCTCGTCGTGGACGGTCTCTGCCAGGCGGGTAGAACGGAGGAGGCCTGGCGGGCTCTTGAGGAGTTCAGGCATAGAGGCTGGAAGCCCGACTTCGTTGCCTACAGGATCGTCTCGGAGGAATTCAGGAAGGCTGGCCGAACGGAGGAGTCCTGGAAGATCCTGAAACAGAAGAGGAAGTTTGGGGTGGCTCCAAGAGCCGACGACTACAGAGAGTACATTCTCCGGTTGATCTCAGAGAGGAGGATCCACGCGGCAAAAAGGCTGGGAGAGGCCCTCGTCACCGGCGACTTCCCCATCGACACCGGCGTCCTTAATGCGTTGGTGGGCTCCGTCTCGGCGGTGGACGCTGCTTCCGCCTTGTCCCTGTGCAGGTACATGGTGGAGAGGAGAGGGGAGTTCCCGACCCTTCTAACCCTGAGCAATCTCAGCAGGAATCTCTGCATGACCGGAAAGAGCGACGAGCTGTGGGAGATGTTCAGCGCCCTGCTCTCCAAGGGTTATTTTCAGGACGCGAACGGGTACGGGCTCATGGTCTCGTTCCTCTGCAAGGCCGGGAGGGTCAGGGACGCCTACGAGGTCGTGAGGGAGATGAGGAAGAGAGGTCTCAAGCCCAGCGTCTCCTGCTACAACTCTCTCATGGAGGCCTGCTGCAGGGAGGACCTCATCAGACCCGCGAAGAAGCTCTGGGACGAGATGTTCACCTGCGGGTGCTGCGGCGATCTCCGAACATACAACACCCTCATCGGCAAGTTCTCCGAGATCGACGACGCAGACGAGGCGCTCCGCCTGTTCCGCCACATGGAGGAGAAGGGGGTGATCCCCGACGAGACCACTTACAAGTCGCTGATCCGAGTCCTGTGCCGAGTAAGCAGAACGGACGAAGCCCGCGAGATCTTCGAGAAATCCCGGGTGCAGGATCCAGCAGCGCTTGCAGGCTCTGTCCTGAGCACGCTCGTCCTCCATCTCTGCAGAGATGGCGACTTCGCCGCGGCCTCCGCTCTGATCCGCGGCCTCCCGCCGGCGACCGGGGCCGCCCAGAGTGGCGGCGGGAACAGCTCGCACGTCGTCCTCTTGAAGGGCCTCGCAGGAGCCGGGCTGCTGGACCAGGCCATCGAGCATGTGGAGTGGATCAGAGACAATGCTCCACCCGACCTAAAGGAGACCGTCTTGCGGGAGCTTGCCGGGTCTCTTTCCACCGCGCCGAATCTGGAAGCTTTCCTGCGGCTACTCCAGGCGATGCGCCGGCGAGGCCTGCTCCCCGACAGCGGTCCCTGGGCGGATCTGTGCCATGGACCGTAGGTAGGGACGTCGAATCCCCGCCGTTTTCTGGCAGTTCCTCAGCTTTCGAGCTATTTCTTTACTAAAGAAAGGAAATTTGTGAAACCCAGGAGGTCTTAGCTTTGGTTGCATATTTTCTATTACGATTTCCGATTCGTAGTTGCACTCAGAAAATCTAGCCAGAGAATGCCCACGGTCCGCTGATGTAACAGTCCTCTTTTGAGGGTTGCTTTCTCCTCAAGAGTTCCATCCAAGAATCCCACTCTGTTCATCCTTCTGCCAATTAAGTTAGCCAGTCTAAGACTGGTTGAGTCTCCTGATCTGTTGGTAATCAAAGGCACAAGCTGGTTGTTCGCTGCAATCAACTTAGAAAATCAGAAGGTTATATTGTTCTACACAAATTTCTTATCTACTTGTTCATGCTTTCACCAACATACAATAGTAAGTGGGTAAATCTTAGCTCCCTTCAATAGCCTCAATCTACCGGTAACTTCTCCGGTCATTTTTAATATTTTCATTTGTATTTTATTGTTTGGAACAAACATTTTGGAGGCCTGGTACACTCGGGAGCTTAATCCCCAACCTTGAAATTTATCTCGGTTATTTGCTTGGTAGTGAACCTTTTAATTCAATCTTGGGCTCTTCGTGGTTCTTATAATGTAAAAGAACTCATCCATGGTCTAGCATTCATTGTCTGTTGCTCATACTTTTGCTTGTCCTAGAGTGTGTTAGAGTAGGATGAAGGGTAGTATTCAATTTCCACAGGTACACATGATTTGGAATTAGAATAGGTTGAAATCACAACCAAACCTCATATGATATTACCTATATTTGTATGCAGTGTAAAATGTATATCTTGGTTCTTAGCCAATACATATATATATATATATATATATATATATATATGGTACCATGAAAGGTCACATGCCTCACTTCTACCATCAATTTAGTGCCATAAAAATTCAACATTAATTGGCAAGGATCAAGCTTTCTTGCCAAAACATTTTTTTGGTATATGCAATGGCATATTTCTCATTATTAATACTAAAATCGCTCAACCATTGTAGAACTTCTCAAAATGCATTTAATTGGGACCCTCCTTTGAGAAAAGCATCAATAGCTTTGTTAAAAGCTCTTGATTTATATTCAAATTTATATCAAAATAAATTCAGTCCATCATTCTTGTTGAGTAGTTGTAGTTCATTCTTACAACATAAGTTATAGATTTTTCAAACAATTTTAATCTTAAATCACTATCTCTATTGGTCAGACCTTTATTTCTCAATCACTATAATCACATACTTCTTTTTTTCTTAATAGGTCTAAATCTAATGACTATTGCCTGCATGAGTCTAAATAGGGAAAGGGAAAGCTCTTTACATATGCGTGAAGGTTTCTCAAACTCAAAGAATAGAAGCATCTTATTCCAATTCAAATGAATGTGAAGAATCTAGAATATCCAAAACAACATGCCTTGTTTCAATTCAGCCAAAAAAGGTTTTGAAAGCTAATTTAATATAATCACGCAAAAAAAGCTTTCTTTTTTAAAATGAAGTATTGAATGGGGTTAAATCAAATTACACACTTTAATAAACTTCTGGTTATAACCAGAAAAGTTTGAAGCTTCTTACAATGGTTCTTGATTACTAATGATTTGCTAATTAACCACATGTTGATTTTTCTTTTTCAACCCCAGCTTCTTAATTGTTGATAACATGTTGTAAATTTTATGAATAAAGCTTCTAAAAACATAGAAAACCAATATAATGTGGTCAAAGTAATGTTTCCATGTCTGATTGATTAAGATGCACAATTAATAGTTTTTTTAGTACAAATGTAAAAGTGTTCATCAACTTCTAGATAATGAAGGTTATTTTAGTGGGTCAAAATGATATGATAAAGACAATTCAAAATGATCAGCATTGGTTATAGCAGTTATGGTGCATACCTACAGCTTGCTTCTAGATAACTTGATGATAACTAAACAATATATCCAACTTACATGAAAAATGACACCGCCATCAATCATTCACCTTAGGAATTTGAATTTGATTGTGTTAATATTTTGAACTTTGCAATCCTTGCCCATACCATTGGCTTCATGAGCGTGTATAATCTAGTTGGCTTTTAGAACAAACTTTGATTGACTTTTGGCATTTGGCTTTGATTGACTTTTGGCTTCCATTTTACTTGTAAAGATCTCAATAATTTTTTTATCAACTCAAAATTTGAGTATGATTTCCTAAGGTTTTTTACACTATTAATACTATTAATAAATAGAGTAAATATATCTAGAATTTATTCATTCTCAAGTATGGAAGACAATTTATGTCAATGTACTAATAAATCAATTTGAGAATCTTTCACTTAAGAAATTCCTTTGTAGTGACTTATAATTTATGTAAAATCTCCTTGACACCCTTGTTAAATTTTAGGTCGCACTTAGATCAAAAGGGGGAGGGGTGTTGAATTGATTGGTTCTTAATTGTGACTTTGGTCAACTATTTCGAAAATCTATGATATTTTCTTCAAATCCTAGGTCCTATGATATGTCTAAATATGGAGTATGCAACTCAAAGATTTTTGAAATTTTTAGACCCTCTGTTTATGTTCAATCTCTAAGAATTACTCTTGTTCTTACGTTCTATTAAGTCAATCATTACCACACAACCATTGATTGTCATGTTCAGCTCTCATAGAATTTCATCTTGATATTCTTTTCTAGATTTATTGCTCTATGTGACCAATAGTTGATTAAAGGGTTTAACTCTCTTTAGTTACTAAATGCAAATATAATTACAAGTTCACCCATGATGACAAAGAAATAATTTCATCAAAGATGTTTTCTAGATGATGGTGTTGACAATGATGTTTGAGGAAGATCACTTATAACTTAAAAAAGGTTCATCAACTTAATACTTTCATATTAGTTGACAAATAGGAAAACCCTCATGAATTTTCATATAAGTTTCTATAGAAATTATCAACAAGGCTCTTGACATTGTAGAAGGCTTAAAGTTTATTGTTTGGAACTATTTTGCTATTGGAAATGTGCTGATTTTATAGAAAAATTTGATTTAAAATTTTTCCATATTTTTTGTTGTATCACAATGTTTACATTCCAAAATTAGTTAGAAATTAGAATGATTGGAAACCAATATGACATCATTTAATCTATCAAATATCCTTTTAAAAAAAAATGTGTTACCATGAAACATCAACATATATATCCAAAAATGATTGGTTCAATCAAAGTTTGATAAGGATTTAATATTGTCAAAATAGAGTTGATAATATATGTCTAAGTAGAATAATTATTTGATAACTAAAACTTATTTTAATCATCGCAAACACAATAATACCATGAATTAGACACATTGAGTTGCAATCTTAATATGTAAAATCATAATTTGGTGATATAAATAAAATCATTTTTCAAAGGAATTCATTAATATTGAGAAAGTCCTATGTGACAATATGAGCAATATGGTGATTCAATCAAGCAATTAGATAGAAAAAACATTTTAAAATACAATCTAATATTATGAACACATAATAGATTAGGTTAAATTTTTTATCTGCATTTTGCTTCAATAATCTCATTGATTCATGTGTTAATCATTATTTTTTATCAATAGCCTTTACAAGAATATACAAAACAATAATTTGACTTGATAAAATCCAGCAAATTGTAGAATTCAATATAATGAGATTCAAAAATGTTACTTGAATTTTTATTTTTGTATGTGTTATTATTATTTTGAGTTCCATCTTAATTTATATTTAATTTAAGATCACATATAAAAATATTTATTTTTTCATAAACTTAATGATCAATAAGGATAATTTAATCTTTTAGTTAGTATTATGTGTGTTTTTCATCATCAAAATAATATTCATTTAATACTCCAACAACCCTCATGCATGCATATATTATTAAAATTTATTTCTAAGGCATAATAAAGAATGATAATAACTTTATGATTCAAGGTAACCAATTTAACTTTTGGTTGGGACAATTCCGAATAATTTTCTTTCAAAAGAGAAATATCATTACAAATAAAATTTTAAACACTCGAATAAAGTGCTTGAATATAAATTCTTATCCTAGTTTTTCAAGAATCATGACTAGATCCATTAAAAAGATGGTTCATTAATGGAATGTTTCTCAACAAACATAGTTCCGCAATTACCCATCTAATATAATTGTCTAAGAATGTGATCTCTTATAAATACAAGTAGGCTTATATCAATTGAACTTGAGGATGGCTAAAGTAGTCTACAAGGTGGTCAATAGATTCCATCCTTATTAATATTGAATAATGATATTTAATTTATCTCAATGTAATATTCCAAAATAGGCTTCCCAATTTAGTGATTGTGAAACTAGTTGTCTATTTTTACCTTGTTTAGAGATTAATCAATAAATGTGTTTAGACTGCTGATTATGAAATCACAATGGACAATATAATTGAGTTGATTAAGTTAACTATTCTAACTAATTGTGATGGAGGAATTTTTCATGAGTCCTAGGAATTTAAGTTATTGGGAAAAAGTGTCCAGCAAGAAACCCAAAGTCCTTTTTATTATTTATTCATTAATTTGGTTATTCTGTTATACAGTCTAATCTGGCACCAAAATTTTTCTATGCTCCACATTCCAATTTGAAATAATAGTAATTAGGTTCCTAGGCTTCTAATGATAAAAATAATCCAATTGATCTAGGTACCTTTTAGTCAAAATCCATAGGTTATGGGAGTTGATCTTATCCATCTAAATTTTTGGTTAACCTAATTTGACCAAATCAGTCACATTTTTCTTAGGGAGTCGAAATTCATGAATTATGTGCTGGGGTCAAATTAATTCTCTCTTCTGGTTAATTTTTTGTTAAATTTCGTGTGAAAATATGTTTAACATAGTATGAACCTAGGGAGGTTAGTTTTCCGGTCCGGCCGGCCGGCCGGCTGGGCAGCCGTCCAAAGCTGTGTCCAATTACCTCAGTCTCTCGTTTCGACACACGCTCATTTCTCGACTCCCCCGACGTCCCGAAGCGCACTCGCGGCAATGGCCGCCGTCGCCGTGGCCCGTGCCATGGGCTCTGCCTCATCCTCCCTCCTCACAGCTCGGTATTCTGTTACGCTCCTACTCTCTAAACGGGCATTCTTTGGCCTCTCCGCCGAGCAATCTTTCGTAGCGGGCCCCGCGCGGACGTCCATGCCTCACGCAGATGCTGTCGGGGAAGTGGCGGGGTGGGGGGATGCCAGAATCAATCAGTTAAGGCTCATGGCTAGCCAGTCCGGTAACCCGGCCTCGGGTGCAGAGACAGGGAATGATGGCCATGGAGGTACCAATTCCTTCTTTATTACCTTCTACTTTACTCTCTAGTATTGTCTTTTGAAGATATGTGAAACTTTAGCGATCAGTTGGCTTCTGGAAGATGATCTCGTGATTTTTGACTACAAAATAGGCTATAACTGAAATGAAAGAAATCCTGCATTGCTCAAACTTGAAAGATGTGCACGTTGAGTCGAATCATGTTTCTTTCGTACTTCTCATTCAACATACCTGCATTTACCTCAATCCTTTCTACTATCAAGTTTTCAAAGGGGAGATCATTCGAGCTACAAAGGTCTTGTGCATTTAGTTAGATGGTAGTGGATACCATCTTACTTGTATTATTATGGAAGCTAGAGCTTAGCTATACGTCCAAGGAGCCAGAGTCAAAACGATTTATTTCACTTGGGTTGGATTGATGTAGATAATGTGTGATAGAGCGAGCTAAAAATCTAGGACGCATTTGGGGGGTATGTATGTTTCGTGGTGGGTGGCTTACGATCCATGCATCTCTTTCCCTCTTTGAATTTTCTACGTTACGTGGTAAAACTTCTTGGAAAATATTAATGTATGTAAAATATCACATTAAGATATTATACTTTTACCCACGCACACTATTTCACAGGAGTACATGGTTGCCTAGGAGGATTTAGTGGTGGACGATAAGTGTAAAGGTAAGGAGTAGAACCATGCCACTGTGCGTGATATGATTAATAGTGCACATTGTTAACTTTATCCAGGTCAGTTTGGAGAATATATGGCATGCAAATTTTCCTTACAGTGTATGACCCTATGATTCTGGATGATTGTCCTTTTTTTATTGTTTCGAATGGATTGATGATGTAGTTGAGAAAAACATGAAGGTGACCTATTGGAGTCTTGGTCGAAGGGTGCTCTAATGTATAGGGAAATTCCATCATATAACCACTATAAATAGAAAATCTTCGTGAATTACATTCAGTCTGTATCTTATTTCAGGGAGCTGTAACTGAAAAACAAGCAATATGCGGTTAGCCTAAAACATAGAGACTTACATTTGTAACGAGCCTTTTACTCAGGATGATGACTAAGTTTTCCCTGTAGTGACCAGACATGGTAACATCTACGTTATCCTCAAAACGGCCTATTTCCATGAGTATTTTTATCTTCTCCACCTCGTAATTGACCCAGTTCAACCAAGTATCTCTCTAGTTGCTTCGAGCATACATTTTTTCTTTTCTTTTCTTTTGAGTGAATCAGCAAGGAGATGTGTGCAGTGTCCAAGCCTATGAATCAAGAAAGCAGGGGACATGGTTAGTAATATTTTTATGCTTAAGTGGATCTCGTTTGTGACTTAGATTCAGGGATAAACCTATCCTGTTATACATTGAAATTGGCAACAATAACCTCAGTGACACCAACTTAGGGCGCCTTGGATCAAAGGAGGTACCCTTCGAAACATTGATATTATCCGAGAAATGCATTCATCTTTTATGAACCTTGCAACTCAGGATCTAAAAATATGCTCTCTACTTGTCCTTTATTGAGAGGAATCCAATGTATTGGAGATTGAGACAGCCGTTACTAATGGGGTTTATCTTGATATTGCTGTATAATTTGGTGAGGATGCACTCGATATTCCGTTTCCAATTGTACAAATGACTCCCTGCTTCTAATTGTACAACTTGTATTTTTAGATTTCTGGCTTTAAAAATCTGAAAATCTAGAGATGAAACATCCTTGTAATGATTGCAGAGTCTGTGAAGGAGATCTACCAAAAAATGCTTAAATCGGTGGAAGCTGAAACCATGCCTCCCAATGCATGGTTGTGGTCACTTATTGGCAGTTGTTCTAATCGGGAAGATATCAAACTTCTTTTCAAAATTCTGCAGAACCTGCGGACATTTGTCAGTCAAACATCTTCGTCTTAAATTGGACTTTTTAGATATTTCTAATTTCTGTTCGGATTCTGTCCTCTTTTATTTTCTTTCCAGGACTCTTAGTGTTAGACTTCTCAAGCTGTTTACTTGGTTACAGAGGCTTTCAAACCTTCGGATTCATTCAAATTTCAACTGTCATCTTTGCCTCAGGGTAACTGAGGCATGTGTTCGAGCAAATTCTCTTGACTATGGTAACATACATTTAACTTTTTTTTTTGGTTCCAAACATGTACATAGCTTTATTGAAACAAATGGTTTTTGGATCAATGAGTTCTGACATATCCCTGTCACTTACGAATGTGTTTGAACATTTTTTCTTTATTGTGGTAGTTCATATCTTACATCTGCTGTGTTCTGAACTTTTCCATTGGTTTGTTTGAACATATGCTGATTTACTTAATTAAACACTTCATATCCCAAATTATGGGTGATACCTTCTTTCTGATTTTGCTCGAGTAATTTCTGCATTCTTTGAACTAAATAAGAAAAAAATTGTCTTATTGTTTCTGCGGCCGGACCATAATAAGGTTGCCCCCTTCACACCCCATGATGCCAATTTTCTGCAACCTCTTCTTTTGGCCTTGCTGGTAAGCATTCTATTGAACTCTCTAGGATTGTTTTTCTTTTCTATCTGTTTCTTTTCACTGTATTTTCGTCCTTCTCTGTCATTCCCTATGTTAAGTGGATCCATTAGATTGTTAACGGATCCACTTAAAGTCCAATGTAATGGGCTTGGCCCATCAACTCATGTAACCTGTACTTAATCGAGGAACCAAGATAATTGATGTGAGAGTTTCGGATTGTGGAAACTCTGCTCCAAGAAGTGTTGATTGATTCATCTTCCTGGAAGAGGAGGTTCGTGAAGATCAACTCCTTTCATTCTCCAAGTTGCAAGAATCTAAATTAAGATCAATTCTCAACATGGTATTAGAGCGGTGCAGATTCTTGTAGGATCAGATACTTCTCGTTTCTTAAATCTTGTTTTTTCTTGTTTCTGTGTTGGAGCAACACCAAGGAAGAAAGAAACCTTCTGCAAGTAGTGAATAGAGGCATTTCAAAAAGTACGAAGGAAAAAGACTTTCATAATGCATTCAAGGGAAGGCTCTTCATCATCCATGGGACTCACATCATCTCCATCGATGACTGGAGAAAGGGAGAGACTATATCATACTCTACCAAATATCTCAGAGAAACTTAGATTCAATGGAATAAATCTTCACCAATGAGAGCAGTTTGTTGATCTGACGCTTCTGAGAATAGGCTTAACAAATCACCTTATAGAAGAACCATTGAAGCATTCAGATCCAAAATATAGAGGATGAAAATCAGAAGAAGCTATTATCCATACATGGCTCCTCAGTACAATGACACCAGAGATGTACGAGAATTCCTATTCATGCACTCAGTGAAGGAATTGTGGGATCAAATTCACAAAAGATGTTCAAAGAAACATAATAATTAGAGGATTTATGGTCTGGTGTCTAAGGCAACACATTTAGTACAAGGAAGTAAATTAATTATGGAATATTTCGTGTGAATTAAAGGCTATATGGAGGGAGATTGACCATTATTGGTCAGCAAAGAATCCTTGTTCTGAGCAACGCATGTATATATTGAAACACAAAACGTATACATTTCTAATGGGACTGAACTCTGATTATGAAAGTCTCAAGGGTCAAATTCTCCATCGTGAGAAGCTACCTGATTTGGATGAAGCTATCCAGATTGTTAAGGAAGGAGGAGGCTTGCTCTACTAGGAAGAGGATGAACATGCAATTCTGTCTGTACAACAGTCACCTTGGAATGGAGTTAGTGAACACAAAAGAATAGTATACAATTACAACATTGTTGTGTTGGACATCCTTCACTTGATCTCCTAAAAACATGGTTTCCTTCTATGTTTGAAGGCGTTGATGTAGAAACTCTAGTGTGTGGTGCTTGCCAGTTGGCTAAACACAAATGTTCCTCATTTGGAAATACTCATGAACATAGTACAAACCCTTTATATGATATACACAGTGATATTTGGGGGCCAGCGCCTATGACTAGCTTGTCTGGATGCAAGTGGTTTATCTTATTTGTTGATGACTGTACTAGGTTTACTTTAGTTTACCTCCTAAAATCAAAATCAGATGCCACCCAAGTGGTGAAATATTTCTGTGAAATGATTTATAATCAATTTGGAACTGTTGTCAAGAGGTTCAGATCAGATAATGCTCGAGACTATTTCAATTCAGCTGTGTCCTCTTACTTTGATCAGAAACGGTTAATCATGAGTCATCTTGTGTCAATACACCCCAACAAAATGGGGTGGCTGAGAGAAAAATCGGACACTTACTGGATACAGTTAGGGTTCTTTTGTTTCAACAAAGGTTCTGAGGCAATATTGGAGTGAAGCTGTCCTCACTAGCACTCATCTTATTAATCGGATCTGAACAAAAAAACTATCATATCAAAGTCCTATGGGACTGTTGAGTAAATTCTATCCTCATGTGAAACTAAAGACTCATCTTCGTCCAAAGAACTTTAGCTGTACTGTTTATGTTCATGCTCAGGGCATAGTGGGAAAACTTGATCCACGATCTATAAAGCGTATATCTGTTGGGTACTCAACTACACAAAAAGGTTATAAGTGCTATAATCCTGCTTTAAAAAAATTCTTTATCTCAGCTAGTGTGACTTTTAATGAGTTGGAACCATATTATGGGGTGAAAAATCCAAAAAATGAATTCATATTATGGGGAAAACTCGATTGCTGCCATTGAATTAGAGGACACAAATGAATTCGTGATTCAAGAGACCTATTCCTAGAATCAAAGAGATACAAGTGTATAGAAGATGACCTAGAGTGGATACACAAAATATACCAGCTGAGATGAATGATTTACCTGCACTGCAGAGAGAACCAGCAGAAGAAACTAGTTCAAGTACAAGAGACACATCTCAAATTTATAATACTGATCAAGAAGATGATCATCAGTTCACTGAAGCTATTGATGAGGAGCAACTAGATTGGCCCATTGCCCTACACAAAGGAAAGAGAAGTTGTATAAATAAACCACTCTATCCTATGGTCAACTACCTATTGTATGATAGGTTAGCACCATCGTACAAGGCTTTTTGCATGAACCTGAAGACAATTGTTATCCCCAAGACAATGGAAGAGGCCCTGTCACACAAAGAATGGAGTCATGCCATGGATGAAGAGATTAATAGAGAAGAACTGTACATGGGACTTAGTCCTTTTGCCTTTAGGGAAAAAAGTGGTTGGCTACAAGTGGGTATATACTCCTAAGTATAAAGCTGATAGAACATTGGAAAGATACAAAGCAAGGCTGGTAGCTAAAGGTTATTCACAATCTTATGAAATTGATTATTTTGAGACATTTGCCCATGTTGCAGAGCTGAATACCATCCAGATACTTATAGCATTGGCAGTAAATCTAGGATGGGAAATGCATCAGTTTGATGTGAAGAATGCATTTCTTCACAGAAATTGGAGGAAGAAGTATATATGAATGTACCTCCAGGTTACACATTTATCCATCAGAATAATATTGTTTGCAAGTTGAAGAAATCTCTATATTGCTTAAAACAGTCACCACGAGTTTGGTTTGGGAGATTCACTCAAGCTATGAAAGAATTTGGGTACATACAAAGCAATAGGGATCACGCTCTCTTCATTAAGCATGGTGAGCAAAACAAGGTCACAACCTTAATTTTGTATGTAGATGATATCATCATAAAAGAAGATGATACTGAGGAGATTAAATGCCTTGACCAAAATCTATCTAAAGAATTTGATATCAAATCCCTAGGAAGGTTAAAATATTTTTTGGGAATTGAAGTTGTGTATTCAAAAGGTGTATTTCTTTCACAACACAAGTATATTCTTGATTTACTTCAAGAGACTGAAAAATTGGAGTGTAAATCTGCTGACACTCCAATTGATCCCAACTTAAGTTTGGGAGAAGGTAAAGACTCTGATCAGGTGGACAAAAGCTCATATCAGCAGTTGACTGGGAGATTGATATATCTAAATCATACCTGTCTGAATATAACATTGCAGTAAATGTACTCAGTCAGCATATGAATGATCCAAGGGAGATACACCTACAGGCAGCATATTGAGTGTTGGCATATCTAAAGACAACAATAGGACAGTTCAAAAAAGGAGGGAATCAATCTGTTGAAATCTACACTGATGCTGATTATGCAGGATCTGTTATAGATCACAGATCAACCATCGGGCTATTGTACATTTGTTTGTGGAAATCTTGTGACTTGGAGAAGCAAGAAGCAACAAGTAGTTGCACGATCTAGTGCTGAAGCAGAATTCAGGGCATTGGCTCAAGTGATATGTGAAGGTTTATGGATTCAAGGTTTGCTGGACGAATCGAGACTCAACCAATCAAATCATATGAAATTCTTTTGTGACAACAAGTCAGCAATAGCTATTGCCTGAAATCTTGTACAACATGACAGGACTGAACATATTGAAGTGGATCAACATTTATCAAAGAAAAAGTAGAAACAGGAGATGTAGATCTGATATATGTTGGGACATCAGAACAGGTTACTGACATATTCACAAAGGGACTTACAAGACCATTATTTCAAAGGATGGTGTCCAAGTTGGGCATGGAAAAATCCATACCCAACTTGAGAAGGGGTATTGAACTCTCTAGGATTGTTTTTCCTTTCTATCCGTTTTTTTCACTGTATTTTCGTCCTTCTCTGTCATTCCCTGTGTTAAGTGGATCCATTAGACTGTTAATGGATCCACTTAAAGTCTAATGTAATGGGATTGGCCCATTAACTCATGTAACCTGTACTTAAGCGGGAAACCAAGATAATTGATGTGAGATTTTCGGATTGTGGAAGCTCTGCTCCAAGAAGTGTTGATTGATTCATCTTCCTGGAAGAGGAGGATCGTGAAGATCAACTCCTTTCATTCTCCAAGTTGCAAGAATCTCAATCAAGATCAATTCTCTACACATTCCCCTTTTCTTTTTTTCATATATCCTCTTTCTTCTCTTCCACACCTGATCTTTCTTATGTTTTTTTGAAGGTGAAAAATCCCATATTAGAAGGAAAATAGGTACAACCTGCAGTAAGAGAGAAGAATCCCACTCCTTTACGTTGATGCTGTTACCTCTGCCAATCCTGCTGTAGTGAGTATCAGATCCACAAAAAATACCAAAAATTCAGAAACTTCTAAACAAAAAATACTACAGCAAAAAAATGCCTTTAAAAATTTCTGATTCATTAGCCACTTGGTGGGCATGGTATCTTGCAGCTCCTTCTGTTTCTCTTGGAAGAGAAATAGAATATACATAATAGAAGTTTACAGGGAGAGAGTCAACCTCAGTTCTTTTTTTTTTTGGTGATTTGTGTTTTTCCGCAAGTTCACCACCAGAAATCAGAGGTCAGGTGTTCTTGTAATATTCTGGCCATTATCCTCCATAGGAACATTGTAACCCAGAAGTTCTCTAGTAGGCAGTGAACTGTTTCTTTGGTTGCCACCAAATTATGCTATTAGATTTAATGTTTCTCTTGAGTTTCTTAATTTAACAATTAATTCGAATTATTCTGTGGTGCGTTTCCCATGGAAATTCCTAACTATGATAGGGTGATATTTGAGATAAACCAATTTCGTAAAAGATTTCACTGTTTTCTTGTAAGGTGATCAACCTAAGGCACTTTGATTTGGGTAGAGTGCAGTTATCTTCTGTTTTGCTAAAGTTTAGGAGCTTTCAGGTTGCCTCTGCCAACTTGACTACCGCAAAGATCTCACCTATTGTAATTTCTTTCATTTCGCTTTTTTTAGTCGGCTAATCTGTAGATACCTAGTCTCTAGAGTTTGGTATGTGCTTCATTCCTCCTTCCAGTATCTTAAAGCTTTTACTTTACCCAACTGGTTGTGATTATGTTTTTCAAGAATTCTAGGTACGTTTTGAATGAGGTTCACTGATGGAGAACCAGTCTACAATGATACTCCGTTTAGGATGGATGATTTAATATTTTCTGTTGATAACAGATGCCTGGAATAGATTATCTACAAGAAGTCTGAGAGCTACTTAATCATTAGAGCTTTTGTTATATGTCTCAATCTTCAAAAGTGTCACTCTTTTCTTCTACTGAACCTTGTCCTGTGAAAAGAGATTCAATCCTTTCCCGATTTTGCTAGATTGTTTCTGAAGAAAGAAGTTTCGAATAAACTCTGTCCGTCTGTAATTATGCTTCCTTCGTTAGTGGCTCTCTTCTTATGTGCGAGTGCAATCCTTTCCGAATAAACCTCAATTGCAGTATTTATAGCTGTCATATTTGTGCCAAAAGTCAGTTAGGTTGGCTGAGTAGCATTGGTCCAGGCATCTAGATTAAAGTTGCAATTGTTTAGTTATTTTGTCTGTTTAAGGTTGAACTAGTGATCGTATCCTTGTTTCTGTTCATTTGTTATTGCCATTTACTTTGGATTAATCTTATCATAACTGTGGTTGCGCTGTTATTAATCATGGTCGTTAGAGATCATCCTTATGTTTACGATTGAACACTGTTTTACTTGACATTAAAGACGACTCCTACTCACTCAAAAACTGTACTGTGTCATGCCTGCTACAAATTATGAGGGAAGGTAAGCAGTGATAGCTTTTGTGCTACATGGGCACCAACACTAACTCCTGTATGTAATTGGCTATCTTTATTGATTTTCTATATTTCATGAGACTGCAACATGTAGGCCCCCGTGATATCCATATTCTTATTGGAATCTGAAGAGTTTATTTTTCATCCTAGAATCGTCATTTATAAACATTTTAAGATGACATGGATCTCCATCGTCTTGTTAAACACATTTTGTCTGAAACTCTAAGAGACTACGAAAGTGCTAGTATTAGCTTCAAAGTATATACGCATGTTATCAGGACTTGACATTTCCACCGATTTATGTAAACCTTTAAGGGTGCAGGTTTCATAAACTATTAAAACTTGCTGAAGAAGTGGAGTTTTACTAGCCTGTTCATGAAGTGGTGGGGGAGTGGCTGGCTGCTGTGCTTGTGGGGTTTATCCTAAAAAAAATAATTCATATTTACTTATATTTTATGGTGCTTGAGCTAGCATATTGATGAAGTGGTGAGGGATGGGCCTGCTGCCACGTTCTTGTGGGGTTTATCCTGAACATTTCATATTTATTTATATTTTTATAAATCTTGCCACCAAATCAAAGGAGTATTTCTTTTCAATTCTGAATTTTTGTTTTCCGAAATGAGCAACTATTTTTTCTCTGCAAATTATCTGCTATCTTTTGAGTTTATTGGGATGCGATGTCCGATGAGAATTAATGTGTTTTGTAGAATCAACGTTTGATAATACATTACCAACATATTTGTTGTTTCTAAACTTAATTTTCTTTCGTACATAGGTAAGAAGGCTCTTTGGAAACATAATGTCTATGGACTTACACCAAGTATTGGGTCTGCACATTATATGTTGGTAATATGTTTATTGGTCAACTAATTCTCAAAAGTGTTGGTTAGGTGTTGTAATGGTTCGACTGACCTAACATTTGATAATACAAATCTTCAGCGATATGCCAAAAATCACAATGATCCTAAACTCATGGTAGAGATCATGAAACTATTGCGAAGGAACTCTTTACCTCTGCAAGCTGGTACAGCTGATATTGTTTTCAGGTACCTTGACTATGGTTTCTGTTGTGTTTGTAGAATGCTTGCTGATCAGTCTCAAGCATTGATATCTTGTAATTGGAACTTTGTTTTCTACTTGGTCCAGACAACTTTACCCTGCTGTCATTCATTGTTGATTAGGATTCGTGCAATTTTAATACAAATAAGTTTTTCAAAACACTTGCTTTGATAGCGTGCACTCTTAGGAATGATTAAGATTCCATGAGCCGTGATACCTATGTGTATATATTATTTTTCCTAAATAATTTTCTCATCTCTCTGTTTAACTAATTTTAGTTGTATTTCATGGTTGTGTTGTTGTCTTCCTCAAAAACTATTGTTAGGCGTCAACTTGAATCCGTTAAACGATTTCTTCGTGGATGACTTGGTTTATCTTCACAGAGACTTTCTTGAACTATCTTACCCATAAATTAGTTATGTTGATACTTGTTTTGATTAATTGGCGATTATCATCAAAAGGAGTGGAAAAAAAACACAAAACGTTGCACATATCTGAAGATAATAGAAAGATGAACAATACAAACTAAATAGAAGGTTGTTGGTTTTTTGGGGAAACAGCATGAAAAATATTTGTATTCATCTTCCTTCACATCAAGTTGAATTTGACGCTCTTGAGTGAGCTTCAAATTAAATAACTGTTTTCAACCCGTGTGTTTGGAGGCACCTGCTTGCTGGAAATAATGTTTACATTTTGCTGTTGTCATTTTTTCTCGATGTGAAACCTGATTCTCTATCGTGGATATCATGGTAGTTGTGTTTCTCATATAGAATTTTTAGATTGATGTCATGGTATTCGTTTCAGCATCTGCTACAATACAGATAGATGGGATTTGATCTCAAAATTTTCTAAAGTATTCATCCAGACTGGAGTGAAATTTCATAGATCCACATTCGACATCTGGATGGAATTCGCTGCAAAAATGGGTATATACATTATTCTGTTTAGATGTTCTAGTGGCATATTTTTAATAGAGTTAAGTTTTGAATACTTCTTGATTTGATATTTATCTTCGGAGTCTTGCATAATGACTTCATATCAGCCAGTTCATATTCTGGGAGAATTCAATTAATTATCTTCCATAGAGTACTTAGAATGGCAGTTTTCTTTATTCTTGTCTCACCCTGGCTGAATTCTGATGAGTAATTTATAGCAACTTTGTTTTCAAAAGTTCACTGATCTGCTGCTAGTTTTAGTTTGATTTTTTTTCTTTTTTTGTTGAAGCTAAAGTGGATATTTAGTAAGCCTTTTTTTAGCTTGCATCAACTGATAAAATGTATCAATGACTGATTGGTTGAATATCATCTTCTCATTAACTATTTTCGGATGGGCCATATGAGGGAGGTTTCATCCCTAAAAAATGAATAGTGAAAACTAATTGGATTCATATCAGACTAGGTTTCTATATTTCTGAAAGCAGTCTCAGTTGAAGGTTGCAACATGAATCTCGATTTGACATTTATGTGGAGGATGCAGTTTTAATCTAGATATGGCATGAAAGCTGAAGTTTCTCACTTTCATTCTTGGGGAAGTCTGCGAGAGCTCCCTATTTACGAGTTGACTGTGGATCTCTGTACCATTTTCAAACCATTGGTAGATGTAATTACTCCCCTTGGACTGAACACCTTTAGCTTTTGCTCATCTACATAGCCTAAGACTGGAGAAAAAAAAGGAAAACCGGTTCTCTTTCCACATTTACATTCTTTCTGTGAGGTACTATTTTTCGATCATTGATATAATGATTTTTCTGATAAATGACTAAACTTATCAGAGATATACATACCTTGTCGTCCTGGATATAATCTCCAAATAAAAGAGAAAAGTCAGGCTTCTACCTCCGATCATTTTTTTTTGTGGCTGCAGAAGCAAATGATAATATACTTTTATTTTCTAGTGGTCTTATTGTCATCACTATGCATGTGCTGTGCCAAATGATAGTTTTGCAACACCTAGCTGTGCCGTTTTTGGTTGTCTTGACGATTTTAGTCTTGATAATGAGCCATCTTCTTTGGCTGTATGTGCACATTATCTTTCTCTGTCAGCTGAAGTTTAAATTGTTGAAACATGAAATTTTTCAGGGGATTCTCTGTCCATTTGGGAAATTGAGAAGCTAAGATCAAATACAATCAAGCAGCATACTGTTTCAAGTGCATTTTCATGCGCAAAGGTAGTCTTATGTTTAATTATTTTCTAACAGCAGAAGCAAATTCGTCGTATCTAAATGACAGCTATCCTATTTCTGGTGTCATCACCTTTATTACTGAACCCTTGTTAGATTATGACAATGCATTAGTCATATATGAAGCAGTTTGCTTCTTTCTTCCAATGAAAGGATTCCTGGTCAGAACGATGTGTTCAGACATTGTTCAGACTTCTAGCTAATGTCTCAAATGTGAGTTGAAGGCTTGATCACACTCTGTCCTAGTTTTGCATTCATACATTTTGGGTCTCATAAGTTGACTAAAAACTAATTGAAACGTGGCATAATCACATTTTATTGTAACACCTGTCTCTCAAAATACCAGCTAATAAAGTATGCGGTGTTGGGCATAATTTCAATGATTTGGATTGGTTTCTCTTTTTTGAAATCTTCAGTGCACATTTGGATTGCCTGGTTAGCTGGTTAATTCTTCTTTAAGAGTTTTATGCACATACGAGTTGGTATGATTCTGCTAAAAATTTTGCACATTCCAAATCCCAATGTGACATCAAGTCAACTTTGCATCTAGGCATATCCTCATTGGTGATTTCATAGTCTGATGGGCTGCTTCCTTTAAGGACTATAGTAGTTATGGTTTTTGCAGTTGAAAAAATGTTCCTGTATCATTACAAAGTCTAAACTTGCTTGCATTCTGGTACGATTCGACCAGAAAAATCCCTTGATTAGGAGACAAAAGCAGGGAAAGGCGACAAGTAACAGGGAAGAGGAAGTAGAACTGACTAAATTCATAATAGAATCCAATCACTAGAGGGGAAATGGTTCAAGAGGTTTCCCCCGTCTCTCCACAATGAAACTTCCAAAAGATGATCTCTACATTCCTGGTGGTTTCAATCTATTTCATAACCTCTGGACCAATCTGCCCTCCCCGAACTCTACTTATTGAAGGCTTGTCTGACTTTTCTTCCTTTTTCAGTTGTATTTTAATAGTGGGTCATATCATTACTTCTTCCCTTTTCTTTCACCATGTCCTCAAGGTGAAAATTAAAAATTAGAGTTGAAAGGAACTCATTGGTTCCCAAGAAGCTTTGAAGTCTGGGAGGTGCTCCCATTTGATTAGGACCTCTAGACTAAGGGCGGACCTCACTCCCAGCACTTCTTGGAGACAAACATCCCAAACCATGTCTTTGCCTAAGCGTTGGGGGAGGGGTTGACCTCAATTAGTAGGACCTAGCTAACTGCTATAAGATTCGGGCATGTCAGAAGCAAAGCAGTGCATGTCTTTCTAAATAGGTTACTTCCGACTAATTCCTCTCTAATTCCTTCAATTTTGCGAGAGTTTCATGGCATCCTTATAAGAGGGTATGCAAAATACACCAAGACCTATAAGTAGGTTGTTATGCATGTATATTGGCCTAGAATAAAGAGGAAAATAGTTGTCAGATGAATGTGAGGTTCACCAATGAAATAAGATTTCCTTCCTTTCCCCTATAAGGTTACTCCAACCTCTCCCAATTTTCGACCAAATTTGGGAAGACCTCTCAATGGACTTCGTTGAAGGGCTACCCAAATCAACTAGATACAGTGTAATTTTAATCAAAGTATATTGATATGTGGATAATGAACCATTGGTGGAGGTAATGACACCACTTTTGCACGGCCATCACAATGGCAATTAACTCATTTTCATAAGCTGACTTGACCGTGTGTTCCTCTCTAGTAAAGCTTAACTGTAATAAGTGACTGGTCTCTTATGTTGGATCAACATGGCTCCCACTCCCTAACATAATGCATCAATCTACAAATTAAAGGGCTGAGAGAAATCAGGTAAGGTAAGTACCAGAGTAGTGGACATGGCTTGTGAGGCTATCAAAGGTTTGCCGTGCATCAAAACTCCATCTGTAGACACCCTTCTTCAGTAGTTGTGTGTAGTCGAGATAACACACGGTCTGGAGCTCTGATAGGCTCCCAGCACTCGTGGAAGAAGAACTCTAACTTTATTGATCAAAAACTGTTTACAAGGAGAGTGGGATCCAGTATTTATACCAGATCCCTAGAAGGTTCTAGACATATTAATGTAACACGAAATGAAAGGTACATGAGGACATATTTGTAAACATGTAAGGTATACATGTTATTAAGTACATCTTGACAACACTCCCCCTCAAGCTGGTGAATGGATGTTGTCCATTCCCAGCTTGGGAATAATCTTCTATAGTTGTGTCCCTGAGATGCCTTTAGTAAGCATGTCTGCCAACTGATTATTTGTTGAAATGTATGATATACAAATCATATTGGCCTCAAGTTTCTCTTTGATGAAATGGCGATCAATCTCCACATGTTTGGTACGGTCATGCTGTACTGGGTTGTGCACTAGATTGATTGCTGACTTATTGTCGCAATAAATCTTCATAGGACTGAATAAAGGAACTTGTAACTCGTTAAGTGAGTTCTTGACCCAAAGTAACTCACATATTCCTTGGGCAAGTGCCCTAAGCTCAGCCTCAGCAACTACATTTTGTTTTTTACTCCTCTAAGTGACAAGGTTGCCACCAACAAAAGTAAGATGACCGGAGGTTGACCTTCGATCAATTGTTGAGCTTGCATAATCAGCATCTGTAAACATCTCAACCTCTACCTTTCCACTTCGTCTATAAAGAACCCCTTTTCCTACTGTGCCTTTGAAATAATGTAGCACTCGGTAGGCAGGATGTAAATTACACTCTTTAGGTTGATGCATAAATTCGATATACTCACTACATATGAGATATCCGGTCGAGTGTGTTAGATAAAGTAGTCGGCCAATGGGACGTTGATATATCTCACGGTCAATAGAAATTTCCTCATCTGTCATACACAATTTCTGATTTGGATCAATAGGTATATTGGTTGGTTTACATGCAAATTTTCCTGTTTCAGCTAACAGATCTATTATGTACTTTCGTTGAGAAATAAAAATGCCTTTAGAAGAACGTGCCACTTCGATTCCTAAAAAAATACTTGAGTCGTCCCAAAGTCTTGACAGCAACCTCTTGGGCCAAACAATTGCTCAAGTTTTGGATCTCCCCTTCATCATTTCCTGTGAAGATATCAACATAAACTAATAGAACTGTAACTCCCCTTGAAGAAAAGTGTTTTAAAAATAATGTGTGATCAGCATTACTTTGGTTGTAATTCATTTCTTCATGGCTACTGTAAATCTTCCAAATCATACACGTGGAGACTGTTTGAGGCCATAAAGGGATTTCTGTAACTTGCAAACAAGATTAGATGAATGATTACCCTCATATCCTGGTGGAAGACTCATGTAGACTTCTTCAACCAAATCATCATACAAGAAGGCATTTTTAACATCAAATTGTGAATATTCCAGCTGAAAATTACTGCTAAGGACAGTAAAAAACGAACTGTATTCATTTTGGCCACTGGTACAAAAGTCTCTTGATAATCTATGCCATATCTTGTGGATAACCCTTAGCCACCAGTCAGGCTTTATACCTCTCAATCGAACCAGCTGATTGATATTTCATTGTGTACACCCAGTTGCAACCAACAATCTTCTTCTCTCGTGGTAATTCCTCTGGATCCCATGTCTGATTTTTTGCAAGAGCTATCATCTCATCATCCATGGCTTGTTTCCACTTAGGATTGGATAGAGCCTCCGAGAGATTTTTTGGAATAGTAGTGGTGTCTATGGATGCAAGGAATGATTGATAGGGTGAGGAAAGTCTGTGATAAGACATAAAATTGGCAGCTAGGTACAAGGGTGTTTTTGTACACTCCCTTATAGGTTTGCACAGGGCAATGGGAAGTGAATCATGAGGTAGGACTGCAGGATCATCAGATGAAGGAGATATTAATGGCTGTATATTTTCTAAGGTCAGATCAAAATCTTGGATTTTTGGTGAATCTTGAATTTCCTGTTGCCTGGAATAAACCTTGCCAACCTTAGGTCTTCAGTAAGCGAATTCAATATAGGACTGAGTATTTTAGGGACTGAAATAGGAATGAATAGGTTACCAGCTGAAGACGAGAGTGAAGAATTTACATGTTGATCCATACGAGCTGTAGAAAATAGATGTTGATCACTGGATGGAGATTCTTTAAAATAAGAATCAGATTCATGAAATGTAATATCCGGTGAAATAATTTTTTTTCTAGAAGGAGGGTGGTAACATTTGTACCCCTTTTGATTGGTAGCATAACCAAGAAATACACATTTAAGTGATCTCAGTTCTAGTTTGCCTTTGGTTTGATTATGAACGTGAACAAAAGAGAGACAACTAAATGTCTTAGGTTCTAGCCTAGTTTTAAGTTGTGGTCTGAGAAAAACTTGGCTAATGAATCTAACGGGCTGAGGAAGCGTAAGGTTCTAGATGGTAATCGATTGATGTGGGGTATAGACACAAGTGACTTCTAAAAGATGACAATTTTTTCTTCAAGCTAAACCATTCTGCTGTGGGGTATAGACACAAGAGGATTCATGTATGATGCCCTCTATTTGGAAGTATAAATTCAGATTTTGGCTAAAATGCTCTTTAGCATTATCAGATCTGAATTTTTTAATACTAGTGCCAAACTGATTTTTTATCATGGCACAAAAAGATTTCAGAACATCACACACATCAGACTTTTATTTGAGAAGGAAGACCCACATACATCTTGTACAATCATCAATGAAAGTGGCTAACCATTTATTACCACAAATGACATTAATGGGACATGGTCCCCAAATGTCACTATGAATTAGGAATTAAAGAACATCACTACTTTCCCCTTGAGATTGAAATGAAGTACATGTATGTTTAGAAAGTTCACACACAATACATTTAAGACTGTCCAATGACACCTTTCGAAATAATGTAGGAAAAACTATTTTCAAAGTGCTAAAGGATGGATGACCCATCCATTGGTGAAGTAATCATATCTTAAGGACATCTTCTAGAGGTTCTAGAGATTGACCCCCTTCCACTAGGATGTGTTTGGCTCAGTCCTTCTAGAAGATAAAGACCTTCTCGTTCTCTAGCAACTCCAATCCTCTGATGATGTACCTTATCAAACATGACGCAGACATCTTCATCAAAAAAGACATGATAAGGTGAGTCTCTAACAAGTTTTTTAACTGAAATGAGGTTTGTAAATAACTTGAGCACATGAAGAATATTAGTAAGAACCTCTAGAGGTTCAAGTCTAATGTCTCCTATACCTGCGAAGGTTAGAAAAGATCCGTCTGTAATAGTCACTTTTCTGTCACTAGGACAGGGGTTGTATTTGGTGAAAAGGCTGGGGGAGTTGGTCATGTGGTCTGTTGCTCTTGAGTCCACTACCCAATTATTAAAAATATCTCTAGAAGAAACTCTAACTCCAAGAGAGTGGTGAAACATACCAAGCTGAATTAATGAGAACTGTGTCACTGTCGACTTCAGTTTTTTTAACTCAATTTAAAGTCGCTCTATATCCTCAATCTGAGGAGAAGAAGAATATTGATTGATTTGAGAATCTGAAGACTCACTAGTCGGTAATCCTGCTGCCAAATGTGATTGACTGCCATATTTTTCAATGCCAAAATTTTGTGGTTTATCATGTAGTTTATAACATCTGTCTCTAGTGTGACGAGCTTTCCTACAATATGTACACCACAGATTATCATGAAAATCAGTCTTCTGATTTCTTCCTTGGCCATGGTGGGGCTATTTAGCTTGATCTGGGGCTTTCTTCATAATTTCTCCCTATTTAATCATAAATGTAGTATTGTCAACTTCAGGCACTGACAACATTAATTTCTGACGAGTTTCCTCATTTAAAATGATAGAAATAGCTTCATCCAAGTCACATTTCCTTTCACGACTCAAAATCTGTTGTTTGACTTGATCAAAAATAGAATTAAGTCCGGCCAAAAATTTAAACACTCTTCTTCGTTCTATAAAATGTCGTAGGACAACAATTTCTGCAGGTTTTTCTTTATCAATGCTGAGATAATAATCGATTTCCTGCATGAATTTTTCAATTCTCCTATATATTCCATCACAGATTTATTTCCTTGAATTGTGGACATGAATTTTGTCTCAAGCTCATATAAATGTGCCTCATTATTTCTTTGTGAGAATTTCATATGAACTGTTTCCCACATATCTTTGATTGTAGATAGAAAAAATCTTGGCTAATTTGAGGAATCATTGTTCCCCAAAGCCAGGTTTTGATTAATGCATCTTCTTCTCTTCATCTACAAAATTCTCGAGACAATGGATCCGGTTTCCCCTCAATTAGATGATGTAACATCCCTCTTCCAGTTTATACCTCTCGAACATATTCTGACCATTGAATCAAATTGTATCCAGTCAATTTGAACACTGCAGGCATTGTAGGAAGTTCTATGAGTAATCTTGGACCACTTGGACCAAGATTAACTTCCCTTGTGGAGGTTGGATCCCCCACAGATGATGAAGAATTGTCTCCCACATTCTCCATTTAAAGAGGATGTCCAAATTTCACGAAAAAATCAAATTCGTGCACAAATCGCAATAGAGACAAGAAAAAACGGTGCAAGAACCGTAATAAACAAGTAGATCAGTGCGAAAGTAGAGAAATGGAGCGATCACACCTAGATTCGCTCTGGAAGAAACACAGCTAAGGAGAAGATCCCTTGCTGGAAGTGTATGGCGCTTGTAACTCCAGCAGACGATGGAGAGAACGCCGACAAAGCAGCGTCAACTGTGATGGTGCTGAAAAATAGGGTTTAAAATCCTAGAATGGCTCTGATACCATGTAGTCGAGATAACACACGGTCTGGTGCTCTGATAGGCGCCCAGGACTCATGGAAGAACTCTAACTTTATTGATCAAAAACTGTTTACAAGGAGAGCGGGATCCAGTATTTATACCAGATCCCTAGAAGGTTCTAGATATACTAATGTAACACGAAATGAAAGGTACATGAGGACATATATGTAAACATGTAAGGTATACATGTTATTAAGTACATCTTGACAACATTGTGTCAATAACCAGCTAATGGTTGCATAACCCACTGCTAACTTACAGTAATAACCAATCAGACCAAAGAAGTTCCAAGACTCGAAAATTTTTGGGGGTTGGTCAGTTGACCATTGCTGTAATCTTTCGTTATCCATTGCTACCCCTATTGTTGAGATACAATGCCACAGATATTCCAGCTGTTTTCAGCCAAAGAAGCATTTCTTTTTATTAATGTGCAGGTGGTTCTCAGCTAGAATTGAAAACACTTGTAATAGGTGGTTTTTGTGCTCCAATTGGGTTTTGGTGTGGATGAGTATTTTATAAAAAAACCAAGACAAAATTGTGGAGGTTGAAAATTTCTGTGCTCCAAAATTGTGGATGGGTTTTGGTTTTTGTGCTCCAAAATTTTCGCCCCTACCTACCCTACGTAGGTAGGGGCAAAAATTTTGATTCATTAAAGATTGGAATGTGATCGGTGCATTGGATGACTCAAAAGGCATTACAATCAATTCATAATGTGTGGGCATTACAATCATTTTGATTTGTAATAGTTAAATTTGAGATCTAATTTAGTGAAATAATCATACTATGAAGCTCGTTCAAGAACTCATTCACTACTGGTATGAGAAACTTGTTTGGTACAGTTATCTTATTGTGTGCCCAGTAGTCTAGACAAAAACATCAACTCCCTTCTTTTTCGTATAGACTGTTGGACGGTTGAACAATTCTAACATCACATAAATTTTGAAACAAGAATTCAATTTCGTCTTTTTTCTTGAAGTGTGAACATTTGTAAGGATCAGTTGCAAATTGGGAGATCACTTTGGGCCCCTTCGCATCCAGTAGTTGATGTAATTCCACAAGTAGCGATTGGCCCTTCTTCATTTCCATGGCCCGCAACAAGATGCCTATCTTGCACATGCTTGTATCTCACTTGAGGGTCTTTACTACACCTTTGACCAAAACTTCATTGTTAACAAGCCCAGTGTATGCGTATCCATCTGACTGATTTGAGCCACTGCTTATTGAGGATTACATCGGTGCTCCTAAGTTGCAATGGTAAGTAGTGTTCTACCATAGTCAATCCTTGCATTTTCAAAACCACTCCCTGACATATTCCTTTCCCTTTCGTAGAGTGACCGTTTCCCATGATTATGCTATAGATGGTCGAATCACACAGGGGTAACTGGACCTGTTTGATCAGTTTTATGTGAAGAAAATTGTGGTTTACACCACAATGCAATCAGGTGAGCCCCGCATAGAGTTTTAAAGAGATCTTGGGTATGCGTGTCTCCTTTTCTTGCTAAGAATCTTTCTCCACAGGAGCCCAATCCTCATCTGGTGTACTATGATGATTCCTGTTGTCCTCATTGTTTTGTGTATCTGTGATTGGGGATATATTTATTGTCACAATAAAAACAGATACCTTTTTCACATCGTTCTTGGAGTTCAGCTTTGGTCAATTGTAGACACTTCTTCCTTCCGCTGGCGTTTGATCTGCCCATTTATTGCTTTGTTTTTTTCTATCCACATGAAAGACTAAGGCGAGAAAGCTCATAAAGTTTGTTGTGGGTTCTCATCTTTCAGAATCCTGCCTAGAGGACTCTGTTTCATTATGTCACGGTAGATAGCCTTCTTGTTTGGGAGCAACCTATTTGGAAGGCTTGGTCGGATTTCTGATCCAGGCTTCCCAAAGCATGTGAAGATTCTCCTTTGCTTGTTGAGACGTATCCATGATTTCTCCAAGTCCCACTGGCTTGAACATACTGAGTTTTTGATTGAATTTTCGGTCTCAGCCCCTTGACGAATGTGTGCTCCATTATTTCTTGAGGGATGTTAGAAAGGTATGTAGAGAGCCCTTCAAATTCTCATCTGCAATTAACAACTAAACCTTCTTATTTTAAATTAAGGAACCTCTAATAACCATTACTGAAGGTGGAAGATGCAAATCATTTCTACAGTTCGAGCTTGAAATCCTAATCTTTGAAAATATATTTACCTCCATTCTAGAGAAACCATTCTAGGGCTTCTTCATTTAAGCTCAGCATTATAGCCTGGAGTTTTCTCCTTCTAGTATCTGGGTGAGCTTGAAGAAGTGTTCAGCTCGGCATACCCAACCCTCTAGTTTGGTCTCATTGAAAACGCAGATCTCCTTGTGATAGGCCAGTCCTTAATAGAGTCCTGACTTGTGACGGGAGGGGAATTGAACTTAGATGTAGCAAGTTGCATCAGGTCTCTGGGAAATAGGTCAAGAACGGCTACAATCATCACCTGGCCTTTTGGAAGAAGTTGCACATTCCAGCATCGAGATACAGACATCCTTTTTCTGGGTCGAATGTGGCAAACTGTTCTGCCATGCGCTGGGGAAAATAATTGAACATTTGTGACATTTTGCTGCTCATCCTCTGTTGTGCCTCCTTGATGCCTTTCATGTCAGCGAGAATCAATAACCTTCAGTGCCATCTGTGCTTAGGTCTGGCTCCGATACCAGAATGGTACGATCTAACTAAGAAAATCCCTTGGTTAAGAGACAAAAACAGGGAAATGGGACAAGAAACAATGAAGAGAAGGTAGAACGGACTAAATCCACTTTGGAATCCAGTCACAAGTGGGGAAATGGTTCAAGAGGTCTCCCCTGCCTCTCCACAATGTGACTTCCAAACGATGATCTCTACATTCCTGAGGGTTTCACTCTATTTCATAACCCCTGGATAAATCTGCCCTCCCAAAAACCTTACTTAGTGAGGACTTTTCTGACTTTTCTTCCTGCTCTGGCCATAGGTCAACAGTGGGGTCATATCACATTCTTTCCTGTCTTAGTTACTGTTGGAAATGGAGAAAAAACCTCGTCACAAAAGACGAACGGGAGAACGGTGGAAACCACCTCAAGATTCATTCAACTCTAATCCCCGTTATATAGGGAGTAATACACAAACTTTGCCAAAACACCCTCAACTAATTACACTATTTCCGTACGACCTAGAACTTCCAACCGTTACTATCTTGGTTCAGGCTCTTAAATTGCATCAACTAACATTATCTTTGATGATTGGATGATAAATTTAATTGTTCTTGTTGTGTTCTTTTGAAAAACGTTCATATATTGCTTTGATGAGGATCACAATGCCAGAAGACCTTGGCCCCTTGTGGTTTAAGAAATTTTTGTGGGGCAGACTTTTTCATGATTGTGGAATCTATTAACCGTTTACTCTTCCTGCATGTGGGCAAGGTCTTCAGGGATTTTCGAACTTCACTATCTATTTTTCACGGGACTGTTGGAACGTTTCGGTTTTATTCAGTGAAATACTGTCGTCTGTTCTTTCCGTCACACTGAATTTTCATGAAGAGTTGATACATTTTACTGTTAAATAATACACATGCTGGATTTTTTATATTTAAGCACCTACCATTTTACTGTTATATGGACTGCAAACGGAAATCGAACATCCGATTTTATTTTAGAGTTTCTTATTTTACTAGACAGTTGACTTTGCCTACAGGAAACAGCTTTGACATACTGATAAGTGCTATTTGGCATATCCTTTACAGGGATTTATACTCGAACGTAAACCAGAGAATGCTGCTGCAATAATTAATGTCCTCAACGAGGTGCCATTTATTTATTTGTTTGTGCATTTCTTACTTATTTATAGTTTTTAATCTATTATTCACTCTCTTTATTTTGCTGCCAAGAACCTTAGTTCGAGGTCCCATAATCATTCTAGAAAAATTTCCAGAAAGGGGTGTTTTTTTTATTTTTTAAATTATGGTCTTGATGCATGACAATTGACGGAGAAGGGTGAACTCGAAAACAGGTCTTCGAAGTTACAGAGTTGTAAGTGATTCTGGGGATGGTTGCTTTGTAAGAATCGCACAAATATCAGATAATAATATATATCTTTATATATATATATATATTACCATAGATAACATCACATGAATCGAATGACTCAATCAATGTCACGAAATGTGGAAAATAGCTTTTTTATGTCTCCAGTTTCACATTTTGCTTTGATCACTTTCTGATAAAAATTATAAATTTAAAAAATGAGACATTCCATTTTTTTTTTCAACAGAATCTGCCCGATGAAAAGAAGCCAACCATTGCAAGTGAACTTCAGAAATTGGTAAGTGAATGGTCACTGGAGGTATTGAAGCGGCAAAAAAAGGCAAACAGGAAGGTAATAATAAATTCCAGTTCATTTTACGAACCAGAGTCCTCCAAAATGCGTTTTGCCATCATTTGCATGAGCCAAAATAGATTATTTATTGCACTACTATAGTGCTGGCTCTGTCCTGTTGCATCATTTTCGTTTCAGAAATCTTACATTCCTTTTGGGTAACCTCCCCAGTTTATTGAATTTCTTACAACTTATCTTCCAGTATGTCATACGGGTTATTCAAGGAGTTTTTCAAATGTGACTGTTACCTGTATTTTGATATCTGTTCCCTTCTGGCGCCTCTGAATGTAATCTAATATTCTTTCATTCAGCTAGTTCATTATTCACGAACTTGATACTGTCTTAGCCATTGTTAATAGGATGCCATTTATGCCTACTTATCGGAGATGCTGTGTGTAAATAAAATTTATACCAAATGAAATTTCCTTTTCACTGTTGATGGTGGGATTGGCATAAATGTTCACAACAACTAGAAAAGGGGAGTTATTGTAGAGGTTGGTGGTTTCTTTCAATTGCATGAAAGTATCTGCAAAATTTCAGTCTCTGGACTTCATTTTGTTCTTAATACGGGAAACAACTCTAGATCTCATTGAAACCCTTCCCCGGTGTATATATTAACTGTCAAGAGTTTTTCCGCAGAGGGCTTTTTGAGGTTGATATCCTGTATACTCCACATATTGGTGTTCAAACCTGCTTATATCCATTGCCTTCCTGTTCCCTGACTGTACATAGCTGTTATGAAGAATTCATGGCCGTGTCTGAGGGAAAGCCATAGAATTAGTGGCTCTTTCACCTTATTTTTTTCTTGGAGTTGACGTTTATGTGTTAATCTAATGTCAATGCATCTAATTTCAATATGGAAAGATATTTTCAATTTCCTTATTTCTCGTCTAACACTCACACTTCTTAAGAGCACATCTTCCATGCCACCTTAGAGCTTCATTGAAGGTGTTAATTATTTGCATATATAGAAAAATTGCGTTGATTATTCCCGTCTTGGTAAATATCATATTGATTGCCTTCATCATCATACCAGACGTTCCTTGTTCTTTCCCATTCGTCGTGTAACTAAAGAATATTCTTCATTTGAAAAGCACAAGTGACTGGTGTTTTTCCTCATACTCCCTACCACTCAGGGAGCAAAATGATTTAGTAAATTTTTCATCATCTGAACGTTCTCTTCTATCTGTTGGGCTCCTAAATTGTCTAACCTTACGTTCATCATCAACGCCTGTGGTTCTTCCTTGTGCTTTGTTTTTCTCAATGCCAGTCAATTATGAATTTTCAAATCTTCACCGTAATGCTCTCCCCATCAATCTCCACACTCTGCCAGAAGTTCAGTGCTCAATAGTTGTCAATATTCTAACCCGAATTTTCATTACTCTTCTCCATTGAGTTCAGGTGATGGCCACCTCACTAAAGAACGACATTTTTGCTATGATCGCCTCCTTATTGAACATGGGGTTAGAGGTGGCGGTGAACATGGAAGAGCTCAAATGCTGAAACAAGTTTTAGAATGGTATCTTCCTTGACATATTGACCTTCGACTGAGCTATCAACGAGGTCTTCATCCTGGTTTGCTGCAGGGATCCCAGCTAGTTGAGCAATGGAGCCGTTGACTGCACTTTCTTGGGGCAACATTCTGAACGAAGAAGAGTTGTTGACATTGGTTGGGGGGGTGTTTAATGCTTAACATTATCCTCCCAACTTTCATGCAAGCATGCTTCATGGTCCTTCCATTCCATTCGAATCAGAGCTTCACAGCCGAACACATTCCCAGCCTCCCCTCTTTCTAAGGTTTCCTTTGTGCGCGCTGGGGGAAGGGAGGTGTTTGTCCATTGTTTGGCCTTCCATCTAATAACATGGTAGATATAAGATGGAACTAATCAGTTGTGTGCCTTTATATTCATCACTCGGGCTCATTTAACCTATGCAATCATTCAATATCAGCACTTTAAATGAGCAGATTCTAAGATCTGTAGCCCCTTCTTATTTCGCACTCGCTTTAATTTGCTGGGCAATTGCTGGTGTAAGTGGCAGCTTCACATGGATGCCATCTATGGGAGTGAGCTCCTTGAGTGCGACCCAAGAGCAATCTATGAAAGTGGGGTCCTTTGTGTCTGCTACGGTGGTCCCTGACATTGGTGGCCATGGAGCTCTGTCGGGTGAGGTTTTCATTTGCCTCCATTTAATGACATAATAGGAGATATTAATGACCAGCTACATGTGGCTTCTGAGCTGCAATAGATGCCACATACTATCAAAAGCTTGCTTGATCTATGGGCCTAGTAAGCCCATTTCTACAGATGATGTACATGAAGACTAATACTTTCTTTGTCTCAACTCTTTCCATCTCTTCCTCTCTCTCTCTCTCTCTCTCTCTCTCTCTCTCTCTCTCTCTCTCACACACACACACACACACACACACACACACACACACACACACACACTAAAAATGAAGGAAGCTTCAGAGCCATTTCGTTCACACTATGAAGTCACTTGGTGTTTCTAAAGGAGAACATTATTTCAACTCAACAATAGAGTCAATTAGTATGCGGTGTGCAGATTATTTCAATAAATCAACATTGAACCCAAACTCAATCAATCCACTATAAATTTAAGAATTGAATTCTTAAGTGATTACTAAAAAAAAATTATGATTAACTTAATGTAGTCATTTTAAATCAACATGACAATCTATATTTTATCATAGTCTTATAGTTTAAACGTATGTGAAAACTATAGAAGAGTGGGACAAGCCCAAAACTAGAGGCCCAATCACTTTTAAAATGGCTTGAAAATATTATAAGGGTAAAAGATGGTTTAAACCTTATTTGGCCCAAAGAAAATGTGAGAAAACCAAGTTAGATCAAGTGTTGTAGGAAAAGTATGTTTCTATTTTATCTAAAGCTTCTATTTTTTTATTCTAGTTTTTCTTAATCTATTTTGACTTTGATCTTCAGTTCTTTTACTTTTCAGGGCATCTCTTTTAGGCTTATGTAAAAGCCCCCACATTGTAACTTCAAGACATCTTTAAAGTATTACGAACTTTTCTCTCCTTGAAGGTATCAATTCTCTTCATTTGTGGGTTCAACTGCTCTTTGTAGATTCAAATGAATCATCTAATAGATCATGGGGATTTAAATCCTATTTGCTTCACAAAAATTCGTACTTTATTGATTAAAGGTCAAATTTGGCTTCTTCCCACATCAATGATACATCAAATGGTATTAAAACAAGGCTTACACCAAGATTTATTACTACAAGGATGTCACAAGGTATGCTCATTTTAGATAGAATTTATTGATTTCCAAGAACACCTCAGTTAAAAGTTTGGGAAAGCAAATGACATGAAGAAGTAAATTTCACCCCATATGACTACATTTAAAAATTATTAACATCCAAAATTTATATAAGGGAAATGAACTAAGACATGCTATGCAAAATGTTAAACTACATGAAAAAACTAGCAATACATTTTTATTTAATTTTCAAAGTTGGAGTAGTAGATTTGAAGATGAAGACTATAAAGCTTTTCACATGAAAATATATTTACCAAGTTCTAATGGTCATTTTTGAAGAAAAAAATATCTGAATTGATTAGTAGAGGTTGAATGATTTTTGGAATACATTAAGATTAGTGATGAAAAGTATGGTACTATAGTTGCAAACAAATTTAAGAGCAGTTATCTAGTGGGAATATCTATATGTGACTCATGCTAGGTCAAGGAAGGAAACCTGAATGAATATGGATAAAGAAGGAGAAATTATTCAAATTTCACTTTCTACCCCCTAATTATGATTGAATTTTATATCACTAGTATCAAAATTACAAAAAAGATAATGAATTTAGTTCATAATATGAAAATAATTTTATAGATTATCTTCATGAGTTGATTTGACAAAATTTGAATCTTATGTGATTTTGGTATTTAAAGCTAGTTTTAAACAAGATACTAAAGAGAAACAAGTTTTTAACTTGCTTTAAAAAGTATTGTTATGACTTTTAAACTTGTGAAATCATTAGAAAGGAGAAAAACTAGATCTTAAAATTTAATAAAAATCTCAGATTTCATAGAGGACATATCAAGGATAATTGATGTTACTTTTGCTCATTTAGTAGATGAGAGATGACTACTATTGTACCAAAGTCCAATGGAGTAGAAATAGTTGGACAAGGCTCTTCATTTAAAAATTATGATGTGTTTAATGCTCAACATTAGGCCACAAATCAAATATTTATTTTAAGTATGATAATTTCACTGAAAAATTAAAAAAGAAGGGGATAATGTTTTAAAATATCAATGTGAGTTTGAAGAAAATTTATTGAACTTGAAATAGAGACACTTTCTCATTCAAAAGTTAGATGACTAATATACTCCTTAACAAAAGAAAAAGATCTACAACAATATTGTGTCTTCCAAATACACTACATTGTTAAGAACAAATTATGTAATGTTATAATTGATAGTGACAATAATGAATACATTATTTCTTAGAGTATGGTGCAAAAATTAGGACCGGAGGAAGATAAACCCCACACATAATACATAATTGATAAGATAAAAAATGATGAAATTAAAAATTTGAAGGATATTCTTATTAAAGATTTTATTTGAAAAATATGCTTTGAAGTTCAATGTGTCATAGTTGACAAGGATGTGTTCCAATATTTTATGAAGGCCTTGGGAATTTGATATTAATGCTACTTGTCAAGATAGAGATATGATTTATCTTTTAAAAAAATAGCTAAAAAAATTACATTAGGCCTACTGAAGGACATTGATTCCTCAAAAAGTTAAAAATAAGAATAAGTCAACAGAGCAAATTGATTAAAAGACACTTTTTAATAATGTAGACAAAAATTCTAAGTTATTTATGATGTTCAAAAGTTGAATAATGAAATGTAAAACTATTTCTGAAATTTTACTTGAATCTATTCACAATTGTTATTTAATACTGCATAATCATCTTACACTAGTCTAAGATATCCATCACCATATCGATTTAATTTTAAAAGCTAGATTACCAAATAAAACACATTATAGGAGAGTCATGAGGAAAAGAAAACCCTACGAGAACATGTGGGGGAGTTATTAGGAAAAAGATTGGTTAGAGAAAATTTTACCATGTGTTAAGTTGTTTTATTTTTTTTCTAAGAAGGATGCGAGATGATGAAGGTTTGTATAAAGTAAAACCAGAACTAAAATTATAGCTTGATTTGACTTTTCAATTCTAAAATTAGATATTACACTTGATGTGTTGTATGATTCAAATACTTTTCCAAAGGTTTATTTAAAAAGTAGTTATCAACTAATAGGAATTCATTGTAGTGATCTATGTAAAATATTAATTAAGATAAAATCATGTGTCTATGAATGACCAATAATGTCATTGGATTTGAAAAGTGCTTTCGATACTTTTATGAAAATAATGAATGAGGTACTAAAAATTTATGTTAAAAAATTTATATTTTTTTATTTTCATGATTTAGTTAGTTACAATAGTTGATAAGAAGAACATCCCAACCACTTGAGAGTAATGATGAGAATCTTTTAGCAAATGACTTGTATATCCACTCAAAGATATGCAACCTCATGATTGAAAATATTATTTCTATCATTCGAGATAAGTTCAAATGTCTAATATGATCATCAAAGTTAAGAATGAAAAGGTGGGAGCTATAAAGGATTGACTAAAATCTGATTTCAATCAATTGTGTAATTTTCACATATTAACTTCTTTTTACTGTAGTTTTACTAAAAAATTCAATTATATTGTTACACTATTATTAAATGCATGATAAATGTAATTTTAACTGGATTAAAGAGCCAAGTAAAAGTTTTGATTTGATCAAAGAGAAATTACATTATACTCTAATATTAACATTAACAAATTTTGAAGAATTATTTGAAGTCAACTGATTACGTTATACTCTAATATCCCAAACACTATTATCTGATGCAGTATTTGTTAGAGTAAGAATCATCTTATATCAAGAAGGATGTTCTAGTGATAACTTTATGATGCTAAAAGAAAATGAGTAACCTATGAATTAGAATTTTATGATGTATTCAAACCTTTTCATATTTGAAAGTATTATCTAATTCAACAATAGTTTTTCTTATTTACTAATTATCAAGTAATACAGTCCTATAATAGTCAAACTAGTGTGAGCATAATGAAAGCAAGATAAATTTCATTTATTCAATTGCTCACATTTTTTATGAAACATAATCATGCAAGAAATGTGTTTGGTAAGTGTTCAAACTGATATTTTTTAAAAATTATTTAAAAGAATGATATACAGATGATGAAGATTTTAACCAATGTTTTTGATGCCTACTAGTTGGTTAGCTAAAATATTTTACACAAGAAAATTTTAATTTCTTGTGAAAATTATTTATGTATTCAGCAAGTTGACTACACAAAGTTGACTAGTATTGCATGTGAGAAGCTAATTTGAAAAATATTTAGGGCATGGCAAAACTTTACACAATGGA